ATCAAGTTTATTTTAAAGATGACGAAGCAGCAGAAAAGTTCGAGATCAAAATCATGCAACACCTCTCTAACATTAACAATTTATTTTGTCACATATTATTGCTTATTAATTTCTTCGCAGTGCTTATTAACATATTAGAAAGATCGTATAGTCTGCCCTTGCTCATCATTAAAAAATGTCAACAAATTCACTTTCATTTTTAATTTCTATACCTCAGAATTAGACAATGATTATCATTAAAAATGCCATTGACAATAGCTGAGGATTGATGGGTCAACATCTTTACAGCGCTATATAAGAAGATTTTTAATGATTAGTGACCAAAACTTGTTTTTTTTTTTGCTAAATCTCAAAAAGCTATAAAATAGAGTTAGAAAAAAAACTAGTCATGTTGATGACATCATGTTGGGAGGGTACAATTCAGTAAAATTAATAATATAAGTTGATTAATATATCAAATGTATGCGATAATTTCTGGATAAACAAGTGATATTTGAGTACCAAACATGAGATAGCATAACACTCAATCGCAAAGTGAGAGGATTCATAATAAAAATAAATGTAAAATTATGCAATAAGGAATGAACAGAAAGAGGAATGCGTTAATTGAGTATCTTAATTTGCACTACGAATTCACCTCATTGGATACTTTGTAAAAAATATTATGGATAAATAATATAATTTTCGACATTTTAAGTTATATCAATAAGCTATAATTAGCTGTATTAAATTTTACTTAAATTATTAATTTTATTATTAAGATAAAGATGTGAAAAGCTCAGACAATGTGTCAACATTTTTTTCTGGTTTTACAAGTCTTTAAAGTATATCAAAATTAACATAGTCGGCAATCTACAGAATGTCTTTTTTATTATCATGACAAAACTGTGAGTCATGAAAATTTGAACTCGTTTTTCTTGTTCTGTAATTTTTTTTGATGAAAAGGAAATTCTTGATTAGCTTTCTGTCCCTCACCCCAAAATTCAACCCTTCTCATGTTCTCTAACCGTTCTAGCAAATTTAAGAAATTATCACATCCAAGTTGCAGTTTTAAATTAATATTCAAATCAAAAGGTTACCAAAATATCACATTAATTTGACTAAAATCCAAAGAAAATGAGGACATATATTTTTATTGCAAGTAACTCGAGAAATAGAGGAATGACATTTTCCAAAAATCGACACTTAAACTTTTTTTATTTCCGATTTGAGTCATTGGGCTATAAAATAAATATCAATAATATTTTTATCTAATTTTCCATCAACCTGAATTATATAAACATAAATATCAGAGATCGAAGCCGATTTTTTCGGCTTAACTCAATTTTTGATTTTTTTGATAGAAAAAAGCCATTTAACACCCATTTTAAGTATTTAAATTGAACTTTACATGCTTTACTATGATTCTGTGAAATATTTTTTCAGCATGTAGCTATAGTGAGCTCAGAATTTCAAGTTAAAGAATGTTAAGCCGAAATTTAAGCCGATCGGCTTAAAATCGGCTAAATTGAAATTCTGAGCTCACTATAGCTACATGCTGACAAAATATTACACAGAATCATAGTAAAGCATGTAAAGTTCAATTTAAATACTTGAAATGGGTGTCAAATGGCTTTTTTCTATCAAAAAAATCAAAAATTGAGTTAAGCCGAAAAAATCGGCTTCGATCTCTGATAAATATCAAAGGACGGTCCACAAAAATATGTAAAAAACAAAAATAAAGTTGTTAATTATGAAATCAAGGGGATAATAGCGTTTTGGGAATAAAATTTATTGAATGCTAATTTCATTGACATTGCAAAAAAATTTAACTTGGACACATAAATCTTGAAGTAAATCAACAATACGAATCACATAACTTCCAAAACTCATTAGCACTTAGGTGTTAACATCCTTCAACTTCCTTGAAATTTCTATTAAAAATCATCTGCATGACAATGCAAACAATTTTATTATAGCAAGATTAAAGTGTGCGAGGAAATATGATATGAAACTAATCATGTTAAGCTATAAAATTCAATAATAAACTACGACAATATCCTATTCAAAGTTTTTAAATACAAAACTATTTTAAACTTTTCTTAATCCAATGGATATAATAGCTATGAAGAAGTTGGTATTCTAGAAATCTAAAATGAGGACAAACATAATTTTAGACTACAAATAAATCAATTCTGTTCCACAATTGGTCACAATAGTTAATATTCAGGAAGAACAAGCATGTTAAAAACGTTTTGTACAGATTCGTATCCGTTGTCATTTTAGACTTATTGTATTCAGATAATATGTTATAAATGACTAATTCGATGCCTAGCCTATGTCTTTAAAATTTATAGCTCAATGTTTTGCTATACCTTGATGCTGATGCAATGATAAAAGGGGATCAAATTCATCATGTTACTAGCTTTGACACTTATTGTGATATGTTACTTAATCAGGATAATATTTTGAAAAATTTACATTCCTTTCTCATTTTATGACTCAATGTATTGACCAATAATCATGACAATTCAAGAAATTAGCAGAAACATGATGAGATGGCACTCAAATCTCTTGATCGGCTTTCATAATAAATTTAGACTGAACCCGTTCATTATGATTGATATTTATATAAATGGAAAGAGAAAATAATGTCTTTGTAGCGCCGATTCAAGTGCTCCAGTCGATATTATCACACGCAGGAAACCGTGAATGAAGAAAGAGACAGATGAATAGATTAGTCGAGAGCATCTTAAGTATCTCCCATAGTGAGCCTAAAAAGGCACTTTTAAATACATTTTCATATATTTAACCCACTTACTGATTTTGTTTTCGTTTGCGTATTCACTTAATTTACACTGAAAATCTTTCCAAACGCAGTTGAAATTCCCATATGAAATGACTGAATATCCAATAGCGAGTTAATCAATTTATTCATCCAAAATGAGCATTTGGTGGCATTCGAAATGAAATAAATCACTTTGAAGACACTGCTTTGTTGCTGATGATTCAATCATGATAATCCACTAGCCTCTCTTTATTTATTTTAGTGCGAAAACTATAGAATAATAAGATATTTACATAAGTGCTTATTTATGTGAGGGGACGTTCACTTATTATGGTATGTTACATTTTAGAGGACCTCCTCTTGGATATAAACTTAATTAAGTTGTGATTTTAATAGAGTTTCTAGGAAGGCCTAAAACCTGCCTCTGTTAAAAAATCTCAAACAATCTAAACCTAATAAATGAACAAATCCTGAACGAGAAGAAGGAAAAGCTACGAAAGTAATAATTTCGCGACGTTCATCGATCATCATACTTGAACTTTCCTTCCTTCTGTCTCTTCTTTAAAGTACTATTTTATCTCCTCAAAAATATATTTTTTGTATGCAAAAGAAAAGAAGTCGTGACAGTACAAGAAGTTAAAAATGTGCGATTCAAAAGGCAAAAGGCAATTATGAGATGAATAAAAATATTTTTTTGTGGATATAATGTAAGATCGTAGTATGACAGGTTACAATAAACTGATACCTATCAACAAGAAAGGCACTGCTCAGTGACTATTAATCATAATCTTTATAAAATAATTTCAAGTGTCGTATTGTAATGCAATAACGTTATTGTTTCCTATGCTTAGCGAAAGGTGGTTCCATTTCCTTTTGGACGAGCGGCTGTTTCATCACAGTCGTAAAAATGTACATTTTTGAGACAATGGTACGCATTTTAGGTGCTTATTTTCGTGTATCGTTATTGTTTTAAAATTACAATTATTGTTCATTTCACTCTGCCGACTGCAATAAATGCATAAAGCTGAACGTTTATGATCAATTTGTATGAAAATGAATTTGTCAATTATTCGAGCTTATTTTTATGGTCACAACCTTGCATATATGTACAATTCTTTTTCGGCATTTTAATCCAATCCTTCGCAAGAAAAATTTTTTCCATTTCTCACAGTCGACGTGCTTCTGTATTCCTTTCTTTCCCTTTTATTTTTTGTGCCTTTAAGAGGATTTTTTCAATTATTTTAAATTGCATGCTTCTTCGATATTACATAACAGTATGACATTTTGGTAATTTTTCACTCTCAATTATGGTCACTAACAACAAGTGAATTGATGTTGACATTAACACTTTTATTGCAAACTATTTCTGTTGTTTCACTTAAAAGGTATCCTATAATTTCGCAAATTAAATAGATTACACACATCCATAATGTCCAATTTTCTATTTTAAGAGCTTGAGAGTCTATAAAGAGCTTGCTATTTTCACGGTTATTACTAATTGTTAATCATGGGAAAAAAAGTTTGTGGATGGTCAATTTCTTCTTTCAAATGTGGGATGCATTCATTGATAACGTCACTTAAACGGCAGTAATGATAAAAATTATTCCATTCAAGTACGAATATTTTATGACAAAGTTGAAATTTTCGATTAACATCATAAATGAACGACCCCATTCCATAGACCAATTGAATTATATTTGAATGAAAGAAATGATGAGCATAAAATAGAAGAAGATACCTCTTTTGAATGTCTACTTTTCATTTTACAGCACCATTGAAATTGTCCGAAAATGAAATTATAGAGAATCATAATGACTGTTTGGCAGCTGCTGTGTTAATGAAAGTGAACTTTTTTTCGGTTAATCCACAAAAAATAGATTTTCTGTCTCCACAATTGCATAATACTCCGGCTTTTGTTTGTTATTTATGACTATCTGTGTTTGATGTAGAAAATAACGAAAAGTGAGAGATTTATGATGTTTTATGCTTGTAACTTGCTACTTACTCAATGTTTTATTTGTCTTTGTTTTGATTGGGAAATTATTTCACAGAAGATGTAACTAATGCTTGATCCCTTGACAATTTATTTGATTTTTTATTGTTGAGAATGTATGTTGTCAAATATTTAAATTGTATTTTCAAAAATTATCAATCGTCGAGCAATAGCTCGAGTTCGTTACTTGCAGTGAACGAAAAGCTAAAAATGTTTTTTTATTTTTTATTATTCTTTTAGTCGATTGCAGTATGTGCCGAATCACTATTCGATATTGATGAGTCGACATATGATGTAGATGATACGAATGCATTGGTGCCGGTTGTGAGAACAAAGCATCAAGCTGTTTCACACTCCGAAGGTTCAAATATTGAGCTGATCGATGTAAGATGTGACGCTAAGTCAGGAATGATTGTAACTGTTGAGTTTGAAGCAGTATTTTCTGGTATCATTTATTCTCAAGGTTATTACTCAGACCCTAAATGCAGGTAATTTCACATTCTTTATCAAATCACTAAAATCTTAATAATATTTTATGGAACTTAAAGATACGTGAAATCAGGTGGAAATGACCGCGTTTACACATTTACTGTGCCTTACGAGGGATGCGGAAGCAAAGCTTCATGCTCTGTATGCGCTTCTGTTGATAACATTTTAGTCATTCAATCAGATGAAGGAATTCAAGAAGTTTGGGATACAGCAAGAAGAATCACTTGTAGTCGTAGTGAAGTTGCTGAAAAGACTATCTATTTCAAACCATTCGTTGGTAATGATTCAAGACACACATTTAAGAGTAGCAAATAAAGTTTGACTTTTATTTTCAGTTGACATGTTGGAAGTAGTAAATGTCCCAACATCAACCGGTGGTGTTGAGTGCTGGATGGATATTCAAGTGGGATCATATCCAAAGATTGCACCAATTCCAGGCCCAATAAAGATCGGAGAAACATTGAGTGTTCTAGTTTATTTGAAAGACGATAGAAATGAATATGATATAATTGTGAGAGATTGTTGGGCATACGATAATGAAGATTATGGTGCAAAAACTACAGGACGCTTGCAACTATCTGATGGAAATGGATGTTCACGAAAGAAGAAATTATTTGGAGGATGGACAAAAACTGCTCAAACTGGAAATTCTGGTGCAACTTCTATTGTATACAATACATTATATGCATTTAAATTCCCAGATAAGGCTCAGGTGTTCTTGAAATGTGATATTGAGGTAGGTGATTTATCAATAAACCACGGAAAATTTTATTAATGAATTATTGCTTAATAGATTTGCCGTTTCGGATGTGATAAGCCTATTTGCGATGAGAAAGAAGTTTCAAAACGTCCAAAGTTAACAACCACCACAACTACTACATCACCAAGACCAAGACAAACAATTTCTTCCACTCTAAGGTCCAGAGTTCGAGTGACCACAGAATCAACTATTACTGATTCTCCTTTGAGTAAAGCATCTACCACTCGCAATATACCAATTCGAACACGACCAACAAGACCCATTGTAGTTGAGGATCAAAAAACTGAAAAAGCTACGACTCAACAAGTTACAACTGAAAGAACTGTTAGAGAAAGAATCACTACTCCAGCTCAAAGATTTACAGGAAGAACACGAGAACCAGCAAAAACTCAACCTCCAGTAACAGTCGTATCAACATTAGGTCCACTAAGATGCTTCCAAGGAAGTGATGATCCAAGATGTCAACGCACTGAAACCACTGCTCCAGAAATTCAAGTGACAACATCGAGGACAAGACAAAGAACTCGCCCACCGGTTACACGTGCAGAGGCAACTGTCACTAGAGGTAGAGGAAGACCAACGACTGAAGCTCCTGTATATCTCCCACCAGATACCACAACAGAATTCTCTTGTGAAAATCCAATTAATCGAAATGATCCAAGATGCAGAGCTGAAATTGAAAATACTACTATGTAAGTATTTTTCAAGAATTTAATATCAACCAATTGAAATATTTTTTTGTCAAATTTTTACTCATGCCGAAACTAAACAATTTTCTTTTAGATTTTCATGCGAACAAAATCCTGATCATCCAAAATGTTCGAGACCACAAACTACAAAAGTTATTGAGACAACTCAAAGACAAAGAACAAGAGGACCAACAAGACCATCGACAACTAGAAATACTGAAACTGTAACACAAAGAACAAGACCGTCAAGAGGTAGAACGACTTTGCCTCCCACATATTTACCTCCAGTAACAGAGTTTTCTTGCTCAAATCTTGAAAATCGAAATGATCCAAGATGTACTACAACATCAGCTCCAACCACGACCCGCGAATTCGAAACAACAGAATTTGTATGCAGATCAGGTTCAAATGATCCTAGATGTCCACCAGATTGTTATCCTGGAAATAGAGATCCAAGATGTCCACAATCAACAACTCAAAGACCAACAACAACTCGCAGAGTTGAAACAACTACTCAATTCGTATGTAGACCAGGTTCAAATGATCCTAGATGTTCACCAGACTGTTATCCTGGAAATCGAGATCCAAGATGTCCACAACCAACAACTCAAAGACCAACAACAACTCGCAGAGTAGAAACAAGTACTCAATTCGTATGTAGACCAGGTTCGAATGATCCTAGATGTCCACCAGATTGCTATCCTGGAAATCGAGATCCAAGATGTCCACAAACAACAACTCAAAGACCAACAACTACTCGCAGAGTTGAAACAACTACTCAATTCGTATGTAGACCAGGTTCGAATGATCCTAGATGTCCACCAGATTGCTATCCTGGAAATCGAGATCCAAGATGTCCACAACCAACAACTCAAAGACCAACAACAACTCGCAGAGTTGAAACAACTACTCAATTCGTATGTAGACCAGGTTCAAATGATCCTAGATGTCCACCAGACTGTTATCCTGGAAATCGAGATCCAAGATGTACACAAACAACAACTCAAAGACCAACAACAACTCACAGAGTTGAAACAACTACTCAATTCGTATGTAGACCAGGTTCAAATGATCCTAGATGTCCACCAGATTGTTATCCTGGAAATCGAGATCCAAGATGTCCACAACAAACAACACCTAAGCCTACTTTTATTCCAACTACTCAACCAGCAACTTATTTACCACCTAATACTACGCCCAGAATAGAAACAACCACTCGATTTGAATGTAGATCAGGTTCGAATGATCCAAGATGTCCACCAAACTGTAACTTGAATCCAAATGATCCTCGTTGCCCAAGACCTACAACTCAAAGACCAACAACAACTCGCAGAGTTGAAACAACTACTCAATTCGTATGTAGACCAGGTTCGAATGATCCTAGATGTCCACCAGATTGTTATCCTGGAAATCGAGATCCAAGATGTCCACAACCAACAACTCAAAGACCAACAACAACTCGCAGAGTTGAAACAACTACTCAATTCGTATGTAGACCAGGTTCGAATGATCCTAGATGTCCACCAGATTGTTATCCTGGAAATAGAGATCCAAGATGTCCACAACCAACAACTCAAAGACCAACAACAACTCGCAGAGTTGAAACAACTACTCAATTCGTATGCAGACCCGGTTCGAATGATCCTAGATGTCCACCAGATTGCTATCCTGGAAATCGAGATCCAAGATGTCCACAACCAACAACTCAAAGACCAACAACAACTCGCAGAGTTGAAACAACTACTCAATTCGTATGTAGACCAGGTTCGAATGATCCTAGATGTCCACCAGATTGTTATCCTGGAAATAGAGATCCAAGATGTCCACAACCAACAACTCAAAGACCAACAACAACTCGCAGAGTTGAAACAACTACTCAATTCGTATGCAGACCCGGTTCGAATGATCCTAGATGTCCACCAGATTGCTATCCTGGAAATCGAGATCCAAGATGTCCACAACCAACAACTCAAAGACCAACAACAACTCGCAGAGTTGAAACAACTACTCAATTCGTATGTAGACCAGGTTCGAATGATCCTAGATGTCCACCAGACTGTTATCCTGGAAATCGAGATCCAAGATGTCCACAAACAACAACTCAAAGACCAACAACAACTCGCAGAGTTGAAACAACTACTCAATTCGTATGTAGATCAGGTTCAAATGATCCTAGATGTCCACCAGATTGTTATCCTGGAAATCGAGATCCAAGATGTCCACAACAAACAACACCTAAGCCTACTTTTATTCCAACTACTCAGCCAGCAACTTATTTACCACCAGATACAACGCGCAGAATAGAAACAACCACTCGATTTGAATGTAGATCAGGTTCGAATGATCCAAGATGTCCACCAAACTGTAACTTGAATCCAAATGATCCTCGTTGCCCAAAACCTACAACTCAAAGACCAACAACAACTCGCAGAGTTGAAACAACTACTCAATTCGTATGTAGACCAGGTTCGAATGATCCTAGATGTCCACCAGATTGTTATCCTGGAAATAGAGATCCAAGATGTCCACAACCAACAACTCAAAGACCAACAACAACTCGCAGAGTTGAAACAACTACTCAATTCGTATGTAGACCAGGTTCAAATGATCCTAGATGTCCACCAGATTGTTATCCTGGAAATCGAGATCCAAGATGTCCACAACCAACAACTCAAAGACCAACAACAACTCGCAGAGTTGAAACAACTACTCAATTCGTATGTAGACCAGGTTCGAATGATCCTAGATGTCCACCAGATTGTTATCCTGGAAATCGAGATCCAAGATGTCCACAAACAACAACTCAAAGACCAACAACAACTCGCAGAGTTGAAACAACTACTCAATTCGTATGTAGACCAGGTTCAAATGATCCTAGATGTCCACCAGATTGTTATCCTGGAAATCGAAATCCAAGATGTCCACAACAAACAACACCTAAGCCTACTTTTATTCCAACTACTCAACCAGCAACTTATTTACCACCTAATACTACGCCCAGAATAGAAACAACCACTCGATTTGAATGTAGATCAGGTTCGAATGATCCAAGATGTCCACCAAACTGTAACGTGAATCCAAATGATCCTCGTTGCCCAAGACCTACAACTCAAAGACCAACAACAACTCGCAGAGTTGAAACCACTACTCAATTCGTATGTAGACCAGGTTCAAATGATCCTAGATGTCCACCAGATTGTTATCCTGGAAATAGAGATCCAAGATGTCCACAACCAACAACTCAAAGACCAACAACAACTCGCAGAGTTGAAACAACTACTCAATTCGTATGTAGACCAGGTTCAAATGATCCTAGATGTCCACCAGATTGCTATCCTGGAAATCGAGATCCAAGATGTCCACAACCAACAACTCAAAGACCAACAACAACTCGCAGAGTTGAAACAACTACTCAATTCGTATGTAGACCAGGTTCAAATGATCCTAGATGTCCACCAGATTGTTATCCTGGAAATCGAGATCCAAGATGTCCACAACAAACAACACCTAAGCCTACTTTTATTCCAACTATTCAGCCAGCAACTTATTTACCACCAGATACAACGCGCAGAATAGAAACAACCACTCGATTTGAATGTAGATCAGGTTCGAATGATCCAAGATGTCCACCAAACTGTAACTTGAATCCAAATGATCCTCGTTGCCCAAAACCTACAACTCAAAGACCAACAACAACTCGCAGAGTTGAAACAACTACTCAATTCGTATGTAGACCAGGTTCAAATGATCCTAGATGTCCATCAGATTGTTATCCTGGAAATAGAGATCCAAGATGTCCACAACCAACAACTCAAAGACCAACAACAACTCGCAGAGTTGAAACAACTACTCAATTCGTATGCAGACCCGGTTCGAATGATCCTAGATGTCCACCAGATTGTTATCCTGGAAATCGAGATCCAAGATGTCCACAAACAACAACTCAAAGACCAACAACAACTCGCAGAGTTGAAACAACTACTCAATTCGTATGTAGACCAGGTTCAAATGATCCTAGATGTCCACCAGATTGTTATCCTGGAAATCGAAATCCAAGATGTCCACAACAAACAACACCTAAGCCTACTTTTATTCCAACTACTCAACCAGCAACTTATTTACCACCTAATACTACGCCCAGAATAGAAACAACCACTCGATTTGAATGTAGATCAGGTTCGAATGATCCAAGATGTCCACCAAACTGTAACGTGAATCCAAATGATCCTCGTTGCCCAAGACCTACAACTCAAAGACCAACAACAACTCGCAGAGTTGAAACCACTACTCAATTCGTATGTAGACCAGGTTCAAATGATCCTAGATGTCCACCAGATTGTTATCCTGGAAATAGAGATCCAAGATGTCCACAATCAACAACTCAAAGACCAACAACAACTCGCAGAGTTGAAACAACTACTCAATTCGTATGTAGACCAGGTTCAAATGATCCTAGATGTCCACCAGATTGCTATCCTGGAAATCGAGATCCAAGATGTCCACAACCAACAACTCAAAGACCAACAACAACTCGCAGAGTTGAAACAACTACTCAATTCGTATGCAGACCCGGTTCAAATGATCCAAGATGCCCCAGACCATTCACGACTACTCAACGACCAGTTACCACAACATTATCATCATGTTATCCAGGTAATTATTTTTAATTTATTGTGAAAACGTATTTTAATTTTTTATTTTTATAAAGGATCTCCCGACCCAAGATGCCCACAACCATACAGACCATCGAGCACTCGACTTCCAAGCACATACCTTCCCCCCTTCCCAGTTGATGCATCACAACAATCCGTTAGACAATATCGTCAAATTGATCCTTCAGTGATAGAGGATATTAATGATTTAATCCAACCAGGAGCATCCGATTTCCATTCAATAGAATCTAGTCTTTCAGAAAATCAAGATCAAGCTGAAAATGAAAATAATTTATATATAAGAAGAAAGAGAGCAGTAACAGAAGAGAAAGAAATAATTTCCATCACATTAAATTTCAAAGGATATCAATTTGCTTAAATTGAGATGAATTAGTTATAGGAACACTGCCATCGTAGTATTTAAATAATTTTTCAATTTCTCCTTACTCATTACTAAAATTTTTTTTCGCAATATCAATCGATGACTTTTCATACCATGTAAATAAATGTTAATTTTGTAAATTGCTCCTGTATGAAATACTCTCGCATAACATTCGATGTGAAAATGAAAGAAAAATGTATTCTATACTGAATCAAATACTCAAAAAAATATAAATTATTGTTAAAACGAAGATTTTTGTATAAAAAACAATCAAAAAGTTTTTAAAAGATTTGTTTTATTCTACACAATCCAGAGATTTCTATTTGCAGACAGATTTAATTAATGTTTTCGCCATTTTAGCATGGCAACCCCTAGTTTTGCTTCTGAATCATTTTAGAGTCTAAATTCGTGGAAAGAAAAGTTTATATTTTAAAAAAATTCTTCATTTTTATCGACTATTTATCAATAACTGTTTCCTTAACTCATTCAAACTCAGCGAAAGCTTCCCAATGTGAGAAAAAAAAATTTGCATAGTAAAAATATGTGTATTTTCAGACAGAGATTATAGCAAAACGTCTAAAATTCAATAGAATCGTTAATTTGAATAGCTTTTCTCTTCTCAATTTTCAAAAAAATATTTTTGATACTCACCATCACGTACATGTGTCTACACACAATACAACCATAATTGAATATTTACACCGAAAAAAAAAAAACATTTTTTAGCGATCGAAGAATTAAGCGTATCATATGTTTCTGTTCATACAACCGTACATTCAATCGGCAAATTTTAAAGAGACGGAACGTCGTGAAAATATGTGTGTCGAAATTCCAACAAATCTCAATTTTACAACAGTTTCATTTAATTTGATAGTCAAAAGTTGTTCTAGAGTGATTCAAGAGACGTTTTTATCTGCTTAGTAAAACTGTCAAGTATAGTGAAATTGAGTGTAATTAAATCAAATAGAAAATGTATTTTGATTTATAAAAAGTGCTGATTAATTTATGTAGTATGATAATTCATAATTGATGATAACCTCTACGGGTACCTTAAATACTATGTATGATTAACTTTTAAGTATGTTCATTACACAAAAAAATCAGTGAACTTATTATATTTTAATCATTACATGAGATTTAGACAAGAAAATTGTAAGAGGAAAAAAAGAAATATTTTCCACATGACGTCATTTTGAATCTACTAGAGTCGGTGTTTAAAGTAGAAAGGAAAATTCAGAATTTTCTCCTTTGTGCTTTTTTTCTCGACTGAATATGTACTTCATTTGTTTAAGAAAAGTTCGGATTACCTCGCAAATAATTAATTTTAATGACCTTTCTCTCTCTTAGCAGATCGTCAGTACTAATTTAAAGACTGTAATTAGACACAAAGTTTAATGAACTTTATCGCTCGTTTACTATGTTGTCTGTGTTTTATGGAAATTCGAAGCTAATTAAAATTTTAGCTAATTAATTCAATGTCAATATTATTCGTAGCAGTGACCGACACCTCATAATATAGATAGTCAATATAACTTCGATTACAATGAACACACATTGATTTCGAAGATGAAAAAGAAAATCATAATATACGTAATTTGAATTCATCTTATCCTCTCAGCCTCTCGGACACAAAAATCGAACAATGAGTAATGGATTTGAGAGCAGCCGCATCTGACCTGATTTGGTTTTTCACATCTCTCACACATATATTCATGTTTATTTATAATTGAATATTTATAAATCTGCAGAGGATTTTCTCATAAACAACAGAAATACGTCAATATTTAGCGTGACTTATGATGAGAAAAATTTCCTTCCTCTTCATATTCACTTAAAAGATTTAAGAAGGTTTTTATTTTCTTAAAATTTTCACATTTCATTGATTAGGGGCCATTTACAGACATCTCTATCGGTACAAATTTGATCATGTCCCTCTCTCATTAAAAGCCTATTCCAGACATGCTTTCATGCATGAATGTTTAACTAGAGATTAGATTTAATACTCTTTTTGAATTGAATCATCTGAAAACCATCAAATTGATAAGAAATAATGCAATCTTATGTGTTAAAAATTGCGTTATTATGTCCAAGGCAGGGGTGAAAGGGGGAGAAGATTCACCATCGACGAGAAAATTTCTCTAATTTGCTAGAATTTAAAAAAAACTTAAAAAATCTCCCCATCTCCTCTTAATTTTTTGATGCAACGAGATTTCAGAGCTCCTCTGGCTACACCCCTAAGCTCAGTTATTTTTTTTTCATCTCCTCCAAATTAAAAAATTCTGGAATGTTCGGAAACTCTAAAGAATTTTATATGTAAACTCTCTTTTTGTTTAGAGCAACGTCGCGTGCTCGCGTCAATTGATGTAAAACGGAACTGTAGCGAGGCATAAAATTTTATGATCTTGTTGAGGCATTGCTTCCATTTCCGATGATGTTCTTAAATAAAAAAAAAATAATTAAATCTATTCACATTATTATTATTTTTTTCATAGAACGAGAAAACTCATTTTATTTAAAATGAATAATTCATGAGGTTAAATGAAATTGTGTGGAAAGGATTTTTAATGTCAGATACTTTCCTCCTTTCTAATGAAATCATAAAACAAAAGGAAATTTATCTCTTGAGTTTCCTGTGAGAAAGTGATGTAGTAATAATAATAATAGTGTTAATTCTTTCAATATAGACAGTCATTTTTAGGTCATTGTGGCTTCTGTCAATAAACATTAAATAAACTATGAAGTAGTGTAACGGATGAGTAAAGTTTGAGAAAAAAATCACCACAGGAATTTATTTTAAACAGTGAGCAACAATGCAGTGGATCCGTTTCTCATTTGGTAAGTAATTACATAGTATCATTCGCATAATAACATTGTCACGCCATTTGTAATGTGAAAATAAAATCTGTAAATATTTATTGACACGTGCCTTAAACAGTGACAATTCGAGTCTTATTTGTTGAATGAAATTCAGCTTATTTTTATCTCCATCATGGTTTTTTGTAAACAACAACTTTCGTTATTTAAATAAGCTAAGCATATAAAGAATGGACATAAGGTACTCGAGAGTTTCTTCTTCTTATTTATTTTGACATCAAACAATGATCGTTCTAGGTCTATTTTACACCCAAATGTGAAGAACTTCGTTCTTGTTTTGTTATGATAATCTTATATCTTTCCACAATACAATTGCATTTTTTTGAAGAATAAATATGAAAATCTGCATTCACATCTGTGAAACACATTTTGATTCTATGCTCTTCTGTCGATAGTTTCTCTCTGTTTGACATAGAACATTGAGGAAAGAAAAATCAACAAAAAGGCAAAAAGATAAAAAATATACTTCCCTGTTTCTTGCAGAGAATCGTCTTCATTTCAGTGCCGTAGCTAGGAGTTGACCGGAGCTGAATTAAAAATTTGCACCCTTTGCATGGAAGCTGGACATCCTTAAATTTAATTTTTGATACCTAAATTCTTGGTTTTTTCACATGTCACTCAGGGGAGCCAATAGTGTTCCTCCTTACTCCACTACTGCTTCATTTCACTCTCGTTAAGCATTAAAAATAATAGGAACAGCAGAAATACTCTTAAGTGCCTAATTATTGGAAACATTTCACTTAATTTTCATACTAGATGTCAAGCAATGTCGGTCACTACCGATACACATGACTGTCACAAGTTTCTTTTCTTTTTATTTATTTATTTTTTTTCCTCATGATTCAAAGCGAGCGTAAAAAATTTTATGATAGAATTTAAAATTCGTGACTCTCTTAACAAGTTGTAGACATTTCTTAGGTCAGAAAATATATTTCAATGTCACACACTTGTACTAATTATCGTAACATAGAGAAACTAATCGATTAATCACTTTTGCTACTTGTAGGTTCCAAACATTTTAAAATTTTTCATTGACTATGATGTAGGTCTTATAAATTGATGCTTGAAATATAAACAAAGTTAAGTTTATTCTAAGATATAATAGAATAAACAGTAATCGCGTATACACATTATATTTATATTAGATAATATCTTCAATTCAAGTCGAAATTATGCAATCAACTTTTACTTTCATTCAAAAAAATATAAATTGTCCAAAAAATTATCGAAACGATTCATACTGCGAAAAAGATGATAATGTTAGGGGACATTCAGCTATGACGTCTATCATCAATTATAGTAGATCTAAATTAAAGACACATCAAATAACAGAAAAAATTGCGAGGAAGGTAAAGGAATGAAGACAAATTTTAATAGACGTCATAAGTGAACAGCGCCTCAAGTCTTACTCATATACACGCAGCCATGGTCATGTATCATCATCTTTAATAATGAATGAACTGCAATAAGGAGAAATTATCCAATTGAATATAAGTACCGATACATAAGAAATGATAATAGTAATAATGGCAATAACCGCTTCAAATAATGTACGATTGAGATAAAGAGAAATGAATAAAAAAAGAAACAAAATGATTTTCATTCATTGTTCACAGCTTCGTACAGTTTTAAGTATCTTTTCACATCGATCTGAACATTTAGCACGTAAATCTTACCTTTTTCGGATTATTTGTATTAAATTTTTGCAAGCAAATATTTTGAATATTTTATTCAGTTTTGCGTAGTTGCAGACGATTGATTTTTATCAGACATTTTTTTTCCTCGGATGTGTAGCTACTTCCTTAATAATCTCAACAACATTTTAATGACAAACTCATGAGACTCACGAGGAATTAATGAAATTTTGGGTATGAATAAAAGTTAATTCATGCGATTAGATGCTAAGCTCAACTTTCTATAAAGGACGTATAAGTTTAATTATTTGATTATGCATCTCTCGTCGCACATGTCTTACTTCCTTTTTTTGGATTTCAAACATTCGAATCTCATACGTTTACTACTTCTAAAAAAGAAAATTTGAATATCAACAAGAAGCATAAGTGAAGGAATTAAAAAGAAGAAAGATGAATGGAATTAATTTCGTAGCTTCATAATGATCCGTCTCCTTCAATGTCTGCCAGAAACTTCATTCATATAAAACAAAGAAGAAGTCATCAGATGAAGGAAGGAAAGAAAGAAAAATAACAAAAAAATGATTCTAAATTCACAAGAAACTATTTTTAAAATGACAAAAATATTGCAAATGTGTACAGATGTAGCTAAATGAGCGTATGAATGAGAGATGAGACTCTCTATGCACTTTATCGTTACTTTTTTTATGAATGAAAATTATTTTGCCTTCTTTAAAATGTCACTTATACTATGATAGAAAACATGAGCACCGCAACATAAATTCTGAATGTAATACTTTTAATTTTGTGAATGAAAATGAGCATAAGCAGCACATCACGGGAATAAAAAAGTGTTAATGTTTCATGATTTTAAAGCGCATCTCATGTCATTAGATTTAGAAGCAATTTCCGTTGCAAGTAATTCTCAGTAAAAATTATAGATCAAGTAATTTCTAATTCCGAACAAAGTTATTTCTTTCTTTAAGCACACGGTCAAGTCAATCAAATTAAGCATTCAAATTATGCTAAAAACATGTGGGGTCGTCCACTAATGATAGCTATCAAAACCCTCCTTTCGTGTTTTGTAACAAAATTTTTATAGAAAAACATTTTAAAATTTAAAATATTGCCCTAGAATTTATAGACATCATTGTCATACGAACCCGTGTAATAGAAGAAAATAATATTAAGTATGATGATCATTTCTATTTATATGCACACTGTATAATCAAAGCGTCTTTCCATGACAAAAATTAACAATAGATCCCGTATATCTATGATCATATCATGCATGTACATCTACATGTCCCTTATCGGTATCTATTAGTATTCGAGGAAATCAGTTGCGAATCATCCCGCATTCAAATCCAGAAGACTGATTTAAATACAAACAAGATATATTAATAATATTCATTTGTATTTAAATATAATACAAAGGAAAAGCCCTTTATGCCTTTTATGCGTTTTTCCTACTTACTCCTACACCATTAAACATATATGTGTGTATATGAATATTCCCCATAATGTTCTCTGTCTTATATCAACAATACATACAACATACATACAATTACTTCTAAATGAAAAAAAAAGAAAGGAACAAGAAGAAGAATAATATAAATATTTCTGTATCGTATATAGAAGATAGAAAAGTGCATTTTGGAGAAAAAAACAATTTTGTGAACAGTCATTTCGTAGGGCTCGACAATATTAGATGCGTGTCACATGTCTTGCTCATATTTATTTTTTTTCAAACGTATTTACATCGAGTTATCATTGCGTATATAGCAACACGAATCAATCAGTTGAATTGTTTGTTTAATTCAATTAGACGAGTTAAATTCGATTAACATAAAAAAAGACATAATAGTGAAACATAAAAAAAATGTATAAATGGAATGAATTGTCATTGCTTTAAATGCGGGAGAATCTATCATAATGAAGTGATTTGTTTGTAATCATTCAAGCATAAACGATAATTATCATAGTGTTGAAAATATTATTTTAAATCATGATTGACATAAACAGCTCATGGTATTAAGTATACGATCGCCAAAAATAGTAAACATATACTCGTAGCTGCACAACTGTTAAAATACACATTTTTATGCAAATTGAGAATTTCCTGACGTGAAGAATTGGATTTTTATTTAAAACACGATAGTATATGAAGTGTGAATAATATTCTGTGGACGTGTTGCCATAAAAATTTTTTGCAATAACTACTCTTAGTCAAGAGAAAGAAGAATTTTTGTTAAAAATGGATTGGAGTCGATGTGATGAAATTGAATATGATTGTAATAATCAATATGAGAATAGTAGCATATTCCATACAGGTAATAATAAAATTCAAGTTCATTTAGATTTTACTTTATGATGTGTAATGCGATAGAAAACACTTAAGTTTACTTAGGATATAAACAGGAAAAATGAAAATATTTCGCGCTTAGTCTCAGCCATTTGGTTGAAATTTTGATGCTTCTTTTCAACTTTTATAAAATTAATAATTTAATCCAGTATATTCAAAAGAAAAGGAAGGGGGTGTTGAATTTTTTGTCTTAAAAACCTTAAATTCATTACTGAATTATGCATAAAAATCATAAAGTTCCGCTTATGGAGGTGATTTATTGAGTAAAATTCTTGCAACTGGATAAGGGGTTGTTCATAAATGATATATTATTTTTGTGGATGTTGTTTTCTGATGCTATATAACCCTTTTTAGTTTAAACATAACTTTGTGGCAGAATTGGAGATATTTAAAAGTCCTATTATTTTTTTAAAAAACATCATTTAGAATGACCCCCAAAGATCATTAAAACCGTTGCTTAAAAATGCTCATTTTTACGATAGTTGTTTATATCATTTTTTTACGATTCTTGCGAAAAAAAAATGAAGAATGATCAGAGAAAGAGTTTAAAGAAGCGGGGAAAGGAAAATAGTGTCGGAAATATATAAAAAAAAAAATGCAGATGGAAAACATGAGGAATGTCTGTAGAGCATAAAAAAGGTTCCCTTCAACGATCATTTACACCTCCAATTTATATGCGTTTGCTTGTTATTTCTTAAGAAAATGTGGTTAGTACTCCCATTTTTTAAAATCAAACTACTGTGGAAGCATTTCAATAATTCTTTCTCAAATATCATTCGAAAGATGTCAAATGTATGGATAAGTTAATTTGTTGCGGCGCTAAATTCCTTTTTCCCTTTCTTCGCTTCGTAATTTTCTGTGTAAAAATGTCGTCTCAAATTTCTTGGTATGCAATAAATATTTCAAGTCAGGTAGTGCGCTCTAAATCTTCATGTCTTAACCGTCTCAAATAATACCTCATAAAAATAACAATCGCATTCAATAAATTAACATTTATTGTCCGTAGCAGACAAAGAAGAATTTACGTTCTAATAATTTATTGTTTATTGGATCATTTCAGATAATCCAAATTATTTTGACATCGATTCTTTACCATCACCAACTGAGAGTCAAACCAGAAGCAGTGGAATTTTCACATTTAGAAAAAGAACATCTAGTTCACAGAAACATCCACAATCGCCAGCTACGATTGGTGTCTACAATAATATTGACAATACGAATGTAGGTAAACGTCGAGGAAGTATTAAAAATTTATGGCGATCGCGAAGCAATAGTGCCTCAGTTAATTATCCAAAGGTATAAAATGAATGGCAATAAAATATTTCTTATAATTATTTTTAATGGAATTCAATTTAAAAAAAATAGGATAGCAAAATACAGAACCAAGCGTGCAGGAATGTCCCAACAACACCCACAAATCCAGTCATTAATTTTCATCAACATCTTGAAATACACAATGAATCTCAGCACGATGAGACCGACGATGTATTCTATGCTAGATCAAGGTATTATTTTTTGTTTCTATTTTTAATATCACTAAATTAATTCCATTGTCTTTTCCTCTAAATTCCTTTTAACAGCGACCACAAATTCTTTCACAGTATGTCCCAAAATATTGATGATGATGAGAGACATCGTCGTCACTCGGTTGGAACTTTCGCTAGTAAAGACAAAATCAGTACAACTAGTTTCATTGATGAGCCGCCATTGGAAGAAGCACCCCGTGCTCCAACGCATCATCAAAAGAGAATTCCATATCAGAGAGGTGAGCTGATTATTTTTAAACATAAATAAACTTTCGGAATGAAAATCTCACAAAAGAAGACGATTTTTATGAAGTGAGAGAGAAAATTAATTTCAATTGAAGACAATCAAACATTTCCTTCTTTCTTATCTTACTTAATATCTTTCTGTATCCAATATAGAAGATTTCTTCTTTGTAATCGCTTATAAAAATAAGAGATGAGTACTAAAGAGTCATTCATAAATGACGATTTTTGAAAATGGAATTTAATGTTTCAATATTTTGTCATTCTTGATAAATTTTTGATAAATCGTTCCTCAAAAATGATGAAAATGTCCATCATAGATGAACAAACCCTTACAAAAAACAGAAATCAGTTTAATTTCAATTACAAAAATTGCATTAGCAATTGAGTATTAGTATACGAGCAGTCAGAGTTATTCAGAATAAAGAATCTTATTGATTTCCATTGAATTCTTAAAATTTTCGATGCATCACCCTACATTTTTGTATTATATTCATGTATGGAATTTGCGAGTTCGCCTTATGAATTCATTATTCACAACATTAATAGCTTTACATAAATGTATGTGCATTATTCATTATGCATGCATGCATTTGAAAATGTAAACTGAAAAAACAATGATTTTATATTGTGATGAGCACTCAATTACACATATAAATTGCCAATTGGGGTTTTCAGGACAGAAGCAATGAAATTATTTTTAATGCTACAAAATGCGTACATACATCATAAAAACATAACCTTGAAATCGTAAAAAAAGAATCAAGTGACAATTTGTGTCGCATAATAAGAAATTTTGTTTTTTTCGAGAGAAAATTGTGAAAATGTAAGACTGAGAAATTAATGCAGTCTGAGCATGTACAAACATAAGTCAAAATGTTTTGGATAAAAATCCTATTGAAAACCTTATTGATGAATATTTTTTGATATTTCCGATATTTTGCATAAGAAAATAACGACAGACAATCCAAATGTAAATTATATGGCTGATATTTAGGATTGTGTACATTCGAAATGTAATAAAAGAGGTCTTTTATTGAAAAGAATTACTCGAAAAAAGAAACATAAAAATAATGTGTACATGCTAGGTAAGCGCCAGATAAAAAAATACGTGAAAAAAATTATCAAGTAATTTTATGTAGTGAAATTTTATGCAAACTATCATACAAAGTACTCGCTGTCTATACAAAAACTTTACACAGACAACATAGAAGAGTTGAGTGGAACTACAAAATCACATCAAAATAAAATTATTAAATTCAGAAATCATCAGAGACATAAAGGAGAAGATATAAAAAATATAATAATAAAATTGCTTAACAAAAATGATCACGTTCGATGAAGCTTCCTCTTCTTTGACAGAAAATAATATCCAAAAGATTATTTTATTTATTTATTTATTTACCTGTTGCCTTTATCGACAGTTTAATCTTATATGTTTAATTCATGACCCTCCGATGTTGATGACTTCTAGTTTTGACTCTTATGGACATTCTATATATGAATATTAGTTGGCTTTCTTCCTTTTTAGAATAATAAACATTTATGCCTTTCATGGATTAATGGATGTTTTATTTAAGGTAGCAAGAAAAAATATTCTAGCACAATAATTTCAATATTCAAATGCTCATTTGTATCTAATGCTTATAAACCTCATTTTAAAAATAGACTTTGAATTGGAATTTGGATTTAAGATTCTTAAACTATGTTTATTGTGATATTTCAATTTACAATTCTATTAATAGACATCCTAAGTGTTGCCATAAGTAGAGAATTAGGAATCAATAAATTTTGGATTATAGTGGAAAATTATCATAAATTTAATGGAAAATTTTCTAATGCAAATGGAAATGGAATTTAAAACCTAATTGACACAATTAACATGCAAATTCATTTAAATAATCTGAAAATAATTCTATTGAGATTTTTTATTTAATCTAATGTTTCAAAGGTCGAAATTTTAGAAAATAAATATCAGTACATTACCCTTAGCTATCATCGAACATGCCTATTAACACTTTAAGGCAATGAAAAATATTTTTTCACAATTTTACAATCAATAAAAACTGATCATTAAACATCAAAAGGAAAATTTTCTCCTTTTAAATCCTCTGGTAATATCAAAATATTTTATTTGTACTTGAAATTTTTCCAAGTAAACGCAATTTTTAATTTGATCGTAAAAAAATCTAAGCCTAAATTCATTCAGTTGTTTAAACAAAAAAAAATAAATATTCTATCTCTTTTCACGAATACATTTGAGTAAACACGAATTTCTAATGACTACTTACTTACTCATTCCCGAATCAAAATATTCTTATAGCGAATGTGTGTACTATACAGTCACATTGAGAATGTTTGTGAGTAGAAAAATTTTATTATTATTATATACAATACTAAAAAAATTATCAAAAAGAAGAAAAATGAAAAAAGCTTAAAACAAAACCCTCAATTGCTTAATTCGTCCGTTGATTTTCATTATCATAGTCGCTATGAAAGATTCGTGAAGGGTTTTACAGTTTGAATCGAACAAAAAAAAATAATTCTTGGTGAAATCTTAAAGACACATTATCGAATTAAATATAATTAAGACATCTTGTGTTTAATTGCTTTTTAATTGATTTGATTTTGTGCCAATTCTCATTTTTTGACATCAATGAAATAATTGAAACAGTGCTGTGTGTTTTGTTGAAAATCAGATGATTTCGAATTCTTTAAAATCCCCAGATGTTTAAAAATATTTGAAAATAATTATTGAGAAGATAATCAGGTGTTGAAAAATGGACAGTGACGGTGAATCAGGTACGTCATAGAAAATAATATCTTGTACCTTCAAAATTCGGTTTAGAATTTCATTCTAAGAAATTTCAGAACCCTTTTCATTGAGTTTGTAGTTTCATTCATAAACATTTCATTTACGTGTATTCAGTGAGATTTCTATGAGATGAAACAGTTTAATAAAAATGAATACAAGTCTCAAACTGTTCAATGTCAAAACAATTTAAGATTTATGAGATTTTATGTCGCACAATCAATTTGTATGTGAGATTACTTTAAAGAAACCTTCTTTTTTGATGTATCCGCTAAGAATTATTCTTCATATCTTGTGAGAAAAAAAAATAGAAAGTCATTAAGTGAGTCAAGTCATAATGCAAATGACGAGATAAGACACAAAGTATTTTTAAAGTGCCATTTTTGGCCACAGAAAATATAAACGGTTGAGAACTCAGTTGAATGAAAAGAATTAATGGATAGATACAAAAAAATCCTTAAAAAATAAAATATGAGAAGGTCGTAAAGTAAGGTCGAAGGTCTTGAAAAGATCGAATTTCTTGCAAAAAAAAGTTCTTTTTTCGGGTTACACTTGAATGACTTTTTCTGCCTTTTTTTTGCTGTGTCGACAGCAAGGAAATAATAATTTCAGTTTTCTAACAAAAAAAAAAATAACACACAAAGCATAACGAACTCATCAAAAAGTGTGATGTCATTTATTTTAAGATGAACTATAACAGAAAATATATAATTCCTTACAATATGGCATTAATATGAAAACAAGATGAGCGGATATCATTGCGACAGTTTAACGAAATCATTAAGAAACATTGTCAGCATACGAGCGTAAGATTGTGACAAACAATGATTTAGAACTGTGGCGAAAAAACAACAAGACTGTACTACATGTGGAACGTATATTTTTTGAGTGTACTCAAAAATTATTTTCAAATTTCATTCCAGATGATGTTGATGACGATTATCGAAAAATATTTTTTTCGACTGTATATTAGACTGACAAAAAGTTAATTAAGTCATAAATGAAGATTTCATTTAACAACGCGTTGTTTATAAAAATTAATAAGGAAGTTTGTTGTCAATGATTCTGTGGAAACAACTCTGACTCAAATTATACGTGCTGTAGAAAAAAAAATATAACAGTGACTTTTGACCGATCCATGCATACAATAGCACATCTTGTAAACATAAATTGAATTGTTTTTATTTAGAAAAAAAGAGATTTTTCTTATGCATTCCTATAGGCTTTTAAAGAAAAAGAAAATAAAAACATATTTGAGTGAAGCATGTGCATCGCAAGCATGCCTGAGAGTCAAGGAAAATATTGAAGCTGCACCACATGTAGCACCTTTTTTCCTTCTCTCAGTACATTACTCATTATTTTAAATAAAACAACGAGATGACGCTTAAAAGTCATGAATGAATTATATATTTTTATTAACTCTACCCCAACAACAACAGTCGTTATTTAGCTTTGTTTATATTAAATTAAAAATATTTTTCTTGTAAACTGCGTCTGGTCTTGCTTAGAAAATTATTTTTGATGTGCAATTCATCACATTTTCTTGGAAGAAAATCATGAAAGTAAATACCAAAGAATTTGCAGGTTAATGGATGCGTAAGGTTAATGAATGATTTATAAACATGTATCGATTTCGCCAAAGTTTAATCATTCCTTTGTGAAATACTTAATAAATCTAATCCAGTAGGTCGATCTTTCAACAGCGGTAAAGATCAAGAAGGAATATAAATATGATCCATAATATCGTTGTTAATGATATATACAATAGATCTTCAGTTATTTTCTAAACAAAAACAGACGAAAAATCGTTTAACCGCACGTGCAATGTTAGAAAGCAGTAGCATTATTTCTTATTGTATACTCACAATTTTAACCCATTCATTTTAAAAAGAAATGAATATTTAAAAAAAATGGATTTTCTTTCGTTGAGGAACAATTCAATTTCCTGTCACTGACTATAGAATAAATATAGGAGTAAGACAGAGACACAATAAAAATCCAGTAAAAAAATCACTAGACATGCACAAAGAACGCATTATTTTTGTGTGCTTATTGTTTTAGCATTAGAATTTTAAGGAACATCGATATTCATAGATTTTATGCAAATTGTCATGCCACCCGAGTATGGAAATCAATTCCTAGAATATTTTTAACGAACAAATTTAGCTACAGACAAATTGTCAACAGTAACGCAATACTTCTCAGAAAAATAAACCAAAAGTCATCAACATGGAAAATTATTATGTGGATGCGCGCTACATAACAACAAATGCCGAGAACATATTTAATTAAAATTTGTTTAGACTTTTTGTAGCAATGAATTCCACTTCCTTTATCAAAACGTATATTATAAGAACATAGACTTTAATGCAGCACTATCGTGATGTAGAATATTTTATGACGAGTTCTTTTTTTGCTGCTAAAATCCTTTTGAATCTTATTAATGTTTTATTATCCAGAGACATAATGAAAAATTTCTCCATGCATTCATTCTTATTAAAAGACGAGGAAAAAGAAATTAATTTCTTAAGTGGTCTCGTCTTGAATAATGCACTATAGTCTCGAAAAGTTGAATAGCTCACGTGCATAAGTACATTTAACTTCTGGCTTATGTCAAAAATGGAATGAAAATAAATTTAAATTTCACAATGGCCATTACTTAATAACAATAATATATTCGATCGACACAACAAGCAATGTTCCTTATATGAACTTCTAACATTACCTTAAATAACATCCATTTCTGTACAATAACTGTGAAAATGTTCATCAACACAAAATCCATTAAAAAAATCTTTCACACCAAACGGAAGTTCTTATTCTTTTGCATTTTGTTGACTGACAATTTTTATTTTATTTAAATAATAGAAAATTTAATGAGAAGTACACCAGTCACGCACGACACAACAAAAATAATTGAATGATGGCTCTTACATTGTACTTACAAGATTTGTAATAAAATACCACACAAGAAATGACGAAAGTTGAGAACATTGCTAGGAGTAGATCATAGAAATAGATTCTATCAATGAGGGAGGGATGAAATTTATTTTTATGATGTGTTTTTTGAAAAATACACTTTTTTATGGGCTAAAGTAGTGAATGATATTTTATTTTTATGACGCGCGAGTTGTAAATTATTCTGTAAACTAGATAGATATTGAGGGATTGAGCTAATGAATTGAATGTTATAGGAAGTTTCATGTTAACTTTTTAATTGTTATGATCATTCCATTTACATGATATTTATACTTATTGTTATTGCCTCTGATGATCATCATTGATATTTATGGAAGGTTATTGTGAGATTAAATGGATTACTTATTGGAAGGGTTCTATCATTAGCGATGTAGAATGATTGGAAATGTTTCAAAATCTTGTCGTTGAGTTGAAATTTATTTAGATGCTACCTATATTTAGCAACAAATAGCTTGATATGAGCTTGATAATAGAAGAAATAATAAAAGTCTCAGTACGGTTCGTTCTCTAATCTAGGAAGTAGATGTATTAAGTTACCTAATCAATGAATGGGCTGCTCACAATTACAAAGAATAAATTCCATTCATAGGATGTAAATTAAACGAGGTTGATCATATTGCACGATTAAGCAAGTGTAAAATAAATTAAGACCCTCGCACAACTATCATAAAAATTATTTCCGTAATATTTCAAAAATGCTTCCTTGCTTAGAAAGAAAATATTAAATAACATAAATCTTTATCAGGAAAATATCAATCAACAGTTTTCCAATTTTCCGATTTTTCCCCGTTGTGAAGTGAGGAAAATCATTTAAAATTTCTCATGAAACGGAAGTTTAATTCCATTAAAGAAGAAACTACGCAACATTAACTGATTATCTGTGTGGCCAAAAGGAAATTCCATTGAAATTACTTTCATTTATATCTACATCGATTGTAGACTATAAAGTGAATGAAGATCATACACATTCATTGGAAAAAATGTAAGAATTTCATTTACTTACTCAATATTTGAATGTTGCTAACTTACACGCGAATTGATAATTGAGTCAAACGATTTTTTTTTCTTGTGCTGTTTTGTATATAAACAAGGGCAAACATAAACATGTAGGGAAAAGAAAGAAGAAGAAGATGACGAAGCTAAATAAAAAAATTATTTTACATATATGTGATGCTATTAAAAAAATATTAATCAACTATAATAATTGTTGTTCATTTACAGATCAGTCAGTTTTGAGTGCTTCTGCTTGCGCTAACATGGACGACATATTAATTGTGACAGCAAAAAATAGTGAACTTGGAATTTTGTGGGTCAACTATTTGAGGGCATGTTTCGATAAGATTACAAAGCAACGCGGTCGGATGTCTTTTAAGTGAGTATTTGATTTTGACTTTCTTATTTAGAGCATAAGCTATTAAAATTGGAGTTTACAATACAAATTAATCATATTCAATCAATTAGTTTCTTACATATCAAGATTGACGATGACAAGTTCGACAGCGATTTAATTCAAAGATGTCATACAACCAAGCTACAAATTGTTATCATTTGTCCATTATTAATAAATTTGGAATTTGGGATGGTAAAGTCTAGATTATCACAAATATTAAAATCTGATCGTACTATTGGGATGCTTTTAGACGTAAAAGAAGTTCAAATGCTTGATATTCACAGAGATAGTAAGTTTATTAGCACTTTGGTCATTAGTTTTGGTAATAAAGTTAATTTTACTTTGTTCTTTCACGCAGTCTTTCCATCGTATAACAAATGGAGGAAATGTGTAATCCGTGACCATGATCAATCATTTGTAAGCAATTTTCTGGGAATTGCACAAGACATTTTAGGCCGTGCATTGAGACAGCGTCCGCTTGCAACAGAAGCTGCAAATGTGAATCACACGACTCACAGAAATGGAGTGTCCAACACGATTGTAAGCGGAAAGAATCATGATAATTTTACAGTAATTCCAAAGAAGATGAAAATTGGTCAAAATAAAGCTACGGTTATGTTGACGGAACCATTAGACAGAGATGATTTTGTAAAGGTGAAAATTGAGAAAATTGGACACACTCTTGACATAACAAACATTAAGAGACGGAACCCTTACACATTTCATTTTACCGTACCTGAATCGTGTATGGAGATATCAATGATGATTGGTATTCGTGTATATAAAAATAATACTGACCTTGGCGTACGACCCATAAAATGTGAGAGTCGTTTGAGAGAACTAGAACAAATTTTAAAGAGCTCTGAGGCCCCGATGGATTTTATGTGCCAAGCACTTGGAATTTCTTCAGCTGATAACGAAAAGTTAGATTTATACGTCGTTCAGTCATTTCAAAAGAATATTCCGCCAAATTTTCATCTCTTATCATCAGTCAATGACACTTCAAGTACTCTGAGATTGCATAGTGATGCAAATCCCGAAGAATATCCAACATTAATGCATTTTGCTGCACGATTTGGACTTGAACGACTCGGATTATTGCTACTTGAATGTCCTGGTGCAGAAACAGCATGTGAATTGAGAAATTTAGCTGGAAAAACACCCGCAGACATTGCAGAGTTGCATGGACATTTCAAGCTGTCAAATAGCTTCAAAAACTTTTCGGTAAAAAATTATTAAATGAAAATTTTTATGACATTTTCATGACATCCGGATTCTTTTTTAACTCTTTACAGAAAATGAATGAGTTTACAACAATGTACCATTATTTCAAAGGCATTTCCGAAACAGCAGATGACAAAAGTGTTGTTGAGATACAAGCAGTTACAGTCAAAGAACATCACCTTCCACCGACCGAGGAGTGTACGAACGATTCATATCCAACACATTATTTGGAAATGAAAAGTATCAATGGAAGTGACGGCAACAACAATGATATTAAACTTACAGATATAAATGAATCTCATGGTATTGCAGTTGCGAATCTCAGTTATCTCAATTTGGACAATGATATATTGGAGTTTGACTCAATCGATGTTGTTGATGGACCAGCAATTGAAATGAAACCATTAAAAAAGAGAGATTCAAAGGATCTCATAAATAATTTAAATAATATGAAAATTAAAGAAGAGGACGAGAAAGAAATTACGAATGAATTGAAGATCACAGAAGAAAATTATTACGAATCAAATGAACAAAATAAAGTTGCTGATGACTTTAGTAACGTCTGTTCAGATGCTCTTGAGAGCACTTCACAAACGGAAACAATATCTTTAACACAATCAACAAACTCAATTCCATCATCAAACAGCGACAATCAGCAACAGTCATTTCAGTTTTCAGATTATCTTATTCAACCATCAAATCGTCCTGTTACGAATGCCTTTGGCGATTATCTGACACATCCATCAAACAGACCAGTCGAACATGAAGCTTTTATGCACGATTATATGAATCAATCTATTGAAAGTGAAGACAAAATAGAATCATCACATTTACGATTGTATTTCAAGAAGAAAACACCGTCAATGACAAGTGACAAGAATATAAATGGCAGAGAACTTGCATCGCCAACAAAATCGCATAAATCTACGGGCACACTGAAACGAAACGATAGTGATGCATCATCAAAGAAAAGTGTCGATGATGAACTTCTGGAAATAATTAATGACTTTAAGAATAATGTTTTTACAATTCAGGAAGTGGAAGAGTTGGTTGCAACATGGAAGAATCGAAATGATGTGAAGAAGAGCTTTAAAGAGAAGCAAGAACAATTACAAAAGATGCGAGAAGAATATGAGAAAATACAGCAAAATATGAAGGATAGATTAAAGCGTCCTTCACCTTTCGAACGAATGAAGAGATTATTTATACGAAAGCATGACAAAACGCCAATGATGGATTTTTCACTGCCGATTAATTTAACAGGAAATCCAAATTTTTCAACATTACCAAATTCCAATCAACGACCAAATAGTACATTGAGTCTACATAGTGCATCTAGTAATTCATCAGGAAGAATGAGTACGAGTAGTCAAGTAAGTGTAGGTGATCGAGACAGTGGAACACATTCTGATCATGAAGATCGAAGGAATCATCATCTTAATAGCTTTAAATCTATTCAAAATGGAAGTTTAATGGAAAACTATTTAATTCCACCAGCACCAAGACCAATTTTAACACCTTTATCTACACCTGTAGATGAAAAGTGTAGTTTGTCAAGTTTTTCATTAAGTCAAAATGTAGCCACTACATCATCAGCAGAAGTAGCTAATGAACATTACATTCTATTCCCTTCAAATGTACCCGTCTTTTCACCTACTATAAAGAAACCAAATGAAAACACATTCATTACTTTTAAAGGCAATAAATAATAAATTCAATATTTCTATTATGTTAGATCTTAAGGATTTTTAAAGTACTCTGATAGAAATGTAATTAATTTAATCGAACAAAAAAAGGAAAAACATGAGAGCAATTAGTCATTTTTTTATACATATCTATATATCAAAAATTTATTATCGATATTATTATTTAAGGCTTATATTTTATGTATATCAATGGAATCAAAGAAAAGAGTATTGACAAAGAATAATTAAAAATTTATGTTAGATATTGTATGCATTCTTTTTTCTAATAAACAGTAATAAAAACCAAATAGTTCTATGGGGCCGTTCACTTATTACGTTCGCATTTTAGGGGGGGGGGGGGGTTATGAAAAATTGTAGCAAAATGTAACAAGGGGGGGGGGGGGGGGGGGGGTCAAGAACATTTTTTTTTTAATTTTTCACCTTTTTAATGATAAAATAATTTATGAACGTTCAGGGGGGAGGGGGGGGGGGTGTGAGTTGTAACATATTGTAAAAAGGGGGGAGGGGGGTGGTGAAAAAGGTCGTTTTTTTGCGTAACGTAATAAGTGAACGGCCCTTATCTATGAATCTATAAATCACTAAAGTGTCTTCTTACTTGGTTTTTTTTTCCTCTACCTCTTCATAGACTGAGAAAGCCCTATAAAGATTACAAAGCTAATAGCCAGTTTAAACGTAATTAAGTTAAAATGTTGATATGAAAAAATGAAACCAAAAAACAGCCCCATGCTCCAGCATGTTTTTTTTGACTTGACGGTTATTAAAAAATTCAAAAATTTCCGAGACGACTTAAAGATTGCTGGTCGGTGTGGTAAATTAAAGACCGGAAGATTTAGTTCAAACAAGGTATGTAGGCTAATTCCTCATTATTAAAATTATAAAGGCATGTAGATACAGAATAGATTACCATATAGATATAGTTTGCTCGAATAATCAATAGCTAGTTCGTGCTTTATTGACATTCATTCACATTGTCTTATCATTTCTTGAATGAAATCTTTTAAATAAATTATTTCTATCATAAACAATCATCATTTGTCCAATTTATCCATCATTTCTTTTAGTGAATTATCGTGAATAAATAATAAGTACTCTAGTTTTATCATTAAGCCGAAAAATTTCATATTTATTATATAATTCATGAGATTTTTCCGATTTTCCTTTCGTTAAAGAATGCTCGGTGGAATTATTCGCAGTTGTCGCTATTCCGTTCAATCAGTAAGTTGCTTAATTTTGTTACTAGAACAGTTTTTTAATAGTCGCTTACGGGATGAATTATAGCATATAGATTAGTAAAGATCCAGTAAAGTTTATTAATTTAGAGATTTTGCTATAAAAGTAATAGTAAAGCATGCCTGTGTTTTATAGCATACCTTTCATATTATAGCACCAGTCATTTTTACTTGGATTTTATTCAGTCTTTACAGAACAGTGTAGCAGGAAGCAACTCGTCTTGTATCACATTAAATTTAATTCGAAATTTTTCCAAAAAAATGGGTTTGCCACGAGTTTTCTTCGATTTAAATGCTGATGGACAGCCCGTTGGAAGACTTGTTATCGAGGTATGTTCAATTTCATAACATAATTGGCTGAATTTTCAATTTTTCATTTGCCGACTTAAAAAATGTGGTCATGAGAAAAAAATGGTCGAAAGCTGTATTTCCATCTCCCTCACTCATTTATGAGCCGGCTGTTTTAGTGTGAAAAAGTGTGATTAAATGTCAGAAAATCGATAGTTTCATGCTCAACAATTTACACGAACGACAATCATATCGTTCATTAATTATTAAGAATTAATAGCTATCCAAACAATTGAAAATAGGATAAATCAGAGGTGTCGATTTGTGGGGAAACAGTAATTATAAGTAAAGCTAGACGGTTCGTTAGTTGATAAAATAATCAGGCTAATGTATGGAAGGAATAAAAGGTTTTGGAATTTTCCATTCGACTTTGTTGTTGCATTAAAAAAATTCAATTGTTCTGAGCTTGCATTTAGGGCTATATACATGTATGTACGTATGAGTCAAAGAATTACTCATACAAATGTATACTGAGAATTTAAAGCGATATAAGCAGCAGTAAGAAGAAGACAAAGTTGGCGTGAAGAAATTGCACATACGATAGAAAAAGACAGACATATTCTCAATCTGTCGCAAATGGAACTTGTTTGGTGTTTTAGTAACGCATTTTTGCGGCTAATGCTCCCCTTTTTATCATTGCATTTCTGACTAGTCTTTCATGAAAGTAACATGAAAGGAGAATTTTATCGATTATTCTAGATAATAAAATTTGACCAATAACATGAACGACCTTCTTTATACACATCACATACATAAAAATGCGCTAGCATCGACCGTCCTTCACACAACTTGAAACTTTTTCTCAAAACTTCTTTCGTCTCATGATCTTACCAATAAAATATTTTCTCCTCTCGTCCTCATCTTATTTTATCTTATTAGCACTAATCAAGAAAATGTCTATTGTTTCTTTTCCACTTTACATATACATAGCTCCGTACAGATGTCGTTCCAAAAACTTGTGAGAACTTCCGTGCTTTGTGCACAGGCGAAAAAGGATACGGATATAAGGGTTCAACATTCCACCGTGTAATCCCAAACTTCATGTGTCAAGGAGGTGATTTCACCAACCACAATGGCACTGGAGGAAAATCAATCTATGGCAATAAGTTTGAGGACGAGAATTTCACATTGAAGCACACCGGACCAGGAGCCATGTCGATGGTAATTCATACATTATATCCTCACTTTATTCTAATGTCTTTAAATTTCTTTCATTCAGGCTAATGCTGGACCAAACACAAATGGTTCCCAGTTCTTCATTACAACCGTTAAGACATCCTGGTTGGATAATCGTCATGTCGTTTTCGGCGCAGTTGTTGAGGGAATGGATGTTGTCAAGAAGGTTGAATCATACGGAACACAATCCGGTAAACCAACAAAGAACATTACGATTGCTAATTGTGGTCAACTTTAAATTACACAAAACATTAAATAACAATCCATTCACAAATCCCCTTCTATTCTTAAAACTCAAATTTTGTTTTCTATGCCACACTCAACATTAATTATTTCATTAACCTGATAATAATCATTGAATGTGCATTTTTATGAATTAAAAAGAAAAAAGATAATTTCTGGAATCAAGTACATCTATATCTCATATGAAATACAGAACAAGAATAATAATAATAATAAATTGAGACTGGCAATTTGTAAAGTTGACTCCTAATATCCTCTCCTTACCTTACTACATTTCTTTCTTGTTAAGACTAATTTTTATTTGAATGCATAGTATCTTTGGCGATGAGTTGAAAGAAACTCGTGAATTTTTTTGGTGAGAGAATAATGTGGTAACTGGCATTTAATCTTTCAATTTTTTAGTTGACATAATAAAAATAAAATAATTTCAACAAAACAACACAATTAGTAGTGTATAGTTCCTTCATTAGATCTTTTTCAGTGGACAATAGTCAATTTCAGCATGACTAAAACTATGGAAACCTTAGACAACGAATAATTTGAATAGTATGCAAATTTAAGTAGACACGTGTGGTCAGCATTACACCACACATTTTTGGTTTTATAAAATATTCAGTAACTGCTGAAAACCATCTAAAAGTTCAAATACTGTTGTATGGATTTCAGATATAAATAGCATCACTGTGCAGCTGTAAGCATCACACAGAGTATCAAATTACATAATTACACATTCAGCTTGATATTTATTCATGCCGTCTATAAATGCAAGGAACTAAGTTCAAACATCACATTGATTCAAATTGGAGCGAATTGAACGTAGAGCGAATTGAAAATAACGGTCAAAAAATATTTGAAAAAGTTCGTATTTGAATACCACCATTGAATTACAAGCTAAGATAGAGAAAAAGTTAATTATATCAAAAAGTCGATAAAAACAGCATAAAATATCATTAACAGAGCATAAATCTGTAGTTAAAGTTACATAAATTGTTTTAATTATATTTTTGATTAGTTTAAGTGTAAGGAAAAAGTGATAAATCAATGATTTTAAAAATGTTTTACTGATCACATTTTTTCTCATTATAAACTCCTGCAAAGTTCTTAAAATTTTCTTCTTATTTATCGCATATAAAGCGGATAAATAGCATTAGTAAAGTAAGTATAAAAGGATATCACCAAAAAAATTAAAGTTTGACGCCATGCGTAGTTCTATGGATGAAATTGTTGATGGCGATATTAAGGAAATTAATAAAAATATCAGTGGAAGAAGAAGTATTCGAGACAATTACAATTACGAAGAAATTTCGAGTCGCAAAAAAGTGAATAATAATGAAGACCGATCAATTTCGGAGCCACCACAATCACGTTATTCATCGACATATACTAATAATCACAATACTGGATCAGGTAGACTGAAAACAATTCGCGAAAAGCAAGTTGTAGACGATGTTGGATCGTCTGAGGATGAAGAGGATTTTTCAAAATCCAATAGCCAATTGAATGAAAGTGATTTAGATCTCGAAATTCCGGAAAGTGCATCACATACACCTACTCCAACATTATTGACATCAAAATCTCGCCGAATAAACAGTGAAACGAATTTGAATGATTCAAAGAGACGATTAACAGGTTTTATGGGCAATAGGAGTAAGCGCTTTTGTGCATCTACTAGTGAATTGAACTTTGCATCACATCTCGATACACATAAATCATTATTTTCGCCGAAAAATAATCAAAATAGCCGTTCGGGAAGTCTCTTTGGAAGTAATATGTCACTAAATAGCACCAATAGTCGGCTTTTTGTGGCCAATTCACCATTTTATAATGGTAAGACAACTTTTGGTGGTGCATCAGCATATCCAAGACGAGATATTAATCAACATAAAGTGTTGAGGACGCCTATTCAAATGAGACCATCGTCAAGCTTATCAAATTCATCAAATACATCAACCAAATCGGAGGGAGCTTTAGGGCCGGAATCAAATGCTGCAAAACGTATACTTGAAATTATGACACAATTTAGTGGTCCGCTAAAGGAGACTCGTAATATGGGAAATAATATCAATTCAATGATTAAAATTCCAGGATTAGTTCAAACTCGTAAGCGATTTGGCGATGAGGATTTACAGCTGGATCGAAGCATATCATTAACACGACCAACTGCTCCTTACAGTCGTCCTTTAGTAACATCGAGAAATCAACAGCAACAACAACAACCCGAATCGCCTTCAATATTATTGAACTCACAGGCAAATTCAAAGACACCTCAAATTCCGACAATGTCACAGTTATTGAAAATGAAGAGACTTCAAAATAGCACAGAACGCGTTCGTGAAATTGCAAATCGGTCTGAAAACTTCCTTAATCAAACTCATGAATATAAATTACCGTCACAAAACGATGAATTACAATCAAACAATACAGTAAATGCTACTTCATCGTCCTCATCATCATCATCATCATTTAAAATGAAAAGTAACATCACGAAGAATCTATTAAGAAACGACAAAGGAATCGATGAACTTCCTCCAACACCTCTCAATCTGCCGAATATTCAATTGCCAGAGTTAAAGTCAATTCCAAAGTTTGATATTAAACTTCCAAATTCAAACAAATCACCAACATCATTTGTAGCAACAACAGTAACAAGTAACAATATTATTGCATCCAAGTCAATCAATATCGATAAAACGCCCTCAATTTTCTCAACAACAACTTCACCATCATCATTATCTTCTTCGACGATGTTCAAAACTGCCACAGAAATGACAACAATTAATCAATCAACAGAGATGATTAAGGAAAAGATAGTTTTGAAAGTAAATAATAGTAGCTTTATATTTTCAAAACCAATTCGATTGAGCGTCAGTGATGCTGACTATTTGAACTTAAAAGTCACGACTGATTACTTTAAGTTTAGCCAGCCAATTCTTATTGACGATGAAATGAATTCATCAGAAAAAGTTTTAGGTAATTATACAATAGCCCATAGTAAATTCCATAAATTACATTATTATTCTATTCTATTTTGTTATCTAAACAGAAATTCAGCCAACAAAGCCAGTGACAGATAATTTATTTAAAAATCTTGTTGCACAACAAAAGTCTCAATCATGGGAATGTGATTCGTGCATGACTCGAAACGATTTTGACAAGACCAAGTGTTTATGCTGCGACAGTGTCAGACGGGATAGTGGGATTAGTTCTCATTTATCAAGCACGTCCTCTATTAAAGGTAAGTCATTTGTTTGTGTATATTAAAAGTCTCGAAAACATAATAATTTCCTTCATTTTAGAATCCTCAAATGCACCGCCAACAGATGATTTATTCAAGACTCTTGCCGCTCAGCAGAAAAAATCACAGTGGGATTGTACTGAATGCTTTAGTAAGAATGATTTAGATAAAGAGAAATGCTTGTGCTGTGAAACTCCAAAGCCTGGAAGTAAACCAACCACAACTAGTTCCTCGTCAGGATTTAAATTTGGAATGCCTGCTGTTGCACCAGCTAAAGACGATTTGTTTAAGACTTTAGCTGCTCAGCAGAAAAAAGCTAATTGGGAATGCAGTGAGTGCATGACAAGTAATGATGTAAATAAGGAAAAATGTGCATGTTGCGAGGCTCCAAAACCCGGTAGCCAGAAAGTGTCAAGCCAAACCTCAAGCTTTTCTTTCGGTGTAAAATCATCAACAAGTGATTCGCCATTAAAACCTCAATTTTCTTTTGGAATGCCAACATCAACACCTGCTTCATCGTCATCAAAAAATGTCGACGCAGATTTTAAGAAAATTGTTGAAAAACAAAGTGCAAATTGGGAATGCTCAGCATGTATGACAAGAAATGATCAGTCAAAATCAAAATGTATTTGCTGTGAGCAAGCAAAGCCTGGCTCATCGGAAAATAAATCTCAATTTTCATTCGGAAGTAAAGTTTCATCGACAGTCTCACTTCCAGCGCCATCAGAAGTTAAATTTTCATTTGGATCGCAGCCAGTAAAATCAGATACAGCATTAAATAAGGATGAGAATAATAAGAAAAATGACGATAAGGTCGATGAAGTTGATAAGCCAAAACAACCATTTTCATTTGGTGCCGTTAATAACACATCAAGTACTGAGACGTCAGCATTTTCAGCATCAAGCTTTACATTCAAATCACCTCAAGCCAGTACAGTAAATGCTTCATTTACAATGAAATCACCAAATACAGTTGGAGACAAGAAAAAGGAAGAGGACGTAACAGAGAAAAGTGACACGACTGAAAAAGGAACTGATAAGACTTCAATGTTTTCATTTGGAAGTAAAACTGCTAATGTTCCTGAAAAGAAAGTTGCCTTCGATATTCAGCCAAAAGTTGCTGAAGAAAAGTTGCCTGAAAAAGTAAGTGACGAGAAAAAGGCTGCTGGTGGTTTTTCATTTCCAACAGCAACCAGCACGCCTGCACTTGAGAATGCAAATAGTGCTTTAAAAACTAATGGAGGATTTAGTTTCGGTGGATTTGCAAAGCCTGAAACAACCACAAAGGAAGACAATAAGCCAGCTAGTGGAGGTTTTCAATTTGGTGCAGCAAGCACAAGCTCTCCATTTTCAAGCACATCATCAACTGCTTCTGTACAGCCAACTAGTACTTTTGCCTTTGGATCGCCTAAAATACAGACAACTGAAACATCTGAACCTCAAAAGCCTGCAATTTTCGGTAGTTTTGGAAATACAGCACAACAAACTAATGCATCGCCTTTCTCATCGACCTCAACTAATCCCGTTGCCACATCCTCAACGCCAGTTTTTGGACAAAATGCAGCTTCAACTTTTTCATTCGGTGCCGCAGCAGCCAAAAAAGATGAAATTACTCCAATCTTTGCTTTTGGAAACTCGAAACCTGCTGCAAATTCAAATATGGTTTTTGGAAGTAGTACTTTTGCATCGTCAGCATCGACTCCAAGTGTTACTCCAATGTTTGGTGCCCATCCAACACCAACTTTCGGTTCAAATTTATCAACAAATAATAACAATAATGAAGGCTTTGGAAGTAAAATGGTCGGTTTTGGAGGCATTCAATCAGCACCATCAAATCAATCTCAGAAGCGAGCCTTTGACTTTGGCTCATCAGACGTGCCACAAAAGAAATTTGATTTCGGTCAGCAACAGCCACAAGTAGTCCAACAATCAAGTTCTGTAAGTAGTTTTTGTACTTTCTTGAACTTTGTGCTTATTATTCTGATTATATATTCATTTATAGGCGCCTTTCCAATTCAATGCTCAAGGAAATGCTGAGACAGTAAAGCCGGCATTCAGTTTTTCAGCAACACCAGCACCTCAATCATTTAACTTTACTGGAGTTAACAGTAATGCAAATAATAATGTGGTCAACAACAATATTGCACAGGTAAGAATCAATCATAGTCGTTCATAGTCCATTTTTTATTGTCCTAGCATTTCTTCCTTTACTTTTTCAAATTGTTTGATTGTCTGGTATGATACTTTAATTTTCAATCTCCTGAATGCAGGAAAATCTCTATCAATTTGGTGCCAACAATACATCCTCACAGGGAATTTTTGCTTTTGGAACGAATGTATGTTGAATGATTTTTTTTTTATTATTTTTCGCTTAGGGGCTGTTCACTTATTACGTAACGCGAAAAAATGACTTCTTAGACCCCCCCCCCCCCCCCTCGTAACAAAATTTGTATGAAAAAAAAAATTCCTTGTTTGAATCGTAACAAAATCTTAGACCCCCCCTCCCCCCCCTAAAAGCGTTACGTAATAAGTGAATGGCCCCTTAGTTTATTTGCCTTTTTCATTTGTTATTGAATGAATTAACTCTCATTCCTGTCTTTCATTTCTTTTGTGAATGCATCTTTAATTTCTCTTATGTGTTGGTTTTTGTGTATTATTAACTGCTTGCTGTCTATTGGACTGAATGAAAATGTTATAAATTATTCTATTTATTCTAGACGCAATCACCACAACCAGCTGCAACAAACATCATGCAATTTGGAGCTACTAGTGCTCCAACGGTTGCTATTCAAGGAATCAATGCATTTGGGTAAGTTACTGGATCTTAGGATTAATTTAAATCGTACGAATTTATAATTTTAATCCATCGGATTATTTCAACTTAAATATAAATTTTTCCATTTTAATTTCAGAGCTCAAGCAGCTGCAACCACACCACAACGAAAAATATTGAGAGCTGCTCGTCGCGCGACTCGTCGTTGACGTGATTAATTCTTAACAATTATTAATTTTTTTTAAAAACATTTAAAGTTTAAACACAACAAAATATTATGAAATAGGACTTATCTGAAATGAAGCAGAAAAAAAAACAGATTTAAGCAAATAAAGTGTGATGAAAAAGAAGAGAAAACAAGTCGATCGACTAATCGCGTAAAATTGGGGAATGTAAGACATAAAAAAAATGTTGATTAATTTATATTTTATACTCGTTAAACACATCGATCGCAAAGATATTTTGTCTTCTTTTTCGAAGGCACCTAAAACCCTAAAGTGTAGTAATTTAAAGAAAGAATAAAAAGTATGTGACGGCGGAGTGAAAATTAAATAAATTGAAATCGTCCTTAAGAAAAAAAAAAGCTGAACGTGAAGCATGAAATAATTAAAAATACTGAACAATAAAAGTGATTTGTACAGACAGGAAGTGGCGATTGCTCTCAGGATTTTACTTCCTTTATAAATTGAAATTTAAAAATTTGTGTCAATGTATTTTGAATAATAAAGAAATTGAAGTTAACTCGAAATCCTGACTGCAAATTGCTACCAAAATAATAATATGACATGATTAAACTTGATTACATAAGCATAACATAATTAAATAAACCTTTTTTTTTTTCTTGTTTTGTAAATGCATTTTTACAATGTAAAGGATGGAATTCGATAAAAGCTATGTTCTTTTCAGTTAATATCATGAATTGTTTTAGTTCTTGTCAAAATAAACGAGTAAAAAATTGATTTTTAAAATTATTTTATCTAATTTATTGTGTTCTTTCTAGTTCTTTCAGGCTATAGACATACGACATAAGAACAGACACAAAGTAAGATTTAGCTTTAAAAAAATTAATTTTAGTTCAATTCCACAATTCAATAATCTGGTAAAGTTCAATCATTTTTGAATTCTGAAAGTTCGTTGATTTTTGAATTCTGAAAGTTCGTTGATTTTTGAATTCTGAAAGTTCGTTGATTTTTGAATTATATAATAAACCGTTAATTAATTGAGATTCTCTGTTATTTCTAAATGAAATTTTCTTAAATTGACAATGACTTTTTTGAAACCCACATGATTTAAAATTATAACCAATAATTTAAAAAAAATTATGGAGCTTTGAATGTCCAAAAACACCTTAAATGTTTCAACAATGAAAGAACATATGAGGTGTTTTCAAAGTTAAATCTATAAATTTACATGTAAAAAGAAAGCAATTAAAAGATCCTGAAACAATAGAAGAGTGAGTTAATTCTTAGATATTCATTTATTTAATTATTAAATTTCTTCATTCTTCGTTCATTTTAAAGCTATGCATTATAATAAATGTAAATTAACAAATAATAAAAGAATAATTTTTACAATCATTGATGCACCAATCAATAAATTTTTGGTGTTTTACCATCAACAAAGTTATTAAAATCATCACGGTACAAATATTCTCGTTTTTTACGTGAAGGCTCAACGCGTTCCAAAATCTGTTCACGAACTTCGAATTTCCAAATGAGACGGTTCGTGAATGTGTTTTTAAATGAAGCATATTTTTCAGCGGCTTGTAAGTTTTCAGCAAAGTCTGTCTTCTTTGTTGTTTTGTCAAAATAATAAACTTTCTTTTGTGTCGTTGAAAAGCATCTCATTTTGTCACTACGAACTTCATTTAACAATAATAGGGCACGGGGGATGTGAAAACGATTTGTTGTGTTTCGCCCAATATCGTAGCCCATTTTTTCGCTTTTATCTTTGAGACGTCGAGGCACCAAGTGTTCAAAAAATGACTCAAGTTCGGTCAATTTAAATAACTTTTTACAACGTATTGGAAGTGACTTATTGTCACTACATTGTGACGGCTTTGTTAATGCTCTTGCGAATTTCTGGCACATTTGATTTCGTTCTGCTAATGGCAAATGTCGAATATCTTTACCGCCTAAAATGATTCCATCAATAATGTGTAATGCTGTCGATGAGACTTGTGAAAGACCCTGTCCAATTAGTTCCTTTACAAGTTCTCCATAAATCAATGTATTTGCTGGCATTTCTAATTGTTCATTACATAATGGTTCCCAAATACTCGATGACATGTTGTAAGTATGAATATCAAATCGTCCTCGAGACATGAAAAATGTACGACTTTTACTAGACTTTACGATATCGTCAACGCCAACAAAAAACCAATCAAGTACTGAATGGATATGTCCTTTTAAATGCTCTACAGATTCTAATAATCTTTCTGGTGCGTTCATGAATTTTTCCTTTAACCATTTTGGTTCCAATAATTGTGCACAAATCTGCTCACTACTTTTTGTAATTGGCTTCTTACGACTCTCATCCGGTAGCTTCCAAAGTTGTAGACATTGTTTACGAATGTCTGATTGACGGGTCTCTAATAATTCATGGTCGTGACAATAAGCAGCTATTTTCATCAAGCCAATAATTTGATTCTTTCCAATTATATTATTGCTATCGTAGATGTAGTCATAGAATTTTTGATCATTTTGAATTACGTCAAATGGAACTAGTTCTAAAACATCCATATTCTCTGTATTTTTCTGCTTCCAAAGTTCCTTGTTGATGTCGAAAAGATGACGTTGCTATAAGCAAATAAATTAATCATTATTAATTTTTGATAGTTTAGCAAATAATGTAGGAATCACTTACAATAGTATCAGTATATGGTTTCTTCCACTTGCAAACTAAATATCTTTCAGAATTAGCAGGTCGGCTAGTGTTGGGCTTACAAATACTAATCTTTGAGAAGCATTTATACATTAAATAAATTAATGAGACACTGAATGGCGTGAAGAGATCAAATACTTTTACAACAAAATGTCCTTTCGTTCGCACAATCGTTAATGCACAAAGACACTGTGCAAGATAAAGTTGCTTCGAAAGGATTTCTTGAATATTCTCTTGTCCTTCAACGGAGAAACCACCATCAGCCATCATAAAATGCACTCCTGATTCTGTTTGATCCTTAATAAGTTCTTCAAATGATTTAATATTTTCAGGATCGTAAACATTTCCATCATCATTGATGCCATAAAACGGAGAGAAAGTCTCTGGCGGTCCAACAAAAAAGTCATGCAGTTTAAAATCATTTTCAGATTTTAATGTAAATCCAAATCCTTTAGCTTCCCATTTTTTACGATACAAAATGTATTCACTAAAACCACCGGGACCGGCACAGACATCAGCAAAATATAATAAATCATCATTTCCAATTACAGCATTTCCAAGTTCATCAACTGGATTTGAGAACATGAAATCAAACATTGAATCCATATTAGCCATTTTTACGGCTGCACGATTAAGGAAGATATTCCCACGAATTGTTTCAAAAGGATTTGATTTTGTTCGAGCGCGTCTCATGTCTTCAGCACCTAATTTATCAAATACACTCTTTGATTCTAGCACACGTCTTAGAACGTCTTCATCACAAAATTTTGTTTCGTTGTCGATCGTTGATTTTTTTGGACCTCTTTGAACCCATGAAATAAGAGTATCCATTGTTAATTCTAATAAGCTTTCATCAGGTTCATTATTATCAATCCAATCAACTTTTTCAGGTATCGATAATTGTTCAATTGCTGGATCCCAATTATTAGCGGCTCTATCCAATTCATCAAGTTTTAATCCAAGACCACGACGTCCTTTCTGTTGACTTGCAATAATTGGCTCAATTCTTCCTTGTCCTAATTTTCCTAGACCACAATCCTTTTTGTATCCCATCTTTTCCATCATTTTACGTGATGAACCGGAATAGAGATTATCATAACTCGAAAATCCTGATTGACCATTATTATCATCAGGAACTGATCGGGACGGCTCATAACTGTTTGCATTTGGTTCACTGTCACTCGGATATGGCGATTCCGTAGATTCACTAAAATAAAGTTTATAATTTATAAACTTTAATGACATTTTCATAGGTATGAGATTCTTACCTTAATTTTTGTCGTTTATTAGAGACAGCATCATCTGCCTCATCACTTGTATATGAATATGTTCTTTTAATTGCTTCTGCACCATAATATGACTGCTGTTCCTCTTCAAAAGACTCTGGATTATAATAACTTATTGACTCATTTTCTGATTGCTGGCTAGCATAATTTTGTGTTTGATTTGGTTCATCTTCGCTTGTATATGATGCCGTTGAGTCAAATCTCTGATATTTGTGCTGTTCATCTTCACTGCTAGCATAATTATTATGTTGATTTCTGTTTGTTTCTTTATTTGCACTATAAAAGATTATCGGAAAATGGAATCATTAAAATTTATTTAAACAAATTATTTAAAATCCTCACTAATCGTATTTTTGTGCTGTTTCTTCATCTTCTTCTGATTCACTATCTTCCATTTGTTGCTTAGAGTATCTTTGGTAAAACTGATGTCGTGCCATTATTGAAATAATTATAATATATTTTTGTGAAAATATCTTAAGGAACTTCCACGTGAAAATAGCGCACAATTCTGAAAATTAATTTCACGAAAAAATTACCAAAACATCATCAACATTGGATTCAATTTGTAATATCAAATCCTTTAGATATTTTCAGTAAAATAAATTTACAATTAATGGTTTAGTGAATTGATTTTAAGCAAAAATAATTGTATTAACTGTTAATTACTAATCAATAAAGTATCATAGAGTGTAAAAATGGCTGATTTTGTACATAGTGAAGCCGAAGAGAGCGATGTAAGTAAAATTAGAAAAATTGCGCTGTATCTCGTTCATTTTCTACTTCCAAAACCTTAAAATAATGCAGTTTGATGACTTTTATATGAAATTGACTATGATTAAACGACTTTATGTATTTCCAATAATGTGAAATGCTCATTTTATGCCTTATTTTCACAGTCAGAGGTCGAGGATGAATTGGAACCACATGAAAGGAAAAAACTTAAAAAGTTGAAAGCTATGTCTGATTCAGAGGAAGAAGAAGAAGGTTTGTTTGGGACATTTTCATTGAAAACAACAATTTTCATCGTACTGGATCTTATTTTCTTTAAAATACAGATGACGAGGACAAAATTCGCGAAGAACTTAAAGACTTGATTGACGATGCCCCAATTGAGGAAGAAAGCGATTCTGGATCAGATTCTGATGATTCTAGAGGTAATTTCACAAATTTGTAAATTTGTTCTACATGTTTTTGAACAAAAATTTTATTTTACATTCAGTTAAAAGTCATACTACAAAAAGAAAAAAATCTGATGACGAAGACGATGAGCTAGATGATCGATTAGAAGACGAAGACTACGATTTAATCGAGGAAAATCTTGGTGTGAAAGTCGAGAGAGTAAGTCATTTCTAAATTAGTCATAAAAATTAGATTAATTAGCATATGTTCATTTTAGAAACGCTTTAAGCGTCTCAAGAGGATTACAGACGAAGAATCAGATAACGAGGACAGAGATGAGAGTCTTAATCGGGAAGTTTTAGCTGATCAGCTTTTTGTTAATAACTCGGATGAGGTAATTTTTGCATTACAGTGGCAACATTTGTGTTTTGCATAAGATTTTTACATGTAACACTTTGATAACCGTTCTCATTTCTGCTTGCAATGTGTGTGTTTAAAAATTATAAAGGAACAAGAAACTCAGGTATTTTAACTTTAGGCCATTTTTATTTTCATTTGTATAAATTCTAATTTTACAAATTAGGTCAAGAATAAAATGTATTTAATGTGTATAATGATTTCAGGAGGATGATCGACGATCTGAAAGAAGTAGAAGACAAGAACCTGAACGTTATGACGACGAAATATCTGATGAATCTGATGCTGATGACTTTATTGTCGACGATTATGGTGTATCGATTGCTGAAAAAAAGCGCAAACGAAAGCCAGTTTTCACAGACGCAGCATTACAAGAAGGTCAAGACATTTTTGGTGTCGATTTTGATTATAATGAATTTGATGCTTATGAGGAAGACGAATACGAGGATGAATCAGCAGACGAGGATGAATATGAGGAAGAGGATCAAGAAAAAAGAACTAAAAAAGCATCGCGTAAAAAAGTACAGAAAAAATCAATTTTTGATATTTACGAACCAAGCGAGTTGAAACGGGGACATTTTACTGACCTTGATAATCACGTAAGTAAATTCATTATCACGAAATTAAGAGTTAAAGCTCATAAATTAATGAATTCATAGATTCGAAAAACTGATATTCCTGAACGAATGCAATTAAGAGATGTTCCAATCCAAAGTGTTCCAGAAAATTCAACAGAGCTTGAAGATGAAGCAGAGTGGATTTATCACCAAGCATTTTTTAAGAAAACAATATCACACACTTCACAAAAGCCACAGCATGAACAGAGAAAATCTCCATCGGCGATTGCAAAAATCAAAAAGACTCTCGACTTTATTAGAAACCAACATTTAGAAGTTCCATTTATTGCATTTTATCGCAAGGAATATGTCTTACCAGAACTCAAAATTAAAGATTTATGGAAAGTTTATAAATATGATGCAAAATGGTGCATATTACAGAATAGAAAGAAAGCACTTCTTCAATTATTTGAAAGAATTCGTGATTTCCAATTAGAACAAATAGCAGATAAGCCTGATAATGACGTTCCTGAAGATATGGTCTTGATTCGAGACGATGATTTTGACAGATTAAGGAGTGTTCAAACACCAGAGGAATTGAGAGATATTCATGACTATTTTCTGCTTCATTGTGCTCCAGACATTGAAGGATATAAGTCAATTGAGAGACAAAAGAAGCAGGATATACACAAAGAACATCGTGAAGAGAAAATGAAAGTACGTAGAGAACAATTAGTGATCGAAATAAAGGAAATGCAAGCTGGTATGGACGAGGAACCAACTGAGGAGGATGAAGATAGATTAAGAAGTATGCAAGAGGAATTAGAAGCCATTAATATTGGTGATGTTCACGACGAAGATGAAGAACAAGTTCGACCAGACGAAGTTAAAGTTTCTAGAAATACTGGACCTTATGCTCGCTGTAGAAAAGCTGGAATCTGTAAATTTGCTAAACTTTTCGGTCTCACACCAGAACAGTTTGCTGAGAATTTACGTGATGGCTATCAACGTCATGAAGTCGAACAAGAAGCAAAAGATCCAATGGAATTGGCAAAAGATTTCGTTTCAGCTAATTTTTCGACTGTTGAAGAAGTAATTAATGCAGCGAAATTTGTAGTAGCACGACAAATTGCACGTGAGCCATTATTACGTAAAACTGTCCGTGAGATATTTTATGAACGTGCTAAACTGACTGTTCGTCCAACAAAGAGAGGTTTGAAGGAAATTGACGAATTTCATTCTTGCTATACGTTGAAATATTTAAAGAACAAACCTGTTAATACAATAAAAGGCGATGAATTTCTTCGATTGAAAATTGCTGAGCAGGATAAGTTATTGACTGTCACATTAAATGAGAATATGGAAGGCAATAACTCAAATTCATTGTATTTGGATGAAATTAAGCAATTGTATAATCGAGATGAATTTTCACAGCATGTTCAAAATTGGAATAAATTGCGTTTTGAATGTGTTGAAATTGCTCTCATAAAAATGGTTCTTCCTGATTTGAGAAAGGAACTTGATGCTATTCTCCATAATGAGTCTAAAGAATTTGTGTCAGATGCTTGTGGTCGAAGAATGTACAATTGGATTAAAACAGCACCTTATGATGCTGGTGACATTTTCGATGAAAATGACTATGAATGGGAGACATCAAAAGGATTAAGACTTATGGGTATAGCATATGTTCCTGATCATTCGCAGGCTGCTTTTGGTGTTATGATTAATCACGAAGGTGAAGTTACAGACTATATAAGACTTCCATATATATTAAAACGTAAGAATACAAATAACAAAGATGAAAAAGCATTAAAAGAATCAGATTTGGATAATTTAGCTGAATTTTTAAGGAATAAGAAGCCACATGTTATTGCTATTGGAGGAGAGTCGAGAGAAGCACTTATGATTCAAGCAGATTTACGTGAAGTCGTTCAACAATTGTATGATGATGATAAGTTCCCAAAAATTAATGTCGAAATTGTTGATAATGATTTTGCTAAAATATTCTCTAACTCTAAAAAGGGCGAGGAAGAGTTCCGTGACTATCCACTCCTGCTACGACAAGCTATTTCTATTGCACGTCGAATACGCGATCCACTTGTTGAATTCAGTCAGCTTTGTTCAGCCGACGAAGAGATATTGTGCCTTCGTTATCACACATTGCAAGATCAGTTATCGAAAGAGGACTTGCTGGATGCAATTTATACGGAATTTATTAATCGAACAAATGAAGTTGGTGTGGATATAAATTTAGCAGTTCAGAATTCATTAACGATAAATTTAGTGCAGTTCATTTGTGGTTTAGGTCCACGTAAAGGACAAGCATTAATAAAAATTCTTAAGCAGACGAATCAACGGCTTGAAAATCGTACACAGCTTGTAACACTTTGTCATATGGGACCTAAAGTCTTCATTAATTGCTCAGGTTTTATAAAAATTGATACAAATTCACTTGGTGACAGTACCGAATCATATGTAGAAGTTCTCGATGGATCTCGTGTTCATCCTGAAACATACGAGTGGGCGAGAAAAATGGCAGTGGATGCTCTCGAGTATGATGATGATGGTGCAAATCCAGCGAGTGCATTAGAAGAAATTCTCGAGAATCCAGAACGTCTTAAAGATTTAGATTTGGATGCATTTGCAATTGAATTAGATCGTCAAGGATTTGGTAACAAAGCAATTACATTATATGATATTCGTGAAGAACTTGAGTGTCGTTATGCTGATAGACGTGTTTCTTATGAGCCGCCAAAGAAAGATGTGCTGTTTGATATGCTGACAAAAGAAAATTCAGATTCATTCTTTCAAGGAAAAATGATATCGGCAACAGTCACTGGAATAAGTCATCGAAAACCGTCATCTGATCAGCTGGATGGAGCAAATCCTGAACGTGATCCTGAATCTGGTCAATGGCAATGTCCATTTTGTGTAAGAAAAGATTTTGTACAATTATCTGATGTTTGGGAACATTTTGATAATAACAATTGCCCTGGAACTTCCGTTGGTGTTAAAGTTCGATTAGACAATGGCTTATTAGGATTTATTCACATCAAAAATCTATCAGATAAGCATGTAAAGAATCCAGAAGAACGCGTTCAACCAGGAATGCCAATTCATGTTAGGATTATGAAAATTGATACAGAAAAATTTACTGTTGATTGCACGTCAAAAACATCAGACTTAACTGATAAGAATAATCGTTGGAGGCCTCAAAAGGATGATTATTATGATCAAGAAGGAGAGGAGTCAGACATGAGAAAGGAAACGGATTCAAAGAAGGTTAAATCACGGCAACAATATACAAAAAGAGTAATTGTTCATCCATCATTCCAAAACATTTCGTATGCTGATGCTGTTAAATTACTAAAAGATATGGATCAAGGTGATGTCATTGTCAGACCATCAAGTAAAGGAACTGATCATCTTACAGCAACATGGAAAGTTGCTGATGATGTGTTTCAGCACATTGATATTCGTGAAAGTGGAAAGGAAAATACATTTTCATTAGGAACATCATTATTCATTGGAACAGAAGAGTTTGAGGATCTCGATGAAATTATTGCACGTTATATAAATCCAATGGCAGGATATGCACGAGATTTAATTGCATTCAAATATTATCGACGAGAATTAGGCGGATTAAGGGATAAGGCTGAAGAAATGCTGAAAGATGAAAAGAAAAGAAATCCGGGCAAGATTCATTACTTTATATCAGCATCTAAAAATTATCCAGGCAAATTTATGATTTCGTATCAGCCAAGAGATAATTGCAAGCATGAATATATTTCAATAACACATGATGGATTCAAATTCCGACAACAAATGTTTGACAATATTAATTCTCTAATGAAATGGTTCAAAGATCATTACAAAGATCCTTTACCTATTCAAACGCCATCAACTCCAAAAGGCGGTTCCTCTACACGCTCATATTCAACTCCTGGTCTCAGTGTTCACAGTAAGTTTATAACAATGATTATTATTTCTTGAGTTTAAGTATTTATATTTTTAATAGATGAAGCAATTCAACGAGTAGCTCAGAATCTTCCATCACACATGTTTAATTCATTAGCACAAGCAACAAACACGACTCCACACTATTCTCATGCAAATACGGTAAATAATAATAATTAGGGAACTTGATAAGCTTAGATTAAAATTGAACCTGCTTTACAGCCTTACACACCAAGCAGTCAAACGCCATTTATGGCAATGACACCTTATATGACTCCAGGACATTCATCACAAACACCTCGATACAATCAATTGACTCCAACACAGCATGGACAGTTCTTGAGACCTGGCGCACCTGTAAGTCGTCCACCACCACAACAACAAAACTATCGACAGTCACCGTTCACAGGTCAATCTCCACGCGCTCCTCAACAGTCATCTCGTGAACCAGGTCGAAGAATGCAGTCACAAGAAGATGATGATTGGGAGAGAGCTTCTAATGCATGGGGCTCGACAAGAATGAAGGAGAACACACCAAGAGGTGACAGCATTGGGCGATCAACTCCTACTCGTGGAGGGTAAAAAGAATCTTTGAAATAAAAAAATATCCAAGAGCATGTAAATAAGATGATAAATATTTTAGATCCAGTAATAGACGTGATGAATATCAGCCTAGAAAGACACCGCAGTATGATATGGAGAGACCATCAAGTAGAACAAGTGTAAGATCATCAAGTGGTCGATCAGGCAGAACAAATATGTCACCAAGTTCAATGATTGATTCAACTCCATTATATGATGAATAAAGCTTAAAATTTTGAACCATTTTTTTTTTATAAAAATACCTAAAATATATAATGAACGTATTGATTGATTGAATTACTTTCGTTTTATTATTATTCCTACTATTTCGTTTCGTTTTCCCTAATGATATATATAAATAATAAAAATTAATAAAATTGATCATTGTGACTTTAAAACTTGCTTTTTGTTTTAAATTTTGAAGGTTTTTTGCATCAATGTTTCAAATAGTTACAACAGCAATTTTTGAAATACTTACAATTTTTGAAAACCTTACAACAGCAATTTTTTTTGAAAACCTTTAAACAACAATTTTTGAAAACCTTACAACAGCAATTTTTTGAAACCTTACAGCAGAATTTTTAAAAAACCTTACAACAGCAATTTTTGAAAACCTTAAAACAATTTTTGAAAACCGAACATCAATTTTTTTTGAAAACCTTACAACAATTTTTGAAAACCTTACAACAGCAATTTTTTGAAACCTTACAGCAGAATTTTTAAAAAACCTTACAACAACAATTTTTGAAAACCTTACAACAGCAATTTTTTGAAACCTTACAGCAAAAATTTTTGAAAACCTTACAACAGCAATTTTTTTGAAAACCTTACAACAATTTTTGAAAACCTTACAACAGCAATTTTTGAAAACCATACAGCAATTTTTTTGAAAACCTTACAACAACAATTTTTGAAAACCTTACAACAGCAATTTTTTTTCGAAAACCTTAAAACAATTTTTGAAAACCATACAACATCTGTTTTTTTTTAAAAACCTTGCAACAGCAATTTTTTTTTGAAAACCTTACAACAACAATTTTTGAAAACCTTACAACAGCAATTTTTTTTGAAAACCTTAAAACAACAATTTTTGAAAACCTTACAACAGCAATTTTTTGAAACCTTACAGCAGAATTTTTAAAAAAATGTACAACAGCAATTTTTGAAAACCTTAAAACAATTTTTGAAAACCATACATCAATTTTTTTGAAAACCTTACAACATCAATTTTTGAAAACCTTACAACAGCAATTTTTTTTGAAAACCTTCCAACAACAATTTTTGAAAACTTTACAACAGCAATTTTTGAAAACCTTACAACAGCAATTTTTTTTTGAAAACCTTAAAACAACAATTTTTGAAAACCTTACAACAGCATTTTTGAAAACCTTACAACAGCATTTTTGAAAACCTTACAACAGCAATTTTTTTAAAAACCTTACAACAATTTTTGAAAACCTTACAACAGCAATTTTTTTTGAAAACCTTACAACAACAATTTTTGAAAACTTTACAACAGCAATTTTTGACAACCTTACAACAGCAATTTTTTTTTGAAAACCTTACAACAGCAATTTTCTGAAACCTTTCAGCAACAATTTTTGAGAACCTTACAACAGCAATTTTTGAAACCTTGCAACAATAAATTTTGAAAACCTTACAACAGCAATTTTTTGAAACCTTACAGCAACAATTTTTGAAAACCTTACAACAGCAATTTTTGAAAACCTTAAAACAATTTTTGAAAACCATACATCAATTTTTTTTTGAAAACCTTACAACAGTAATTTTTAAAAACCTTACAACAGCAATTATGGAAAACCTTACATTAGAAATTTTTGATAACCTTACAACAACAATTTTTGAAAACCTTAAAACAACAATTTTTGAAAACCTTACAGCAGCAATTTTTTTGAAAACCTTACAACAACAATTTTTGAAAATCTTACAGCAACAATTTTTGAAAACTTTACAACAGCAATTTTTGAAAACCTTACAACAGCAATTATTTGAAACCTTTCAGCAACAATTTCTGAAAACCTTACAACAGGAATTTTTGAAAACCTTACAACAGCAATTTTTTGAAACCTTACAGCAGAATTTTTAAAAAAATGTACAACAGCAATTTTTGAAAACCTTAAAACAATTTTTGAAAACCATACATCAATTTTTTTGAAAACCTTACAACATCAATTTTTGAAAACCTTACAACAGCAATTTTTTTTTGAAAACCTTCCAACAACAATTTTTGAAAACTTTACAACAGCAATTTTTGAAAACCTTACAACAGCAATTTTTTTTTGAAAACCTTAAAACAACAATTTTTGAAAACCTTACAACAGCATTTTTGAAAACCTTACAACAGCAATTTTTTTAAAAACCTTACAACAATTTTTGAAAACCTTACAACAGCAATTTTTTTTGAAAACCTTACAACAACAATTTTTGAAAACTTTACAACAGCAATTTTTGACAACCTTACAACAGCAATTTTTTTTTTGAAAACCTTACAACAGCAATTTTCTGAAACCTTTCAGCAACAATTTTTGAGAACCTTACAACAGCAATTTTTGAAACCTTGCAACAATAATTTTTGAAAACCTTACAACAGCAATTTTTTGAAACCTTACAGCAACAATTTTTGAAAACCTTACAACAGCAATTTTTGAAAACCTTAAAACAATTTTTGAAAACCATACATCAATTTTTTTTTGAAAACCTTACAACAGTAATTTTTAAAAACCTTACAACAGCAATTATGGAAAACCTTACATTAGAAATTTTTGATAACCTTACAACAACAATTTTTGAAAACCTTAAAACAACAATTTTTGAAAACCTTACAGCAGCAATTTTTTTGAAAACCTTACAACAACAATTTTTGAAAATCTTACAGCAACAATTTTTGAAAACTTTACAACAGCAATTTTTGAAAACCTTACAACAGCAATTATTTGAAACCTTTCAGCAACAATTTCTGAAAACCTTACAACAGGAATTTTTGAAAACCTTACAACAGCAATTTTTGAAACCTTACAACAATAATTTTTGAAAACCTTACAACAGCGATTTTTGAAAATCTTCCAGCTACAATTTTTGAAAACCTTGCAACAGCAATTTTGGAAAACCTTACAACAGCAATTTTTGAAAACCTTACAACAGCAATTTTTGAAACTCTACAACAATAATTTTTGAAAACCTTACAACAGCAATTTTTGAAAACCTTACAACAGCAAATGTGAGAACAATGCAACAGAAAATTGAAATTGAATTCTTCAAACTGAAAAAAATAACAATAAAAATGCATCAATTATTTTTGAAATTTTTATACCTTTATTTTACACAGTTATGACTTTTTTTTTTCATTTATAAATGTGACTCATAATGTTTATTTTCATAAATTTTTTTTTAGCAAATTTTGTTTTTTATTTCCTTTCTTGTTTTTGGTCGGTTAAGATTGTTTATTGAATCTCTTTTCTTTGACTGGATAAAATTAAAAGAATTTCTACTTGAATTGTGAATTCTTTACTCATCGTTTCGTGCCAATTTTTTTCATATTTTCCTTTTCATGTAAAAATTTCCACAACATTGAATTTTCTTCATTATTTTTTTTTAGGAAAAATATCTTAATATTTCATCTCATTAGTATCAAAAAATAATGGCCGTGAAAAATCAAGAATTTCAACATCGGTATGCTTTTTTGTATCGTCATATAATTTTGGCACATCAAATAATACATCGTTTAAGGATTAGAGAGATAGTTGAGAGATTGTTGCTATATAATTATGGAAAGTACATACTAGATACTTATTAAATTTGATTTCATCTTTACTTACTTTTTTGTCGTTAGATTATTTTTATCGATAGAGAATAGCTTTTGTCCTATAATTACTTTTTTTATTTTTTAAATTAAAATTTACGTTCATTTTTTCATTGTGTCAATTTGAAATGTTTATGAACAATTGTTTATAATGAATTTACTTCTTTTTTTGCTGCAACTGTTGAAATTAGAATATTTCACGTTCAAGATCATATTTTGATTCTTTGGAAGTTGAACTCTTAAGATTCAAAAAAGGTTTTCAAATTGGGTTTTAGAATTTGAAAGTAGATACTTTAAATTTCTTTAAAATTGAAATTAACAAATTTTTGAAGTTGATTTGAAGTTTTGCTGGAGTTGATTCTAAAAACTAAACAATTTAACATTTTAACAGACTTTGTTGTAGACTAGCTTAACGTTTCTCAAATGTTTTTGTTTTGGATTTAAAGGATGACTTCTTTTAAAAATTGATTTTGAATTCAATCTTAAATGAAAAGTTATCCCAGAAATATCTGAAATGTTTTCAGTTCTTTCCAGGAATAACTTAGACTTAGAAATTCACATTTCTTCAATAGTTTTGCATCAAAACCAAGATAGAATCCACTGAGATAGAATCAGTTTAAAAACCATTAAAATATTTTATAAATAACCTCTGAATTCAATTCTAATTAAATTCCAATTATCTGCAATCTTGAAAGAATTCACAACAAAATCTCAATTGTCCATAAAGTTTTCATTTTTACGGTCTATGTGGAAAGAAATAAATGAGTTTATAACATTGAAGATGATCAAAGAGACACTATTAAATGCAAATATTTTTTTTGTTTGTGGCAATTATATCAAATATTCAATCCAATAATTTTACATTTATCATTTATGATTTTTTTTTTACATTTAAAACTTGCCATTTTTATGAAAATTTATCATTATTAAATTGTTTTCTTCGTTTAATTAAAGGAAAAATTTCGTCAAAGGAAAAATGTATGCTAAAAAAGAATGAATTTAATTAACATTGAATGAAAAATTTTCCATCATTTTTTGTTCCATTTTTGGAAGTTGTATAAAATTTAAATTTCGATTTACACATTTTTTTTCAACCTTATTAACTTATTTAACTTTTATACACATATTAAAAATAAGTAAAAGTAGGCCAAGCAATAAAAATAGACATTTTTTTTGATTCCTTTCATTAGCTTTGCAAATTTGTCCTAGAATAAAATACTAAGAAGATCTGATGCACTTTATAAGTGACTTTTAAATGATATTTCTGTATCTTTTCATCTTAAATTACATTTATGCGATTCTATTAAGGATTCAACATGATTCAGTTATTTTCCAGTTGTGATTTGTGTCCTTTTTATGAATAGAACTTCTATGGCTTTGAGGTTGATTCTTAAAATCTCCAAAATTCGTTTTCCATTAAACCAAAAATGCGGAACTGATCAAAATGGTTAAATTAATTAAGGGGCCGTTCACTTATTACGTTACGCAAAAAAACGACTTTTTTCACCCCCCCTCGCCCCTCTTCTTACAATATGATACAACTCACAACCCCCCCCCCTTAACGTTCATAATTTATTTTATTTTGATAATTTTTCATAAATCATTAAAAAGGTGAAAAATTTTAAAAAAATGTTTTTGGTGTGAATTTGTAAACAAATCTTTTTCGTGAACAAACCCCCCCTCCCCCCTAAAATGCGAACGTGATAAGTGAACGGCCCCTAACTATGTTTCTATAAACTTAGTTGATCAGTTCCGCATTCTTGGAGATAACAAATAAGTTTGAAATCTGGATGAATTCAGCAACTTACAATAATTGAATCAATGCCCTTGAAGTTATACAAAATAAAGTTCTATCCGCTCATGAGATAAACACGGCTAGCATGTGAATATGCTTCTAAGTTATATAAAGCAATAAAGGGAAGCGATTCTTTCTTTGTGAAAATTAAAATGGAAGAAGAAAGTTTCTTTATTACTTTTTTCATTAATTAATGAAATTAATGAGGGAAGGTAATGAAATGAAAGCCTTTAAGCGATTGTGCCTTGATAGATGTTTGAACGGCAACTTTGAATGTTATGCTCTTGGTTGCTAGTTTCATTTCCGATTGAAGTTTTCTAGATTTTAAGAGTCCTGTAGTGTCTGACCTGAGTGGAATCTGAGATTTCGAGCCATATGATCTGTGATTGATAATACTAGGAAAATTAAGTTCAGCTTTAGAATTTTTGTGGATTAGCATTAGGCGAATCTGCCATCGCGAGAATGAAACATCTAAGACCGAGTAGCTAGGCAGCTTAATTGGAATTTGCTTTTGTGAAGTATGGGTTCAATTCCTACTGATTCCGATCATCTATAATCATATATGATTCACTTCAATCGCTAGCATTTCTCAATTATATTCTAAATGCACAACTGACCGATTAGTCCGTTCTTAAGGACGACTAGCAAAATCTTTGGAGATACGAATCGGTCAGTTATTCATTTGGGTATATCCAACAATAGTCAAGACAGTGTGCTTATTAAGGCATTTAAATTAACCTCCCCATAACTCAATAAGTATCTCTTTAGTAATTGAATGGAAATAATTATAATTTAGACTTCAAAATGAGATGATGATTATGCTTCTTCTTATTTACTTGGAAAGAATAAATTGATGATCAAACATTCTAACGTCATTAATTATTATTCTTATTAATTTTTTTTTTTTTTTTCTCTTGGCAAATTACATTTTATACTTTTATAACTTTTTCGTATTTTTTTTATAGCTATACACATTAAATGTGATGGCCATTTTTTTTAAATATGAGTATATAAGTAGGTGACACAACAACACGTGTTTGTTCTTTGTCATGTCAACAATAATTTATATCATTTATTTTTTGTTTGACTGTTTATTCTCTAATTTTAATTTTTATTTTACCTTTTTTAATGGCAGATAAATTTGTGTCTGACAATAAAAAAAAAATCTTCAATTAGATTTTTTTTAATAAACAAATAAATTTTAATAATAATTTTTTTTTGTATTTTGCTTTTTTAATAAAAACATTTACGATAATGACCGATGAGAGTGACTAGATGATGAATTTATGAGAGTGACTTAATAATATGATGCTGAGAATGGATGATAATTCTGTTGTTGATTTGAAGTTGCATGCGGACTTTGATGATGATACTTCATTTGATGTGGATGGGAATGGTGTGGATGATGATAAGCTCCAAAGCCACGTGGCGATACGACATGACGATTTGTTGGACCGTCAGCTGTCAGAAGTCGAGATTGATCAAGAATTCTATTATTTTCAGATGCTGTAAGCAGGCGATTATTTTGTTCTATCAATAAATGAGCTGTTGGATCAACGAGAAGTCGCTGATCAGCAGTTGATAGGAAACGATGATGTTCGGACAGATCGCGATTTGTGGCAGCATGTGGAGGCAAAAATGATGTGTGATGACGAACATGATGTGAATTATTAGTTCCCACCATGCCTGATGTACTTGATCCACCTGCTGAGCTTAAATCCAATGATGCCATCCGTAACATTTCAGAATGTGAATAAGTATGTGTTGGAATATGTGATGTGGCAGCTGGTGGCGAGGGAGGTACAATGTAATTAGAAGTGCGACTTAAATCAACACCAGAAGGATCTGAATCATGATCCTGTTGATGAGTAGTTGCTGATATGTGATCTTGTAACAAGTGCTGAATTTGTTGTTGTTGTTGCTGTAACTGGAAGGAGTGATGTTCTTGTTGCTGTTGCTGAGCATTTTGCTGTGCATCACGTTCAGTTAAAATATCATAAATGTGATGCTGATAACGATTGAAACTTAAATTACTACTGGCTGCGGCTGAAGAAGCTAATTGGAAATTATGTGCTGAATGATATCCAGCAATTCCAGCTCGTGATGACATATCAAGTCCTTGATGATAATCACCACTTGAATTTCCACTCGTTACATTTTCATTCACAACCTGATTACGTGAAGAAGAAAATTCTTGAATTTCTAGACCCTGTTCGTTGTACTTTAAACGTAAATCATTGAGTGATTCACGGTGCAGTTGATTACCAGACGATTGATTATCACTGTATTTACTATTTGCATACATCAAATCTGATATTTGTGAGTTGAGCTTAATTTTATCATTAACAACATGTGATTGTTGCTGCTGATGACTTATACTAAGATTTTCAGCTATAACAATCGAATTTTCATCATCACTTGACAATTGTGTCATTTGTGGTGTCTGCTGATTTTGCTGTTGATGATGAACGGACTTATTATATTCCATATTAGCTGCTGCCATCTTTTCACGTCGTGCACGGTAATTTTCAGCACCAAAATCATAACGCGGTAGTGAGGGTGTTGATGCTGGCGATACTAAATCATGCTCTGAGCCATAAATTGGCCTTTGCGAAAGTTGTCCTGGTGACGTTTGTATTTGTTGTACTTGTTGATTACGTTGAGCATTAAAATTCGTATTTCCATAATTTGTATTGTGCTGCTGTTGATCCGGTGTCATTGTTCGTGCTGGCGAACACGAGTCATTCTGTTGATTTTGAAAAGCTCCTTGAACATCTTTATCGTTACTGGATGGTGTATATGCACACATTTTATCTTGAGGTTTTGGCGTTCCTGCATCAACATCAATTTCATTATTTTCTTGCATCATATTGGAATTAACACTATTACTAAATGTAGACATTGATGGCAAATGAATTGGAAAATTCTGTTGTGCAGCTTTCATTATCTTCATATTCTCATCGACTGCACTCATCATTGCATTACTCTGAAACTCGGGACTTGTCATTTCGTCTGGTAAATCTTCGGGTTGTTGACCATCGTGTCCTTCGTCAATCGTCATTTGTTGATTGTTTCCATTATCATTAATATCGTGACTATTTCCAATCATACTACTAACGGAACTTAATGCTGCCTCAACAAGTAAGCTTGCAGATGTAGGTATTGTGGATGTCATATTACGATTCACATTAGCATTTCCATTATAAAAGCCACCAAGAGGATTAAAATGTGTATTGAACGACTGATTGCTATTGTTATTAGCATTGTTTGTATATTGTGTCTGCTGAATGTCCATTAAGTCATCGTTTTGCACTCCATTTTGATTACTATATGCTTGACTGAATTGATCTGGATCTTGATGCTGTGGCTGTTGTTGCTGCTGATGTTGATGATTATGATGATGGTGGTGATGATTTTGATGATGATGTATATTCGAATCCACATCCAAAATTGGCGAATGTTCATTTCCATCATCCATTCGAGGTTGTACACTTCCTTTATGAAGTTTCGATGAGATGAGTTTAGCCAGAAAGTCACGATTTGCTTGTGTCATTACATCATTATCATCCATATCCATATTTGTAACAGGATCACTAATCCATTTCTTACTTCCTTTACTGATGACAAGATTCGGATTAGTCTGCAATAGGAAATCCTTAAATCTCGGATTTGATGTAATTGAAAGCTGTGAATTTTCCAATAAAGATCGTCGATTGATTGGTGCTTTAAATGAATTTCTATCGCTATCATCGTCGTCATTATCATCATTGTCAATATCGTTCGTATCATTTCCCGATATTGAATCATTCATCATCGACTCTTCGCTTCGCTTTTGTTGCAATAATGTTCGCATGCTTTTTCCAGCCGCTATCATTTTAGCTTCCATATCAGAACTATTGAGATTTTCACCTGAAAAATCATTATTACCATGGAACTCGTTACCGTCATCATTATCATCCATATTAACGCCCTCGGAAGCGGCAACATTATTCATAAGCTTCTTATTCATTTCCTTTAAATTGCAATTCAATATAGACGAGATTTTCGATGAAAGCAGGTTTAAGTTGTTTTCGTTTTTGCACAAATCACTTATTGATGAAAGGAAGTTTTTGTCCTTCAGCATTGTTTCCTTTTGTCCGAGACTTTTCGTAGGTTTGCAGATCGGTTCGCCAGCATTCAATTTACGTTGGCGTCTTGTCATGCCATCTACAATAAATTGGAGAATGAGAAACAAAAAAACATTGAAGAAAATCAGTTCTAGGAATAAGGATGTAAGGGGTTGTTCATAAATGATGGCCCACATTTTGGAAGGAAGTGGTCTGTGAAACATTTATATCCATAAGATTTTGTTACAAAAGGGGACTTGAAATTGGTCAAGTCAACATCATTTATGAACAGTCTGAAATTCATTAGTTTATTTTATTGTATACTACCAAGTAGTCACGAGTTTGAAGCTTTATTTGAACGCAATTTTCTTAAAAAAATAATTGGAAATTCTTAGTTTTGAAAACTCGTGTCAAGATTTCAACGAAACTGCTTTTACTAATCAACAAGGGAGTAGTTGGGGGTCTAAACTCATCCCCACAAATAATGGTCTCAATTAAGGACGTAATAACTTCATTCCATAATAAAGTTCGATAAAATTATCAATTAAGTACTTAACAAGCAATTTACAAGTGCTGGAAGAAGAACTTACCTAAAGGTTCAGGCTGTAATCCACCTGAATATGCATCAAAAGTATAAGCCACACTTCTCTCAATTTTTGGCATTAGTTCCTGTGCATATCCGTGAACTTTCTTATAATGAAATTGAAGACATTGTTTTGTTGTAAAGGCTGCTGTACATTCTTGTTCTGCACATCTGTTTCATGAATTTAAATATGCAAAAATGTTTAATAATTAAAAGCAATTAATCATGAGAAATACTTACTTAAAAGGACGTACACCAGAATGTGTGAGCATGTGAATTTTAAGATTGCTTCGATTCTGAAAGAGCTTCTGACAACGTGGACAACTAACAACTGCTGAATTCCGACTATGAACTTCTTTAGAATGTCTCTGCAGTGCGGCACGTGATCCCAAGAGCTTTGAGCATAATTTACATTGAAAATCACGAAGAACTTCTGCCATATCTAAGGAACAAGAAGAATAATAGCAATGCGATGAGAATCGAATGAAGTGAAAATGTCACGTTTTGTGTAGCATAAAAATACTTTAAGCTTTTCTGCACTCAAAAACTAGTATCGAATGCTGTGCTTTATTTTATCAGTGCAATAAATTTCTATTAAACTATTCGGACTGTTGAATTTTTATGCCAGACTAATCCTCTAGATTCTAAAGTGATGATTAATTTCCTCAAACAATCATGATTGCCACAAAAATATGAATGTCAAAAAGTGAATTAATCATCACATCATGTTCCTACACTATAGATGTACAGCATGAACTCACCACTGTGCATTCTCTTAATGTGAACTTTGAGCTTTTGTGGCTGACAAAACTTTCGACCGCAAAAGTCACAGAGTGGTCGCGCACGTTGCGGATTAGCACTGCATCCATATGTCCGATGCATCTCAAGATAGTTGAGACGTAAAAAGAATTTTTTACAGTACTGACATTGATATGCACCTTTACCCTCATGCAATTTCTCAGCATGTTTCATTATGTTTTCCTTTCCTAAGACAGCAACACCGCACACTTTACAATGGTATTTTCGTATCGTCAAACTAAAGCCTGGGTCATGGAATACAGAACAATGTGTTCTGTAATGAAGTGGATGTTCAAAGCGGAGATTACAGCCACCACAGCCTAATTTTTTACGATTCAGTTTATTATCGATTGATGTTTTGTATGATGGTCACGTTTGCCGATTTGAGGAAGTTTATGGAATAAAAGTGAAAGAATAAAGAGTTAGAAACATGTTTCGACTATCTAAGAATGATGGAATGTTCAGCACATACTCAGCAAATTTATATATAATGAGTAATTTTCGGAGAATTTTGTGGAAATAATTTATACCTGAAAAGTTTTTAATAATTTTCCAAGCGTGTGACTTATTAAGCATAACTCGTTCATTCATTCATAATTTCAATAAATTTATTTAAGAATGAATAGAAATTGTTATAAGTTCATGGACGTAATGCTGACGAAAATAAGAGTTTTGTGTAATGCTTATGTCATTCTATGAAAAAAGTCACAATCTGATGCTCTTTGCCCGACCAGAACAGATTTAAACGCATATTGGACTTCTTTGGATCTGATAATATTTAAATGTGTGCTGATCGGGAGAATTTCTCCCAAAATGCAAGACTCATGTAGGAGTTTCAATTTAGTTTGTCTTTTTATATAATATTCAAGACATTATGCCTATTATTAAGCATAAAAATATGCTTATTATACAACAAAGAAGGTTTCAAAAATAATTAGAAGTGGAATAGAAAAATCTTTTAATAATAAGAAGGACATAAACTCTCATTTTACATTACATTGATCGAATATCATGAAGAATTAAATTATATAAGGATGCCGGTAAGATATATAGATGTGCTCATACAAAAATATCGCAGTTTTTAAACGTCAAAAATTTGAATATTCTAAAAACACTAACACTATAAAAGAAAATTTTCAATTTTTGTTTTGCAAAATTTTCAACTTTCTGTTAAGTTTTGTTGATACAGGAGTATTGCAAATGCTTTGCTATAATTTAAAGAAATTGACTTAAGACAAATGTTGTTGCATCTGTCAATATTTAAATGAAAACTTGAAAATAGTAAATTTTAAAAATTTTTGTTTGTATAAGTACACAAAAAATAGTATGGTCGAGTATGGTCAAGTATACTCTGTATGAGCCCATCTATATATCTTGGATGCCGGATGCTAACATTGTAGACAAAGAAATGTCTGAAGGAACTCTATTATCTTATATAAAAATGAAATCCAGTGTGAATTTAAAAATAAATTATGAATGGAAATATTTCATTGAAAATAATTTAAAATTCCAGATAAATTCTTAAATAAGGTTCATAATTATGTAACTTGATAAGATGCTGAATGGACAGTTCAGAGCTTGAATTCGACTAGCTAGAGTTTGATTTTAGTCAATTCAAGCCGATTGAATTTGAATTGTTTTTTGGAAGTCAAATGTTTTTTGGAACTAGTTCAAATTGACTTCAAACTCCACAAAATTTTCATTCGAATAATTTTTCATGATTAAATCGATTAAATCCAAAATAATTTCACGTTCCATTTAAAGTCGAAATGAAAAATGATTCTCAAAATTTATTAATTTTTTTTTTCACTGAACATCGTGAATGAAAGAAGGAGAGAAGTGGAAAATAATTTCGTAAGAAGTAATATATAATAAAAATCAATTCAAGGTCATATGCTTGAATAAAGTGCCATGGAAAGGAGAAAGAAACAAATAACAGGAGGGTTTGTGTTACACAAAAATAAATAAAAAAGAAAAGCCAAAAACTTACTCGTTTTCTCAATTTTCTTCTTTCCCCACGCCGAGTTGCTATCATCACTCCAATAAAGTAATTCACAGCCAACATTTATGTCCATGCAACTAACAAAATAGATTTTATCTTCGACTTTAATCATCGTTAAGTTCCGTTGATCGCGTGCTCTAGCTGGTTGTAAGTATCGAAACCAATTTGATTTTTGCCTATTCTCCAAATTATAATAGATCGATTTTGATAGTATACTGTCATGTATTTCAAAAACATATGCCATACTGCAATCGTCAGGTATGTCAACTTCGGGTGTTATTACACCGACGAGTGGACCAATTTGTGTATACTTTGGAATGAAAATTTTTGTAAAAATGCTTCGATTACATTCGGAATAGACGAGTGATGGAAGAAATTCAAATTCATTTGGCAGCGAACCTTCAGCAAATGATGGCAAATCATCAGATTGATCCATAATCATATCCATTTTATCATCTAAGTCATCATCATCGTCCTCATCGTCATCCATATCATCAAGCTCATTTTCAGACTTGACTGAGTCTTCAAAAAACATTTTTTCATCATCTAGTGGCGCATCTTTATCACATAAAGGAGGCCGTACTGGTTCAATAATAGGATGATCAACAATCCAATCGGCAAAGTCAATTTGATTTGGTATGGAAGATATTGGATTTCGTATTGGACATGTTTCTTTGCCATGCTTCGTATTACATGCATAACATATTTTTGGCTTATATGACTTCTTAATCGATGTTGATGATGTCTTTCGATCACGTATCATAAAATCACTATTTATCTCCAAGCGTCCTCCATCTGAATCAACATCATCATCATCGTCCTTGAAATCAAAAACACTCTTATCTTGATTCACATCGGACAACTCGTTTAATTTTGCATCAAGCATTATTGGTGCTTTTCGAATATCATAAAATCGTCTCTTACTCAATATTGGTCGTGGATTATCATCATGCTCCTCATCCTCACCCTCACTCATCATTTGTTTGTCCATTAAACTAGAACTGATTGGCGTTGGTGCCTCATCATATCGTCCATTGTTTCCATTGCGACCAATTTCAATCATTTTTTGCTTCTCTTCTAATTCATTTTTGATTTTCTCCTCAATCCGACAATCAAGAATTTCTGTTGTATTATTTGACTCATCTGACGATACGGAACCATCAATTGTACTACTTATTGAATGATCTTGTGCATTATTATCATTTGATGATGTTGTTGTAGATGTAGCCATTGTTTTGCTTAAGTTCATCTCATGCGATTGCGACATATCATCATTTATGATGTTCACGTTGTCTTGAAATTGTACACGTTTCACTTTCTTTGGCATTTGTTGTTGTTGTAGCTGCTGCTGCTGCTGTTGAATTTGTAGTTGTTGCTGTGGTTGCTGTATTTTTATGTGCTGTTGATTTTCAATATTTGCATGCTTCTGCTGTTGCAGCTGAGGCTGTTGACGCTTTTGTAAGAACGACGATGTCGATTGCTCTTTCTCATAATCTTGACTGTTATCAATGTGATTGTTACTGGTGTTCTTTTGAAATATGGGCAACTTGAAACTACTACAAGAAATGAAACAGGAAAGAAAAAGAAAATGAGAAATTGAGGAAATGGGGTGGACAAAATAGATGTAAGGAAGTTGGGGAAGGAAGGAAAAATTGTGGAAGAAATGATGAAAAAAGATTGCAATTATTTTTCTTCCAAAGCGATTCAATCTTTTCTTCACGTCTTCACACATTTTTCATTACTTTTAAGCTACCATTGTCCTAGTTGGGGGTCATTCACTCATTTTGTTCATCTTTAAAGAAGGTCTGAGATTTTTTTAATACTTTCAAAATTTGAAGAAAAAACAAATTATCATGGGTAGGAGGTTGTTAATATCTGATGTACGATAGACGTCATAAGTGAATGACTCCTAATGATTACAGGAGGAGAAATAATCAATAACTCATAAGTAATGCTTTCAAATCAAATCAAACGGCAGTTTTTGGTAACAAGACATTGAACCAATGGAAAAATGTAACCGACGCTTAGTATTTTGAAGTACCCCTGAAGTGTTTCTGCCTCAAAAACTCCTAAATCTGACATACTTTAAGAAAAAATACAAAACAAGCTTGCTAAACGCACCCTCAAAAATAGGACAATAAAATATGAAAAATTTCAAAAAACGAAAAAAGTAAAGCATAGCAAAAATTCATAACTCGAAGCAATACGCGTGGACGTAGATCAAGAAATGCTGATAAAATCATAAAAAAATATTTCTTCGCTATTTTATTTTCTTTCCCATATTTATTTCTATTTACGCATAGAGACATGGTCTTTGAATGACCCACCATTTTTTGTTCTCTTATTCTATGTCCAATTTTTATTTTCATTTATTTCATGATAAACAACTTTATGCGACATCGACAAACGACAGAAGCAAAAACAAGAGGAGAAGAATAAGAAAAGCAATGACGACGACTATGGACGAAAGGAATGAAAGTAAAAATATTGACTGGAAAATTTATCATGAGCTTTATGAGCGCATTTAGCGGGGAGGGAGCACAAAAGTTTGAAACTTTCCTGTTAATAGGCAAGGGTTATCCAAAAATCCCATTTTGTAGGGACATCATTAGTAAACCATCCATTATAAAAATCGATTTGTCGTCTTTAAATGAGAAATTTCTGTCCACATCATCCAGTTGAGAAAAAAAATGATTGATAAATGTGAAGGACTTTCCACAATAATATGTACGAAAAACCATGAAAAGACGCTGCTGATGAATGATTGAAATGAAAAGAGAGAGAGTGAGTCGAAGAGACATCAAGAGAAAGAAATGTAATTAAAAATGAAATTAAAGGTCACATGGAGGCAAGTTGGATCGACAACGAGAAAAACATTATATAAAATGAAGAAGGAAATTATGGCAAAGGAGAAGTTGAAAGGCAAAGAATAAGAAGGAGGAAAGGAAAATGATAATGTGAGGGTGTGTCAATAAATGATGTATATGTGAATGATAAAAGGAAATTTATTTGGAATGACAATGACAGGGTTGTAGCCAGAGGAAACATACTAGGAGTTTATAAGAGAAAGATCCCCAAATCTCCCTCTTACCCTTAGATGCTAGTAATTTCCCAAAGAAAATATTTATGAATGGCTTTTATAGAATTGCATCATTATGACCATGATTAATGAAAGTCTTATTACAATAATTTATTTTTTCATTTTCTCCCTCATATGTCATTGTCATCATTTGGTCCTCATTGATACGACAAAATCAAACCTTAAACACATGCCTTCTTTTCATATTTACAGTCATAATGACAAGAATTATGAAGAAATATTGTGAAAAATAATAATTAATTTTTATGCCTATTTTTTGCATTATGTTCTTGAAATTTATTAAGAGAAAACTAGAGAAATATCAGGGCAGCTTGCCTCTAATAATCACCCATCGTATCTTGCCTCTTGTTCTTAAATACTAAAAAATCTTAAATTTCCTTAAATTATGCATAAGTTCAATTATTAAATATTAGTCAAAAAATGTGTAGCTTGAACTGTTTTACACACGTTATTCAGAGTTTGTATAAATTTTCATTCAGCGAAATTTGCATTTAAACTTGCGAATGATTAATTTATTTACGCAATAGAACAATTCACAGAATGAACACGACTCCAAACATGAACGAAAACTGTTCATTATAATTATCATATTTTTGTTACATTATCATTGAGAGAAATTTCAGCTTATATTTCATAATAAAGCAACAAACAGTTATGCAGAAATTTGGTAGCATTGAAATTGTTATTTCATTCAACCAGTTGTAATATTCACTCGAATGTCATGGCACCAACAAGAAAATTTTAATTTTCCTCCATTCAGTGTTAAAGTTTGTGCATGAATGCTTCTTTTTTTATTCATTTATTTCTCTATATTATTCCATCATCATCATGATAATCAGTAGCAGAAGAAGCAATAGAAAAAAAAAATCCGTTGATATGGCGAAACGACGCTCACATATTATGTACATATAAAATAAAATGTTTTGTTCTTCATCGAGCAAAAAGAAGGATTTTTATGTTGTACATAACCATACACAATACACAACATGATGGTGAGAGGCGAGCGGCTGCAAAAATAAATTTTCATAAAAATTTTTTCTTTTTTTTTCGGGGCAAAAAAAAAAATCGCCGCGTCATGTGCATAAATGTATGCTGTTCTGCTGTGCTATATTATGATTAAAGTAAGGACGATGAAGAAAGAAACAAAATTTCCTTCCGTTCACCATAATAGGAGCAGTTTCAAAGTCATCATCATAATATGCAGACGTCATCAATGATACTCAATCTAAATAGTGGCTGTTAATGTTGCTCTTCAAACTTTTTTAAAATTGCATGCATCCTCACATGCTCGTTCTCTTTGTCAATTTAATTTTCACAAAAAAAAAAATGTTCAATGCTCAAAAAGGAAGAAGACTTTTTTTGCTCATACAGCCATCATACACAATAAGCAGTAGCAACACTCCCCTCACTTCTTTTTATCTCTCTTTCCAACATGCCTTAATGCCATATTATAGATGGGGCTCTCGCACATACATACACAAACACCCCCTCATCACTGTGTATTTTTCTTTTTTTTATTCACAACTCTGTCTTGCTTGCCAGCCTTTTTTCTGCTCTTTCTCTGTGACTCATTCTCTATGCTTGCTTTTTTTTCAAGCTCTCATGATATTCATTTTTGTGTGCTCGAGAAAAAAAAAAACACTGAAAGATGAAATGAAATGAATGGTACACATGTACATTTGCGTATGTCTATACAGAATTTCTATGTGCATAGTCCTATTTCTGTATGTACAAGTAAAGTATATGATGGTAGTTTTTTATATAATTTACACTCACTTGATGTGCTATATGGGGCTGTTTACTAACTACGTTATGCAAAAATAAGGGACTTTATATACCCCATTCGTTCATGTAACACATTTTGTATAAAAACGTATCTTTTGTTTAAAATCTTAGAAGAAGGAGGAGGAAGCGCTCTTAAAAAGCAAACGTAATAAGTTACTGAAATTAAAATACATTTTTTATTCAATTTTGTTTGACAAATATGAATCTGAACATCCTTTCACTATGAGTTGTAAGCAAATTTGTTGATAAATTAAGAGCAGATGAATTTTTCATCAGAATTGTCACTATTGCGTAGATTTTTATTTGAATCTCCTCATTAAGAACCCTCAACCTATTTATATAAGACAGAAAAAAAAATCACATCCTAAAACCTCCCCAACTGCTCGCATCATAGAGTCACCCTGAAAGTTTTTTTTTTCACCATTCATTTGCAGCTTTTTCAAGTTGAAAGGTGGGTGGATATTGGATGGTGTGATGCTATAGAACATTCACATACGGTAAATATATTATACAACAACAATAATAATTAATAGGCTACTTTAGTTCCATTTCTTTTTTTTCGTAGAGTGATGATGATGTGCTCGCAAAAAAGGCTGATAGAAGGACGTAATGAAGCTGGTTGTTTTTATGAGTTTGTGTATGTTTAAAAAATAACTTGAACCCAATTAAGCTATCTGGATGGTTTGAATAAAAAAGCAAGAAATTGCAATGCAGAGTAAAATCTGGGGTACTTGTTACAACACTGATTCATAGAAATGAGCTTCAGCTATGTTGAAACTTTCATTCTACTTTATTTGAATGGAAATAAAAGAATCCTATCCTGCTCAGAGGCAGGGATTTTCAAGTAAATTTCACATTTTTTTCTATTTACATAAAATTGCGAACAAAACCTTTCGTAAATAAATGAGTAAACCACAGACAAGGAATGAGAATTTCTTTCAACAATTTCTATATAAAATTAACAAGTTGTGTAAGTGAGGAAAAGTGGAGTAAGTTCACTCGAAGAGCGACAACAAAAAAAATACCATTTTAAAGCTTCCACATTGAGTGAAATGAGAGAAACCTGTAGAAAAGTTTTTTCTTCTTGAAAAGTAGAGCAGACTGAATAAAATAAGTTTTTCGGAAATTCTCTTTCATGCTTAAAACTTTAAAAGGAATTTTGATGATGTTTTTAGGAAGGAATTTAAGAATATCAGGAAAGTTTTGTTGAGCATTTCTGCATGATTTTAAATATTTTCTAGTCATGGAAAATTCTTGGAAATCGAAAGGTTAATTTGTACCATGAACTGCCTACTCTTGAACTACAGACTGTAATTTAATGGATTGTCTGACCTTTAAATGTGCATCATGCTGTTTTTTAAAAATTCAGAGCAATTCTTAGAAAGTTTAAATTTTTGGCATTTTTTTGAAACTTGCAAACATCTACCGCCGATTAAGCTTTCTAGTCTAGAATATCTGAATTTGAAATTCTAAATTTATAAACAGAATTAAAGAGCTTATGGTCAAACATGCAAAAAATATTTACAAGACCCGATTGCCATAGGCAAATGTATTACACAACATGATGTTATTGGAATTTAATAATTCAGGATTAACAACTAATTTTTTTTTGAAAATAAAATGGCATTTTTATCCTCCCAAATTAATGTTTCATTTATTAAATTGATGATTTCTGCAGATTTAAAATTGCAGACAATAATCATAGGTTTGTCGGTTTTTTTGATAAACCAATTTATGGATTAAAATGTATTAAAGTTTATTTCCCATTTCATGGAACGGATTTAAGATCTATCCTAATAAACTATATTAGTAATTGTTGGTTTTGCACATCAAACTTTAAGTGGTGTCATAACGATTTTCTAGCTGGCCAATATCAACCTACACAACTATGGGATCATTAGATTGATTCCATATTGATCTCTAAACTCTACTTTTAGATTTTTTGCATTTTTAATAATAAAATCAGCCTAAAAAATTGAATTTTGATGAATTTAAAGCTCTTTGAAGTTTCGTGCGAAAATATTGAAAGATTAGCATTCTAAATGTGTCATTATAAATCGAAAATATGTACATATCTATCAAAACAAAAGAATAATTGCTTGTAGGATTTGTTTGCTAAATATTGATTTGAATTGTTAATTATTCAAAAATAACCTGAGGGATTTCCAATCGAAATTTAATTTAAATACGTGGAAGTAAATCGATTGTAATATGCTAAAATGAATAATTTATGAGTCTACGATGAAAGCTTTTATTAACATTAATATGGATTAAAATATTTTTATAAAACTTTTTGCATCTTTCAAAGTATAAAGCATAATGGCCGGAAGTATTTATCTAAACAATTCATTAGAATCTTATGCAAGACATTTAATAATTTCCGATGTGCTCTACAGCTTTAAATTTGTATTAAGACCATAGTTTGAACAATCGCAGAGATTACCTTCATTTGTTCATAATTAATAGAGCATAAATGATTTTAATTGAACATAAACCAGTTAAACATGACCCAATGACATCATGACACCTGAGATTTAAAATTTGTCAGTCCATCTGCGCACTTTTGAGCAGGACAGTCCCGCGTTTTTGAATAAAGTCTCACCTAAAATACTTAATGACACTCTTTTTTGAACCTATTTTTGGACCTTAGAAAATGCTTGAAAATTCGGTCTGTTCTGCTTTTTCAAAGCTGAAATCGGAACGTGTCCAGCTTTTTGATCAAAAGTCGGTAAAAGCCGATGGACAGCCTAATCATAACAGAACACAAAGTCTACAATAATAAATTCTTTGCAGCAACTTTCAAAATAAAGTTTCTTGTTTGAACAAAAATGTTCTTCAACATTATAAACATCAATCAAGCACTAAAACATCCATTTGGGGTATGCACTTTATTTTATTTTATTTGATAGACGAAAAGAGCAATTTTATGCGGAAAAGAGCATAAAATACAAGGAATCGTTAAACAAGACAAGAGAGAAATTATTTTCATTCCGTTTGTATTGAAAATAAAGCTGTCGATAGGCTCTGTTTTCTTCTAGATTCTGTAGGCTCAACATTGCTTCAAGCGGATGGGATGGAAAATAACGAAGAAAAATATTGAGTGTGAGATGGAAAAAAAGGATGTCGACGGCAATGGTTATGGTTGGTGGAGGTGGATGTTATAATGATATTAGATGATGTTGATGATGATGATGGAAGAAGGCGAAAAAGAAGAAAATGAAAATAAGAAAAAAAAGTACGAAAAAGAACCAAGGCTGAATGTAGAAATATGTATAGGAGCATTATATATAACGTCTATCTTTTTCATGTAGATATAGTCATTTACAAAGGAAAAGAAGCGAATAAGAAAAATCAGCCTATATAACAATTTGTAGATGAACCTTAAAAAATGAATGATCAATGAGCGCTTTTTGAGACTTGACTAGAGCAGAGGTATTCAAGGTCGATCTAATCTTAATCAATAAAGAGGTTTTTGAGTGAAAGGGAATCCTAAACTCATCAAAAATTACAGCTTAGGGGCTGTTCACTTATTACGTAACGCGAAAAAATGACTTCTTAGACCCCCCCCCTCGTAACAAAATTTGTATGAAAAAAAAATTTCCTTCTTTGAACCGTAACAAAATCTTAGACCCCCCCCTCCCCCTAAAAGCGTTACGTAATAAGTGAATGGCCCCTTATCTGAATCGAAAAGCTAACAATTAACAGACAAAGTAACAGCACCAAGATAGGCTTTACAAGAGAAAACTGCTAACCAAAAAACTAAAGTATGAAGGAAATGAAAGCGACCAGAAATAAAAAGAAGAAGAAAATAAATTAAGAAACGAATGTATAGAGGATCTTGGAGGCAACAAAATGGAACATAAGAAACTTACCCATTTTTATTTGATCGTGCCTCATTTTCGGCTGTATTCAGCAGAAATGACACAAACTCAACATCGTTCTTATATTGAAATAAATTGCGTAAATTATCCCATCGCTCGGCATTTTTGGTGCCAATATAAATGTTTTTGCTGAAATTTTGATGCCGAAACTTTTTACTCGCACTTCCATTGCTACAATTACTATTTACTCCAGCATTTGAGTTACTTTGATTAGAATTTTGATTTATATTAATATTAATATTATTATTATTACAGCTATTCAATAATCCACTTCCTATTCGATCATTTCCAAGTAATGATGATGTTGATGATGATGAATTTTGACTAAACGCGACAGCAGCTGTAGCTTGTCGCAATAAATTAGCTTGCGATGACAGCACCAATGGATTGATTTCACTTAAATTACTATTCTCATTTGCGCTGCTAAAATCATTATCACTCTCATCATTATGCGTGCTTCCTGATTTGGGCATGGCTAATTCGCGAAACGGAAAAATTTTTATGCTTCTTTTTCACTTTTTTTTTCTTTCACTTTTCCTTAAATTTATGGTTGTAAATAAAAACTTTTTTCTCTAGACTACATTTATTATCATTATTTTAAGGAAGTCTCTACATTCTCACGTAAATGCTATGTTGTGCATGAAATAAAAATTTAATAAATTTTAAAGCGACACTTTTTTTATGTGCGAATGTTGGAAGCGCTGCAGAATTTGTGTGTATGACTTTAATGGCTTTCACATGCGAAAAACTTTTATTCTCTCTCGAGTTTCACACGAAAAACTTTTTTCCTTTGAAAAAAATAATAATAATCCTCAAGTTTTCCACTTATTTCCACTTTTCTTTAAGAAAAAAAGATTGCAGCAGGAACAAGAAGAAATTTCCTTTTTTTTATTATTTCAATTGCATTTTCACTTTTTCACAACAACATTTTTCATTCTTTTATCATCATAAAAATGCTGCTGCTGCTGCTGCTCCTTTTCTCATTTATATTTATTTTCTCATTTTTTCTCGTTTCTCTCTGTTTCTCGCACTCTCGCACACACTAAATCTTTTCTGCTGTTTCGGGGTTGAGAAAGTCCTCCCTGCGCCCCCGAAAATTCGAAAATGAAGGAACAATTTTGTGTGGTGTGGTGAAAAAAAAATTTCCTTCTTCTTATTTTTTTCTCTCGCTTAGATTTTATTTGAAAGTTCTTTTATTATTTCATATATCCACATCCTTTTTTAATCCATAATTAATCAACCATTTTAAGCTTGTGATTTTCAATTTTTCCATCCACTTTCCACCTTTAAATCAATTTTTTCACTACGCGAGATGCCTCTTCGCGACGACACATTTGATGTTTGATGGGTGAGAAAAATGAGACTGGCTCAGGCTTGGTGGAAAAGAAGGATGTTGGCAGAAATTTTTTTTTTCTTCTCCGTACTGTTGAGAGTTCAATGTGAGAGTAAAATAGCGCCATGAGATGTCTGTACATGGCAAACAGGCATGCACAACGACAATAATAATATTTTATGTTGGAAAAAATTGCCTCTGTCAGGATATGTGTGTGTGTTCCTTTATCATGGAAAATTATTTATTTGTGTGCGAGGAAAATAGAGAGGAAAATGAGAAAGAGAGAGACTTACCGCAAATGTGGATATACACCGTAACATTGGGAGAGGAATTGATGATAATTTTTCCAATTAAGATGTGTGAACGACTTTATTTGTATGTGTGTAGCTCACATATACAATTGACGATTTATAGGCTGAACATTTTCACCACAACGACCGTATGTATAGACATTTCCTATTCACCACTTTATTGATAAGAATAAAATTTCCCATACAACTGAAAAATTGTGCGTATAAAGTTGTGCATGTATGCAAACTTATTCATTTCCCAACAATAAGAAATGTACATAATGAGATCTACATAAACCGCTTTCCACAGTTTTTGAAGGGAGAAGCAAAAAAAAAAACATTTCTTTTCATGTTTCTGCGTTCTCATAAATTTCATTCCTAGCTGCTTCCTTCTTCTTTCAAATATGAAGTAGGAAATATATTTCAATTCCGATGTATGGGTGATGAAGAAAAAAAGAACGGCAGAAAATGTGTCGTAAGACCTCTTGAATTTCGCTCCACGCATGCATTTTATTGACATTTTTTTTTCTCATGTCGCTCTTTTCATCACATCAACATCATTCAATTTATGTTAAACTAGAAAATTTTGTGCTCTATGAGTTTTCATCTTCCATCCTCATTTCCTTTTTCTGCTGAAAATCATTTGCGTTTCGATGAATTTTTCTATTGTTTTTCATCGCTCGCATATACAATGAGGGAGACTCTAGCAGGAAATAGGAGATGAAAAGAAGAAAATAAAAAATAAATTCAATTGTGATTTGTACCCCAACTCCCCCTTATTTCAGACAACATCAACATTCATGACATTGATGGTTGCCCCTTTTTATTCCAATGGAAACTATTGTAACCGGCGACATGGATGAGAAATTATGAAAATCAAATTTGTATGTTACATTTTGTAGCATAGCGTATAATGTGAAATTGAATTTTTCTTCCTTTTATTCACAATTTTTTTTAATTAATTTCATTTCGGAAAATTTAGAATGTTAGATAATCATGATGGTGATGATGCTGTTGTGTAATTTATATTTTGCATAGTGACTTTTCCTCTCATCATTTCCATTTTTTTTTTGTAATTAAAAGTCGTTACGCATGAATGGACATTGGGGAAATTAAAACAGCCCAGTCAGAAGTTTTTTTCTTGTAATATTTACTTGATGTTGCCGGAAACGGTATGGCTAGATATGAAGTCCATCAAAATATCAGACCCCAATTGCCAATATGATTGGAATAATTTTTTTATACCAAAAATTCCTCAATATGTTTGAGCTGGTATCTTATCAAAGCATGATTTTTAGAACCACTTAGGGCACCCTCCCTAGTCCCAGTAAATTTACATTTAATTCCCTAAATGTGACACATCGATTCTAAATCATTGATAGCTCCAAGAAGACGAACTGCATTTTTATCCAAGGATCTTTTATGATTAAAATCCAATAATGATCTCACTAGGTTGATATTCTGAAAAATAAGAACTCATATGCTGTCTAGATCTCATATCATCATCAGTCTGTCTTGTAAGCTCATCCTGTAAATGCTGCAATAAATTTGTCATGTAAGAAACAAAAGGAAATGTGACAAATTAATACGAAAAGGGCGAAAATGAACTTCATATTCAGATACATAGCTAAAACAAATGAAAGAGAAGCTTAAGGGTATATTGTCGGAAGGCTGGAATGTTAGTAATAATTCAATAGACATACAAAATCATTTCTTATACATCACAAAATTATATTTTTATTTTCATCTTCATTCATTTTTTTTCTGTCATTAAATATCATCATTTATCAGCGTCATTGAAGTGTTTCATCGCTTTTTTGCTCAATTTCCTGCCTTAACGTGCAATTTATTATGCTTGAGTTATTTTTTTATCATTAATTTATCTTTTTTTCTTTATTTTGTTTATTTTGAAGTGAAAATTATTAATTAAATCCCTTTCTCTTATACTTGTTTTCGTAGTTATTTAAATATCTTCATTTATGCTTGATTTATAGGGACTAAGTAGTAATCTTACAATTGTAGCTCTTAATGCTATTTAAAGTGACAGCAAATGATGACTTTTATCATCTTCATTTTTATTTATATTATGCAAAAATCTTTAGGAATGGGTACTAAATAGGGCATGGATAGTAAGAATAAGAAGAAGTTTGGGGGACAATCAAAAAAGTCGCAATGGTAATGTGTCACTTTATTTGTCTGTCGACAAAAATTGTTCAAGCAATAAAATTAAGCAGTAAAAATTGTCGCAGTTTGAAGCTGTGTTATCTTTCTTGTTTAGTGCTCAAACTGCTTTATCGACCTTCTTTCCTAATAAATTCTTCATTGTTGTTTCATAATCTTATTTCATGAACAATCAAATTAATTCACTATGCTTGGAGACATCAAATCTCATGTCTACTGTTTCTAAGATGTCATTTGCATCTGTTCTTCTTAGTTTCATAAATGCATCATGTTTTTATATATATAATTTTTTTTACCTTAAGATTTAGTAGTAAATAAGTGTTTTCATACGCATGCAAAATATATATGCAAAAATGGAAACAAAAATTATATGAAAAATTTCTTTTTCTTAACTTTTTGTTAAACATTAATTTTCTATACTTCAGTACTCTTCAATGGATGGACGTGTAGGTGAGAATTCATAATATTCTTTTGTATCAAATAAATTCGCTGTTAGCTACATTAAATAACATATTTTGTTTTGAGTTATGGATCAAATTCTATGTACTCATTGAGTTTTTTACTTCATGGAATGTTTTTTTTTCTTGTTTGTAATGAACAATGATTTTAAATTATTTACAGAACAGCTATGCTACTTTTGATATACTAAACATCTTTGTAATATAAGCTTGGAATAGACCGATTTGTTACTGTTGTATTATGGTTCTTAATGCTTTTAAAATTATCAAATGGTTTAAAATAAAATAGAGATATTGAAAAAAAAGGACTTACATGAAGTCCATGATTTAGAAGGTTTTGAGATTTTGTGATAGCTTCATACCTCTTCTTTGAAATCCTGTTCCTTGATCGACATCATAGTTGAAAGATCCCATGTCAATCAATTTAATTAAACTTAAAGGAAACAAGACTGACATAAGCTTCTGTAGTCTCCACAATTGATGACTTTACTTGGTAATTAATGCTTCTGAAGGACGTAGGAAATAATCCGTTTTAATTGGAATATTAAAGCAATTAAATTCTATTTATGTAAGAAGTAGAAACTTCCAGTTATGCATGAATTCTTCTTAAAACTTTTGCATTAATTGATTTGCTTTTATGTTAAAAGCTAAATGCTGAATGCTAAAAGCTAGTTTTGAGTGGGAATTGAACCCGTGTTTTACGATTTTACACATTTTGGGCTGTACACATTTTTACCAATGAGCTCTCAGGAGATTTATAAAAAGCTTAGCAGAATGCTAATTTAAACTATTTTCAGCTCTGAACAGCATTTTTTGATATTATTGCCTTATCTGGGAGCCTCTAGCAGTTTAAGTCATTTTAATCACTTTAATAATATTTATGTCAGTAAAATAATATTAAAGTAGGAGATTAAAAATCATTGAAAAAGCAATTCAACAATCACCATGCAACTGTTTCTGCTGTTTATCCGTTTATATAATATTTTAAAACATAACCGTTTTCTTATTTGCTCACGCGTTTGCTAGGACAATAGGGATCATAAAACAATTTTATGGACAGAAAATGAATTTATTTGTGGAAAATAATAATTTTGACATGACAAAAATGAAAAGCTCAAGGCATGATGTGACACGCAAAGAAAGAAAATTGTCAGTTTTCTATTATTATTCTTTTTATCTCAGAAAGGCGTGAATATAAAAAATTTTAATAAAAAAATTCCTCTCAAATCGATAATATTTTAAACCCCTTTTTGTGTCAATAGCTTTAGTTCCATTGAAGAGAATTTTCGATTTAATTTTTTTTTTTGATACATTGTTCCATTAAGTGATTGAGTACACAGTATAACTTTTTTTTTTGTTATTTTTTCATTAAGTTTAATTGAAAGCAGATTTTTGGTTGTTTTTCAAATATTTTTTTTTCATTTTAGGTAAATTTTTGGGATCGTTCATAAATAAGAGTCAAAAACAACTCAAATGACAGATGAATATTGCAACTGGATAAAGTCAATTAGAATATTCTTAAGTCATTTAAGTGTAAAAGCAATTTTTCATCTCAAAAAATTTGTAAGCTTAACGAATGAATAAATTTTGATTATCAGGCAAAAAGCATGTCAATAAAATAGAAGCTTTGATTTTTTTTACAATATAATTTTTCTTCGATTTTGATTAGATTTTATAAAATAGAAATTTATCTGCGTGTCTGTCTGTTCTTTGTATTATCATCATTTTTATCTTAACTTTTGATCATAAATTCATCATTCCAATAAATGTATGTGAGTGTATATATAATAAGAGTCAATGTTCATAATACTTGATTTTTTTTTTCTTCTTCATAGAATATCATTAATTAAATCTCAAGCTGGCTATTAGAGTAATAAGCCAGTAGCATCAATAAATATAAATAAATTAGCAATAAATATATATAATAATTATAGAGAATGCAGCCAGATTGTTGCTGATGAAGAGGAGACGAGCAATTAACAGATAAACACGTTAGAATAAGAATACTTGAAGATATTGAGCAATGAATAGGATTTTAATTAATAACATAATTGCAATTAATCAGGAATTGCTAATTAAATCATTTATTATAGAACATTCTTGTGAAGCTAGCTTCAACTTCCGGTTGAACTTTTTCCAAATGCTCTCAGATGGTTTTAGAGCCAGATATCGTTATATAATTATGCTGTGAACATTGTGTCATACCGACAACACTTTTATTCAGTGATTAAAAGATCTGTTGCTTGATTTATATCCCAAAATATAGACAAATTGATTAAGATTCTATTGAACCTCAGGTTAGTCAATCGAACCCATATCCTCAATAACAGAGTATATATTTGGTATTTTGGTTAACCATTCGACCACTGAGGCCTCATTCTTGTACCGGCAGATTCGCCTATTAATGGAAGTAAGAATTGAGTTGAATTTGCACAAGTCTCGTAAAATAAAGCGTCACAGATGTTTTACATAATTACTTATAATTATAACATTGTATTTAATTTATATTTTCCGTTAAAGGTCATCATGTAAATAAATTTAATTAATTATATATTCAAAAGAAATTCCAGTCTCCTTTTCATCAGCATCCTTCGACTGTTTTCATCCCCATCTGCATATATTTTCTCCATCGTTAATAATAAAATAAATACTGCGCATCCTTTTTAATCTTAAGTTTTTCTTCGAATGATAGCAACTTCATTTCAATTAGTTTGTAAGTACTAGAGAAATTGCAAATGAAGTTCATACATCGGTATTTTGCCAGCCATATCATTGTTAAGGGCATTAATTAATGAATGAGAATTTATCCTAATTTATTTTTGTTGCTGTTTCTTCTCTCATTAGCAAAAAAGTTAAGAGAAGAAATCAATTAACAACATGATTTTTATTTCACAAACATTTAAATTAGTTTTTCATCTTCATGTTATATGTCCAGAACTGCCTATGCAATTTTCCTTGGTTAGCATCTACACACAAATTATTCATCATTTTTCTTTTATTATTATCTAATTTTTATTTTTTATAATTTTTGTTTTTTTCTTTCATATAGAAACAGTCTCGAGAAATTTTCTTACTTTCGTACACGCCTTTTCACTTTTGGTTGTTTCTAGAGATAAATAACTTAATTTCTTTATCATATATATATAATGACTAAGTTAATTAAAAATATAATATTTAATTCCTTATTTTCTTTCTTTTTGTTATGCTCAATTCTCTATTCAGCAATTATCACACATCAGTTGTGAATTATTTAATCATTCAACTTAAATAAATTATATTATATTGTGTACGTATATTATAGTTTGAGTGAGATGTAATTTTGAAGGAAGTTGTTCAACAGAGACGTAATTTTTATTGTTTTCTTATGGGTCATGATATTTTGAATCATCACTTAATGCCCAAAGGTATAATATAAATATTTTATCGTCATTATCGAACAATAAACTCTTCAAAATTCAAAATCACCTCAGAAATAAAATGACATAAAATTGGTGTAATTTTGATATAATAGAAAATTAGAGAAGATCCTTACACACATGTCTCATACTAATTACCAATAAAATTTCCAGAAAATATTTTTTTTACCTCTTCTAAATTAATTAATTAATTTATCAATTTTGTCTCCATCTTCAACACTTAACCAACTCATATCATGTCATTTTCTTTCTTCTTGTGCCGTATAATGTATTAAAAATTAATTATTAGATATAGATTCATCACCTTTCTTGTTCGAAAATGAGATAAAATTAGATCAATTTTTAAGGATAGGATAAAGGAGGTGTGGAAATAAATTATTTTGTTGATGCTCTCGTCTGTGATTCAATCGATGTGATTAAAGCTGTTGAAGGATATAAACTTGCTTATTTTATGATTTAGTATTCAATGGTGAGTTTTAGAAACTGTTTGATCCTCATGGGTGTAATCAAATGGATCTTAGGGGGTTTGAACCTACTCCTCTCATTTGAGTGTTTGTTCACGAAAGTTAAAAGTTTTCCCAAAGCATTTTCGGAGCTCTTTTCTGAAGCACAATTGTACTATTATTTTAAATTTTTGGATTTTTTTTCCTTTTCACAGCAAGAGTGTTGCCAGAAATTTATAGAACGGAGTTTAAAATTGTTTTTGTGTAGACGAAAAGTTTCAGGGGTCTGGTGATTGTTTCTTTAAAAACCCTAGCAAGTCTATTGCTGCTGAATTCAACGTTTTGAGAATAAATTGAATAAATCTTTAATTCCAATTCCAATTTGATTTTGTGTACAAAAAACTTTTTTCCGTGCATGCGAAGATATTTCAATTAATCAATTGATCTCATAGTAAGAAGTCTTTTTAAAGAACTTTCGAGACGTAGAAATGAAAAACCTCAAGCTGAATTGAAATTAAATCCGTAGCTTTAAAAGCAAGCATGAAACAATTAAGGATCTCAAATGAAGCGAAATTTGTTCCATATTTCTGAAGTAATTTATATCCTATGAGAACATCAACTACACTCGAGAGAGGAAAATAAGTGGAGAAGGATATAGATAGAGATAGATAGATGAACATAATTAAAAGCTTAAAATTTATTCAAAAAAGCGATATGTGAATGAATATAATGTTGTGGTGTTATTTCTTTAAAGTATCATCTTTTATGCACTGTATTATGTTGATGAGTATGACAGCATTACTTTTCATTAGTTTTAATGAGATATGCAAGCGTTTTTTTTTATTTATCATTTTTTTTTGTTATTATTAAATTAAAATATCTTCGAGACTAGTGTAAGTGGCTGGCAACAATAACTATCTTTTTATCATCATCGTCGTACAAAAAAATGTTTCATTAATCATTAATTTTGCATTTTTTGTGCTTTTACTATTCAAAAAGTATAGTTTGATGAGAATTTCTCTTTTTGAAGAACAACACTGAGCAATAAGTAGTAAAATAATTAACACACGTAATTTTTTTAATAGACATCAATCATATAATTAATCTTCATTTCATTTATATCTTCGTCATTACTTTTTTTTATGTAAGGGAAAAGGGGAGCATAAACAATTTTTATATCATTTTTTTTTAGATAAGATTTTCACATTCTAATGTTCATTAATTCTTATTATACTTATTTAATTTAGTGAAAAAAATAATTTTTCATACTTTTTTTTGTGTGTGTGTGTATGTGTGTGTTATATTTCAGTGGAGAAAGGGCAATAATAAAAGTTTCATTCTTCTTCAAGTATCTATAAATGGATGTAATGCAAGGCCAAGGCGTGAATAATGTAAAGAACTTTCTCCTCTCTTTTTTTTCATTCTACTACTTTTTTTTGGTTGAGCATCTTTCTTTCCTCATCATCATTGCTATTACTCCTTATTATTATCAACAACAACACAGTAATAATGGTAATATCAGCTTAAGTAACTTCACTTCACATCACTTCTTTTCTTATGTAAACTTAATAATATTAGTTCATTTCGCAATATAAAGACATGATTATTACCTAACATCATAGTACTTAAATACTCGAATGTTATTTTTTGTGTCTGCAACATATTTATTACTATATCTTGTGTGTCTGTTTTGTGTGTTCATCCTTCATGACAATAAGGAGAGTAAGATGCTCATCATTATTTTTCATATAAATAACATTCATTCTCATTTATTTACTTATTTTTCTTTTCTTATGTTTTCACTACCACTAGCTTGTTTATATATAGATTGGATTCTCCTGTCCAGTCAGTAATCGGAACATTGAAGTAGGCATTGTCTTCATCAGTATCTAAAAATATCATGAAATGAAGGAATAGAAATGAAATATCAATTAAATTAAATTTTATGATAGTAAAATGTCATGATGCAGGGATGTAATCCAGTGTTTCTCAATCTTTTTGAGTCAAAGATACAGTTGAGCTATTTTAAGTTTTTAATAGAAGGCTCATTTTTGTGTGAAAATCTTTCGAGAGTGTCGTGTCATATAGTTTGAGTACCACTGACTCAAATTTCAAATCTCAAAAACTGACTGATTTTCGAGATTGGGTTTCATTTTTGTAAGGATTTTTGAATATTTTTTTTTTCAAGTTTAAGCCCTCTTCCTTAGCAACTGCCTTAGTTAAGACGCAATGGTGTAAATACAGAATTCATAACAACTTTTCTGAACTTTACTTGATCAGAAATCCAACACCAAGCCAGTGTGACTCTGGCATAGAGCTGGATTGCTAGAGTCATGCCGGCTTGGTACCAGATTTTTATTCGATTAACCGACTTGTGCTATTTGGGTTCACAGAAATATTTTCAAGACAAAGATAATTTATGATAAATGCGAGAAGGATGACAAAAATGGAAGGTATTTTTAAATTATTTTAATTTAAAAAAGAAATGAAAACATAAAAAATTCTGAAATGAGAAAAATTATTTCAGGCAACAGCTTTTTGCATCCTTAAGAGTCTCGAAGGATTTTTATTACGCAGTTAATATTTCAGACTTTGAAAGTTATTCAATCATTTCTTGCGTCAAATCTTTATACGTTTATCAAACCCCATCTGAAGAATTCTTGCATGATAAAGCTTCAATTTTGAAGATAATAAATTGCAAAGACATTAAAATTTCTTAAGAAAGATTTTTCATCAGTCATTGACATCGAAATTAATAGAAAAGGAATTAAAATTTTGCTCTTAATTGTATTTAATCCAATAAGACCACAAATAATGATAATAACAAGATTAAAATAAATAAATCATAATAGCAATGTAGGTAGATCTTTGGAACAACTGTGAAGATAAATGAGAATAAAATTCATGGCTTCAAATTAAAAGGTAATCATTCAAAATACAAATTCTCCCTTTTCAAGAGCGTCGACAGACAACAGAAAACCGTAAAAAGAAAGAAGATTCAACAATTGTCATCATAAATATTTCACAGAAAATGAGATGTAAAAAATGTATCTAGACATCTTTTTTTCAAGTCTCTTTCATTCAATTTGCTTGTCTACTACCTTAGTATATATTATAAATGTCTATAGAAAAATCATTTATTTACCTCACCAACAGACGTTGCAAGTAAATTTACAATTTTCTCATGTGGAACGGCAACGACACTTTGATTATTGATTTCAATGATTCGATGACCAACACGAACGCCTCCACGTTCAGCAATGCCGCCACGTAAGAGACTGCATATCTATCATTATGAAATTATGAATGAAGGAAAGCGAAAAATAAAGAAAGAAGGTTGGAAGTAATATTAAAGGTATGAAGAATGTTTATTAAGTAACAGATTGCATGCAACTTTATGCTACTTACCACACCATTTTGAACACTAAAACCTAATTGATACTTTGTGTTTGGTCGCTTAATTTTAACTTCAACAACGGGAGCACATGGAACGACAGTGAATTTTACAACAGTTTGATTTTTTGTGTTCTTAATATACTGCTGACATTGAGAGAGAGGAAGTCCAACAAGACTTAGTCCGTTTATGGCTATAATTTGATCACCAATATTAAGCTGGCCACATCGTGCAGCGGCACCATTTGAAGCGAGATTTGCTATTACAACGGTTGGAAGCATTGAGCCCCAACCTGATTCAACTATAACTACGCCTAAAATTTCACCTTTTGCCTTCGGTACGACGACTTCTTTTTGAAGTTCTTTCTTAGCAAATATTTCAAGTTCATCACCAAATATTTCTTGACTATTCAGAACTTCCTGATAATCCATTTCCTTCATAAAACTATGATCCTCAATTCCATTTGCTTTTAGGAATTCCATATAAGCAACTTGAAAAGCTTGTCCAATTGATTGGGCAATAAATTGTGCTTCTTCACTTTCAAACACATGACAAATCATTTTTGGTGTTCGATTAATTTTTCCACTTGTTGGAGGTGTTGGTCCTCCACTGCCTCCACTAACATTTCCACTTCCACCAGTTCCAGTACCAGAATCACTATTTGCCTCATGATCCTGTGGAACAAATCTTCTTCTTGCCATTAGCACAACTAAATCACCAATATCGGCAATATATGATATCGTTCTCAATGCATGATCCATCATTATTTCCTTTAAATCTGTATTCAATACCATTATTTTTTCAGTCGATATAAATAAGTCCACTTCTGTGCTTGGCTGATTTTCTCCATCCGGAGCCTAAATATTATTAATTTATTTTTATAAAAAATAGAAAAGTGGAAGTATTGTAATTCTTTTACTACGTGCTTTTGTTATTTCTTGCTTAGTATATTAAAAATTTATAAAGATAAAGGAACAATGGTTTCTGTACACATGACGTGCTTGCAAAAATATTTTTTCGGATGAAAATGGAGTCTCAATTTTAATAGATCAAGTCTTTATATCTCCTATGTCATGTACTATTGAAATTTAAAAATTAAGGATTTTAAAAAGGGCTGCAGTTCTACTTCTGAATCATCTCAAAATCAAGAGAGCTTGATGTTTAAAAATAGAATTACTTTTAAAAATTCATTTCACTTCTAATGAAGAGTTATGCTCGGATTATTGTGGAATAATTAATAGAAAACTTTCGAAATGGACTTGACTTATAATAATTGAGAGAATGACTTAACAGTTTTCAAAAAAATAAATTCTTATCATTACTTGCACTTAAGTTTAGTGCTTATACAACTGTTGTTAATAACAGAAGTCTCGAAAAATGATTCAAAACTTTTCATTCATTAACAATAAATTTATGATGCTGAAAATGCTTGCAATTATAAAAGTTTGAAGATTTAAGTTTGTTTAATCATTAAATAAGCTTTAAATCCAGCATAATTCCATTAAAATAAACGTCTTCAATGAAGTTATTAAAAATAATTTTTCTATTTATTCCACCTCAATACATGAGCATAGCCATGAGGGTGAAGTAGAAGCATAAAAATAAAATGAATTTTTAATCAACATTGAACAATTTGTTACTTATTAAATTAAGCATAATGTATGTAGGAAGGAATAATAGAATATAAAATAAAAGTCTGTTAGAAGAACTGCAAAAGATCTATATCGATAAGAAAAGGACACAAAAAGGAAGCAAAAAAAAACTTACCAATGCCTACAATGTATTGTGAGAAAATTGAAAAATTTGGATAAAAAGAAAAGAAAGATACAAATATTAGATATGTCTAGCGATAAGGTTAAAGTAAGAAACTTTCTTTTTTTGTTTCTTCATATTTTATATAAATTTTTCGCTCTTTACCTTAATCCTTGAGACAGCTTCTTCAGCTTGCATCATTCTCGTTGATTTTGTTGGTTGACCTTCGCAAACCAACTGAGTTGATCCAAGATACCGCGCTCGAAATAGAACTCCTTCAATAAGCACTGTATATATGTTTGTCTAAATAAGAATTTATAGGCGACAAGGGATGAATGGAAGAACATAGAGATAAAAAAAGGGTGAGTAAGTGAATAAGAGACATAAAAAGTAGCATGAAATGAAAACAAAATTGCACGAAAGAATTAATTTTCGAGTCGTGCAAAAATATAAAAATAGAAGGAAATTATATGGAAGGATAATGCGAATGACATAAAAGAAAATTGAATGTCGATAAAGAAAAGAGAGTGTTTGTTGCTCTTTATGAAATTACTGTAGCATCAAGTCTGAGGTTGATGTGAAAAATCATTTGGGAATTGCTTTGAGAAAAGGCAATAAAATTTTTACGTGCGTAATTTAATTCTGTGGAGAATTAGACGCAAAACATAGTAAATCCTACAAAATCGACAGAGCTAACTTAATTAAAGATAAGATTGACTTTATGTTTGTACCGGTTCGTTTAAATAGCATTTTACATAATCTTATAAAAATCAAGAATTTAAGTTTTATAAAATTATTGAAACCAGCTTGAATAACTTGACAGAACATGTCCATAATTATTTTACGTTATATTTTATTAATGCTAGGAAAGAGATTGAAGTGGAAACTTGAGATGAAATCGGTTAAATCGAATTTCATGTTATTGGACAAATTAATTTATACTATAGATATTGAAAATTAAGATTGATTTGCACATTAATGGATAGATCGAAATAGGAAGAGCAATTAAAATTTTTCAAACAGCGGATGTTGACTGCTGTTGGAATCCATTATCTCCTTTCTATCACGTGGTTTAGGTTATTAGTATTTTTCATTGAAATTTATGACGCACATTCGTATTTAATTAAGGCTATAATTCTCATATTAAATAAGAATATTGCGGAATGACAATATAAATAATTTTATGTTCTCGAAATTATGCTTATTGTTGATTGCCATAAATGTAATTTACAAAACATTTCTTTGTTACAGAATGCAGACATATTCGCCTTAAAAATATGTTCCTTAAAGTAATAAGCCACTAATGATGTGCTTGTAATTTATGCTTTGTATCTTTTTCCACAAAAAAAAAAAGGTTTTCAGTTCCGAATCCCATTATATAGTTCAAAGGTAATGGTAAAGTTTGGACATTCAATTTAATACTAATTGATAATTTATTTCATTAATAGTCTTCCGTAAGAAAATTCTCAGAAGAATAAAAAAAAAATGTTAAATGAAAATTAAATGAGATTCAATCGATAAAGTCATTAAACAACAAGAAAACCCATTTGCATCTTTAACTTGATTAAAATAAAGAAAAATCCCAAAGCACAATGGAAAAAAAAACTTTATAAATAGTCAAGTGAGACACTCGACAAATTGCTGAGTAATTGAGAGAAGGGGTGAAGTAGATGTAAAATTAAGTCGAAATTTTTGCCGCTTCCTTCTCTTTATAAATTATCCAAAATGACATCGATGAATAATCTTTGCGTTCTTGAATTTAGAAGACGAAAGGTCAATTAAGAATGATTTGTCAATCTCCCCTCCTTTTTAACAAGAACTTTTTTCTTCCTTAATTAAATTAATCAGCAACAAGTCATTCTCGTTGACAAATTTTCATTTTCAAGTGCGATTCATAATGATTTACAATTATAATTAAATTCCTTTTGTAATCCATTACTTAAATTCCTTCAAAATCGTTTTGCGTAATCAAATTACTTTTTTTAGCCCATTAATTTCATTCATCCATTCCATTAATCCATTTACTTCAATAATTCACTTTTCATCAAAAATTTCAATGAACAACGACGACGATGATGATGACAAAAAATGAGGAACAACGAAAGAGAAGTAATCGATTTGAAATTGTTAAATGGAATGAGAAAGAAACTTACTTGCAATTGTTGTATCCATAAATAAATAATGTTTGTTATGAAAGCATTTTTAATTATTGTTTGGGGACGAGAGAATAAAGTTATGAATTATAAATTTGCAACAATATTGGAGGACATCTGGTGTCAGTTTCTATGGCTTCCTTTGGTATCCTTCCCTAGTTACAGTTAGTTTCATTTATACCACAGACTGTAGAACTCTTTCTCCCGAGTAGCCTTAGAAACAGACCCCTGAATTCCTTAAGTCATAATCTCCATACAAATTTCATGCATCACCAGCAATAACAATTACTCCGACTTACCCTCTTTGTTTTTATTTTTCTTTTTCTTATCACCAGTTGACGTCAAGTCCTTTGTTTTAGATTTATCAGAGCTACTTCCGCCTGGACTGTCGACAAGTTCACTATCAAGATTACACAAGTCATTTGTTTCTGCAATATTACTATTGTTGCTAGTATTAATGTTTATGCTAATATTCTTGTTTTGTTGTGTATCTTCTCGTTGCTCGGGCAAGTCCTCTAATTTACGTGGCGATGGATCATCACATCTTAGATCCGGTGATGCACCACTTTTCGAGTGAATTAAATTTATCATATTGTTTGCATTCATTGTCGATGGTGAAGTTTTGAGCGAATGTGACGTTGATTGATGCTGTGACGTTGATGGTGCAAGTGATGCAGGACTATTGCTATTGTTTACACAACAATCAGATGAACTAGATGTAGGAAGCAATGTATTCAGTCCGTGTCGTAATAATGTCGATGAATTTGATTTTTGAATTGCCGAGTTTGAGGATGTCGATGAATTTTGATTAATCTTTGGTGATATTTTTGGAGCTATACTCGAGTTCAATAACGATGGTGTCCTATGTTGTTGCGACTGTTGTTGTTTCCTTTCCGTCCACGTTTTGTCATCGTAAAAGCCGTCATCTAACATTTGATGACCTAATAATCGATCGGTTTCCAAGTCTGTATCAATTTCTTCTTCGTCCTCATCGTCACTATTTTTATGTTTTGACAATAACGACCCAGTTTCATTAGGTGAATGAGCATTTTTATCACGTGATCTATTAGATATATATAGGGATAGCAGAAAGAGTAAGAGAGTTAAAAGAACATAAGACATTAATTAGTTCGCATGCAGTCGTCAACAAACAAGGAGGATATAAAAAAATTAATTGGAAAATATCTCATCGATAGAAAACAACATAATTCGGAGAAAAATTTACCTTGGAATCCAAACTGGCGAAAGCGACATAGCAGGTGATTCAATTTTCTCAGGTATAACTGGAGTCCTATCATAATAGCTATTATTATTATTATTGTTCATCATATTGCTAACATTATTTGTATTATAAAGCGGTGACGGTGAATTATTGGCAGTCATCACTTTGCTACGCTGTAGAGATGTTCGGATATCTTTAAGTGCCGCTTGTATTTCCGACTCTTGTTTCGACTGCTGCTGTTGTTGTGTTTGTGATGATGAAAATTGAGCATCATTTAGTATTTGCCTATGGGCTACAGGAGCTGGTGGTGGCGGTGTGAGCTGAATTGTATCTGTAATTGAATTAATTAAAAACAAGGCTTCATTCTTTTCTGTCGTCTCATTTCTATGAAGATGTGAAAATTCTTGCCATTACTGCCTCGTATTCTTCTGCTTTATTATTTGATATTCTATTAATAAGATTTTCAATTTCATTGGAAATATAGGCAATCATTGAATGGAGAGAAAGAAAATGAGTCATTGGCGAAAAAAGTAAGAAGGTGTCGAGGGAATTGAAACAATATTTTAAGCTAAGGAGTGAGACCCTCCCTAATACCCCTTGCTCCGCTACTGAAATCAGTAAGATTGAGAATAAGGAGACTAAATGCTGAAAGACAGAGGGTGAAAGGCAATTACATGAAAGATTTGTTTATGTCATGACATGAAAATAAAATGACATTGCTTTAATCTTTGAAGAGAATTCCTTTCCTTTCTCACATATAATCAAGGGAATTTATATTCAGTTCTTCATCAAGTGGCGAGCTTTAATGGAGAGGAAATGAGAAAAAAAATTCTTATCCGAGAAGGAAATGATTTTAAATTTTGGACGTGAAACTTTTTTTGTTCCTTTCTCTCGTGTTTTTTTGATGTATCGATTTTCATTTCAGTATTGATTTCATCAAAAATAACTTTTGTGTACAATGAAACAATTCTTTGTTCACATTGTCACTGATGATGTTTAAGCAAAAGGTTAAATGGACGAACTTTAATGATTGATTGGTGATTTTTAAGTTCTTTTCTAGGAATCAAGTCAATTAATCGCGTATGGGATCGTGTAAGGACGACAAAGTTTTTTCGAATCGACAGTTCTGACCAAATTCACACCAACTGCGTAAAATAAAATGTGGCGCAATACTCACTTATAGTATAAAGCGATTCGAGATCAGGATCACGATTCTTGAATATTTTATTAGTACTCATTAATGACGTATGTGATGAATTCATCAGTGGCTCTTTCGTATCATATCGATTAATCATTTCCTTACTACTATTATCATATCTCAATGTCTCTTTGCTACTGCTACTGTCATATCGCGTCATAGAATCCTTTGATGTATTATCATATCGCATTGCATAATAAGGATGAAAGTTGGGCGGTGATTGTGCAGATCGGACTTTAGTATCATGGATATCTCCATTACTTAGTAAATGACTATTGTTGTTATTGAGATTTTTAGTTCCATTTAAGGTTGTTGATGTTGTGTTATTAGTACTATTGTTATTATTGTTACCATTGTAAAAAATATTATTATTAGCATGTGTTTGTACTAGATTCTCTTGGTATTGTTTCTGTATGGTACTTATTGATGATGCAATGCTACTGCTATTACGCTTGTTAAAGTAATTATTTAAATCATTAGATAATGAAACCGGATTATTAGTATTATTGTTTTCATTATCGGATGCATGTCCACTTGACAAGCCATCTTCTAATACAGGCATACTTGTGCAATATCTAGTGTAATTAGTTGTAATAGGTCCCCCGCTCATTTCAACCGTAGCTGATGATGCATTAATTGTCGGAATGCTTGGATATTCAGATGATATAAAGCGCATTGAGCTTTCACTATCATAATCTGTCGTATCCGGTGAATAATTAAAGTTCTTTGATTGCCTACGTTGAAAACTAGTGCTATTACTATTACTATTGTTGTTGCTTAAATTATTACAGCTATTATTATTATCATTTTCTTTCGATGTCGATCTACTCATTCTACGTAGATTATGAGTATTATTTAAATTATCGAGGTCGTTCTCTTGATCCATTGTGTCATCGCCGATACTACTGCGACTAACGGTATCAAGATAATAATCAAAAGACTTTTGATTATCCTTGAATTCATTTGAATGGTGATGATTTTGCTGTTGCTGTTGCTGCTGTTGTTGTTGTTGCTGTATAAATCCATTCTGTTTTGCCTTCACATATGCCTCCTCCTCCTTATCGTCTTCTTTATCATCTCTATTGTCATCATCAATATCCTCTTCAAGTTGCTGTGAATCGTCATCATGTTGCTGCTTTAACGTTGGTGATAGAGATGCGGCTTGTTTGCTATTACCATATAGGCTTTCCATTTCCTTTTCAATTTGTCCACGATAGTCGTATTGAATATCCTGTTGAGTTGAATGAGAGAAGAAAACAATGAGAATAACAATAAAAATAGGAATAGGAAAAAAAATCATAAGGAAAAGTGTAGAACAAGAAGAAGGAGGGAAGAATGATGAGAAGAGATGAATCAAAAAAAAAAACTAAGAGAGTGGATGGAGTGATAGGAAGAGCGACAAAGAGAGATGAAAACAGCAAATCGTAAATGGATGGGAAGAAAGCGATAAAAGAAAATTGAAATGCATAAAGAATGGAGAAAATTGTTGTCGAGGGACATGCTTGTATGGACACTTGCTGATGATTACTCGAATGAGATTTGCGGTTTTCTTTATTGAGGAAACAAATTATTTTTCAACTTTAAAGAGAAAATCTGTGCTGGAAATTAATTGAAAATCAATTTTTTATCTCCACTATGAATTTAAATTCGGTTGATAATCTTCCACAGTTATTTAATTTTTAAGTCAAATCGAATTTTTGTGAATACGCAATGAATTTTTAATCGAGTAATGTCTTCGTGCATGATACTCAATGAACATTTAATCCAGGATTTAAATCATCACGGTTGCTGCATCTTACGATTTTTTATTTTAGTCATGATTCATGCAGAAAATCTGAATTCATGATTTATTTAACAGAAATTTCTCTAAGGGGTTTATTTATAAATGATATCCAACTTTTATGGATCCATTCTCTTATCTTCAAGTGACCAATTAATGGAAAAGGAAAGTTCTGCGACTATGGGTAACTTGAAGTGTCTACAAATCTCATTCTTTCCTGACGTAATTCGTAAACTAACCCCATACAGACATGCTTAATATCATTTATTTGTTTTGTTTCAGGAGATATTAAACAGAAGCGATTTCGTGAATGAATTCTCAAGTGAGAGACGCAGTTGTTCCAAAAAAAACTTTATTAAAATGAAGAAATATATTCTGGATGGTCTTGTTCTTTACATACAAAATCATTTGAAAATTGTACCCCAAAAAAATGGCACTGGAGATTTAAGTCATTATTCTGAGTGTCATCCCACACCTAGTACATCTTAAGAAAAATGGAAAATCTCAAACTAAGAAAGTAAGTAGATGTTACACTTGAGAGCACAATCTCAGTAATGACTCATTACTTAATAATAAAATATTTTATATTATGTCTGGTCTGGCTGTATAAGAAATGACTCATTCTCTTATAACCTATAAATTTTTTTCTGAATAATTCTTCTGAGTTAGTGAAAATTTGGTTTTCGAAAAAATAGAATTTTCTTAAGCATGTCAACCGAATCAATAATGTCTAGCTCCTAAATATCTACTAACATTATTATCAACCCATTGTAAAATCAATTCTCAACTAGAATAAATTTTTTTCATCATCCAGTCTACACAAAACTTTGTTAATTCACATTTGAAGCCAGAAAAAAACGAAACGTTTGGAAAGAAGAAGCAAAAAACATTTCCTGTCTATCCATTCCTCGCAATTCCAACTTCCCCAATTATAGAAAAGATATGAAATTATATAAAACAGTTGAAAGGGATGAAAAGAAAGGGAATCAAAACTTACCAAACTATCATCCGACTCATTAAAGTCACTGAACTTTTCAAATTCCTTAATCTTATCATCCGGACATTTGAAAAATTCTTCTAAAACTTTTCTTGTCTCGGAAAATTCGTACAAATAGTCGAATGTTGATATAGGAAGATTCTCTGTCGGTGATGTTATATCAAAAGTGTTGCTGGTTATAATATTAGCGGCATCAGTATGCATCTGCGGCTTATCCTCGTCATCATTGTCATCTACACGATCAACAGCGCTGGCAGTACTTGATGCTGTAATTGTATTGTTCATACTACATGTTCCAATTTTAGCTTCTGGCAAAACCATAATCATATTTGCACTTCCTCCCAATTCCTCGTCATCTTGCGAATCAACGATAATCTCAGGCTCTTCCTCAACAATTGTTGCTTGTTGAGTTTTCTCTTGCGTAGCTAAAAGCTCATATGCACTCATGCTATTTTTGATGAATGTCGTCGGTATTATTGTCGACGTAGTTGTAACATTTTGTGGCTGCTGCTGACTACCATAAGACGATGATGTCAACAGACTCTGGTGATCGTCAAATGAATAAGATTTTGGAATTTGAACAGCATTAGCGGCACTCGTGGAAGCTGAATGTGATAAAACTCGTTGAGGAAAGCCAGGACGTGGTGGTGATGATGAAGAATAATTGATTAATGTTCCATTTGATGGAGCAGGAGGTGGTGGAGAATTTAATGGACCACCATATTTGTAACTTGATTGACTAGTCGTATAGTAATCAATATCATCATTTGATGCCATACCGAATCGTCTTGGACTACCATCATACTCTTCAGATGTTCCAATTTTTGTATGAAAAATGAATTGGGAGGAGAGAATGTAATAAAGAATAAATTAGAAAGACAATAGAACACTTCACATCCAAACGTACATTAGCACATTTTTCTCAATTATGCTTGAGAGCTTTATTAACCTGATAATTTGGTTTTACGTTCAATTTCCTTTTTATTTGGACTTTCATATCACAACGAAAGAGATAATTCTAATTTATATGGGCAATAGCTTCAGCTACCTTTGGCAAAACAGAAAAGCGCCAAACCCGAATATCTATTTAATTTATTGGACTATCAAGCAAGATAAAAATGCGCTAATGTAACTTAAACACATACATTCTATACTGATTTTCATTGTATGACTTACCCATTATTCCCGACCCAGATTTTGATTTTACCATTTTGCTGCTATTACGATGTTCATCCTTGCATCTATCTTTTCTTATTTCTGCATATATAGCGTCACTTGTATCCGAATGTTTCATTTTAGATTTACTAAAATACGACGATCTCGGTTTAATTTTGTTGTCAGTTTCATGAATATCATTAAATGTCGCCGGCTCATTTGCAGAGTCGCTATCAGTTTGTGGTGCCTGATAATATGGCTTTTTATTATTATAATAATAATGTCCCGTTTCAAGATCCTCTTCAATAGGAATAGGCGATGCCAAAAGTTTTTTATACGATCCCCTGTGTGGTCTCGAATAAACTGTCTGGGATGGCGATTGTGTTTTAATTCTTGTCGGTGTTGTGCTTTTAATTGGTGACAAGTCCCATAGATTACGGCTACTGCCTAATGGCGACGAATCAACGGGTGTTGAGCATGGTTGCAATGCTGGTGGAGTATCTGGTGGTGTTGTCTTTAATATTGACGATGGAATCGTGTTGGGAATTGATGTCGATGATGATTGTTGTGTTGTAGATTGCACAATATCAACCATGTATGGATTATGTTCAATTTCATCAGGTTCGAGGAAATAATTATGTCGTTCGAGTGAGGGATAATAGCCTCCCGTTGCTGTGGAACCTGAGGCTGATCCCGTAGCTGATGACGTTGTTGTTGTATTATTATTATTATAGTGATAATGATGCATCATTGAATTGTTTGAGGATGATGCAGTATTTGATGCTGTTGCCATTGCACTATTATTGTTATTATTATTAAAGAGTAATGAATCAGTTGTTTGATTTTGTTGTGCATAGAAATATCGATTATTACTGCCAATGCGAAATGGATTTGTCTCTACATAATTATTCTCATTATTCTGTTCATGCTTGCTATTGTTATTAATATTATTATTATTATTATTCAGTTTTGATAATTTTGCCTGCTCACTATTAATAAACGGATGATGCTGTTGTTTTTTATTATTATGATCGGGTGATGTTAATAATGGTGATTGTAATTTCATTTGTTTACTATTGTTGATGCTTTTATTACTATTTAAATTTTTTAAATTATTATTAATAATAGTATTATTATTATTTTTATTATTTGATGCTTGTTGTGTTATATTGTTTGAATTATGTTGTAGCTGTTGTTGTTGTTGATGTATAATTGTATTAGATGATAATTTTGATTGTGATGAATTTGATGATAAAGAATCAATCGATAAGAGATCTGTTGTAAGAGTATCTTGTAGTGATGTTAATTGTCCGTGATGATAATCCGAGCGCGGTCTACATTTTGGAAATAATAATTGAATTTTATCATCGGACGACAGTGGAGAGTCTTTCTTATAATTCACCCCACCACTAATATTGTTTAAATTTAGATTATTATGAATACTATTGTTCACATTTATTGCACTTCCCGACTCATTTGGACTACCAGACGATGGGTCCTTTGCAAGTGCCTTTTTTATGCTCTTATCCAATGATGAACTCACCATATTCTACGAATCTCTTCTCTAGACTTCATTCACATTAATATTTTTTTTTCTTTCTTTGTAACTTTTTATTTTTTTTTTGCAATCTTTTCTTTTTTTTATAATTTTTTTTAAATGTTGCACAAAATTAAATTAAAAATTCTATCCTGTAAAGCACACACAATAAAGGAAATAGGAAGAAAAAAAAGAATAAAAATAAAACAATAAATTATGGTCGGTGTTGCAATATTCCCGAAAAAAAAAATATTGAAAATTTTTTTCTCTTTAGCAAATTTTTTTCTTTTTTTCTTCTTCCTTTTTTCACAACATTAAAGTTTCCCGATTTTTTTTTGTTTCAATCTCACGCGAATATATAAAAAATAAATTTCAAAAAAAAATTCCCACTTTACAGCGGAAAAAATACACGAAATAAAGGCAATACGGTGGCGAGCAGTGAGTGAGAGAGGAAAAACTTGTGGTTGAAAGGAAGAAGGGAATGTATGAAAAATCGATATTTGAACTTTTTAATTGAGTTCATTTTAGTTGTACAGAAAAGTTCGATTTTTAACACATTTCACGGACTAGTTTAGAGTAATTCGTATTGCACTCTCACCTCACGATAGTATTTCACATTATTCAACAACTTTCTTCGTGAAACTTTGCTGAAATTCTTGATAAAATTAATTTTTTAGTTTTCACATACGAGGAAAAACACTTTTTATGTCGCAGAGAATTTTTTCACAATGACTCAATTGCTGACACTCACCCTCTACATGATTGAGGTGTAGGAAATTTCGATATCGAATTTTCGTGGGTGCAAGGATAAGAAAGAGGGTTGAATTTCAATGTTCTGTTATGAATGTTGTTGTTATGGTGAGCTTATGAATTCTTATTGGAATCTAGTTTTTGACTAGATTTTATTTTGATTTTTGAAGTTTTATGAAAACTAAGATTTAAAAAAATTATTATTTTTCAAAAAATAAACTTAAAATTGTTCTATTTTTATAGAGACTCTAAGAAATTTTTCATTATTTAATGAAAATAAAATAAATTTAAACAGTTTCAATGTTCTCAATGTTTTATGAAAACATTTTTGATGTTTGAATGCTGTATTGTGACATTTGGAATGTTTTGAATGTTTCATTTGAACAACTTGACAGTTTTGATTGTTTTATCTTAACATTTGAATGTTTCTGAATATTACAAAATATCCTTGCTAATGTTTTCAATGTTTTTTTCAGACATTTGTAAATCTTTAAATAATATTTTGGTCAAAAAACATTTGAAATGTTTTGAAATTGTTTTTACAATTTTGTTTTGATTATTTTATTAATCACATGCTAACATAAGGAGGTTAATGGTATGTTCTTTGATACTCAACCATATCTTAAGTTGTCAAAAGCACCTTCACATCTGAAACATTATAAGATCATTCCATAAATTTTTTGAGATAAATGTTGCACAAAAGATGAAAGTTGTAGATTAATTTTTAGATAAAAAACCTTTTACTCTTTTAAATGAACTTCTTTTTATGCTATTTTTTTATAACCTCTGAAAAATCTTTTGAAATGAACTTCTGCTCTGAAAAACCACTTTGAAAAAACATCCATAAAGCTCCAAACCACTACCTACACAAACTTTTCTCTTTTTTCTTTCTCCAACTTAATAAATTTTTAATTTTTTCTTTTATTATTAAATCTCGCGACTCGCTAAATATGTTTGTATGTTCTTTCATAATAAAAAGTGCTTGTAATGCTATTTACATGTGCATGCATGTAAAACTTTTTTTTTCTCCTTCTTTTCTTCCTTTATCCTTCACGAACAGAACAAGACGGAAGAAGAAGAAGGAAGAAAAAAACATGAAACGAAAAAAAAAAGTTTTTTAATTAAAAAACGCAACGAAATGAAGGCAGTTCTTATTTTTTAGTTTTGCTTATATTAAAAAAAAAAGAAAGGAAAAATTGGAGATGCAGGATGTGAGTTTTTTAAAGTTTATCTTCTTTTGTTCCTATCTGAAAAAAAAAATAATCACAAAGGAACAAAAGGGAGCAAAAATGATTTTCATTTCGTTATCATGACACGACTGACGATATTAAGATGCGAATATATACACATGCGAGACTCGCATAATGTATGTACATTACATATCCCGGCAATTTTCTTCCTCTGTTTATTGCACATTATTCTTTCTAGCCTTCTTTTTTCGACTACTCGCACCACTAAAAACCCATACGATATGGTCTATCCCATGGGAATAAAATGAAAGTAAATGTGTTTGAATTATGTTAGCTTCCAGTAAATAACAATAAAATGTTTTCTTTTTCTTTCTTGTGTTTTTTATATTCTCAAATAGAAAAGAGGAAAAATAGAAGGAGATAAGAAGCACACAAAGTCTATGTGTTTAAGTTGCGCATATTTGATTCTATCATATGAACTACTCTAAGACTGAAAACCTTTGAAATAAATTGTCTCTAGCTATTATCACAGTGTCACGACTTAAGGTTTTGTAAATTACATTTAAAACCTTTTTGCATTCTATTCAAAGCCTGATCTTGAAGCCTATCAGTGAGGACAAAAAAATACTTGCCATGTCTCTAATTCTGTCTTAGTTCCTCACCAGAATATCAGTAAAAGACTTCTCACATTCCGACATTCAGCCAGAATATCATCAAACTGCATATTTTTATAAAACACAAAGTCAACTAGTAAAGAGAATTTTGGAAAGCTTTCAATGGCTCCTAATAGAGCAAGCTTCCCTCATTCTCTATGTGTGTATGTATTTTTTTTGTGTTTTTTTCTGGGGCAATAAGACATAACATAATCTGTATTCTATTTTCTTACGAGACACATAAAAAAGCACTTTATTTATCTTTCTCTCATTTTTATAACATAAAGCATTTGAATGGTGTACATTTTTTGTGTGTGTCTTCTTGTTAGCTTGCCTGGTGTTTGCTTTACTTTAAAAATTTCTTTTATATCTACTTTCACTTTTAATTTCAATGTTTTGGAGTGTTTTTGATATTTAAGATTTTTTTTTATGAATCTCTTACTCAGCATAAATTTTTCATATCTTTTATGACGGTCTAAATGAAATTTTTTCCATTTTATTATTTTTAACATTCATTTGAAATCTGTCTTTTAATCTTATTAAAACCACGAGCACTGCTCTTTTCCATCGAGGACGAATATTGTGATATTCTCGTAAAATGTCATGGAAAGGAGCCAAGAATAATTCATTTTATGGTGACCTTAGGCATTTACGCTAGATTCATAATCATCTCATTAATATTAGCTTAATTGGTAAACAAAGTAATTAGCTTTATAGGCAATATGATAATTAGTGTGATGATAAGTTGTTTGACAATGTTGATTTGCATCATAAATAAAATTAATTCTTGTTTATTAGTTTGCTGTCTTATTAACAGTGCCTATGTAGAATAAAATTTTGATGATTTCGAGTATCATTATGCTCAGTTGATTGGTTTCGCATTTATGGAGCATAGTCAGTAATTTTTTGAGCAAGCAATTTTTTTTAAGAAAATTCCTGATTTTTCCCATACAAGTTTGAACCCCCTAGACACCTTACTGATTACAGACATGCTGGTACAATTTAATCTCAAATTATTTTGACTCCTATAAAAAAAAATTAAACACTGCCAATTTAATCTCTTAACAATAGTCAAAACTACAAAAGTTGTTCATAATGGCAAACATTGGGAGTCGCAGTTCAATACAAGCAATCCAATTTTTGTATGTTCGACACAGGAAGGAAGTGCTTTCTATGGCTCATCGATTGTAAATTATAAAGCCACAGAAGCTGAAAAAAACCTTGTTACATTTAAAACTAATGCGGATAAAAATTGCTTGGTTTTTGCTATCGAAAATTGCGGACTTTTTTTGTGTTATTTAATTTGAATTCTTTTAGATATTTTGTACAACACAAAAATAGTTTTAGAAACAATATTAACAGATTCAATAAAAATAATAAAGTCATGTATGCTTTTAAGCTCTGAATATTGCTGGAATAGTTTCAAAAAATGTGGTCAAGTTTGTTTATTTGATTATTTTATATAGAAAATATTCGCATGCTTTTAATTAAAACCGCTGTAAGAACTGGGTCAGAAGCTATTTAAAAACAAAAAAATATCCATTCTAGTGTAAAATTTCATATGAGGGCAAATAAATCCAATTGAAAAGCACAATTCAATAGAATTAATATCTCAATTTTTGTGTCAATCTATCCAATATACATTTTTCACTCAATTAGGTACAGAAAAAATAAATGTTGAGCTGAAAATTTCATCGGATTTTGTCGTCGTTTAAAATTTTCATAAAGCATTCATCCATGCATTCTATCATAAGCTGAGGTATTATTTCATGTCATGTGTATTTTCGGTTTCAATCTTTTTTTTTTGTTGTAATTACGGAATCGGTAGCATATCTATGGCAAATTTCACTATTGATTGAGTTTTAATACCTGAAAATTCACATATTAAGCCAATGAAATAAAATTAAAAGCTCGATATCTGATATTGATAATTGAAAGCTATCACAAATGCATTGCTACTGAGTGATGACAAAAAATGGATACAATATTGCATATTCAATTATTATAAAGTATTTATCACACGAGATATTGCCAGATTATGATATTTTCAAATGAGTTTATAATCCAAGTTCCAGATGAGATTTATGTATATTGGCCATGAGGGTTCACACATAAAATTTTCAAGTCATTTAAAAATTTAATATGTGAGCAAAAAAAAAACAGATACGAATTATATTGAATGAACATAGATTAACGATTACGTTATCACAATTCAAATTACCATTTTCATCTCCATTTATTCATTGTAATTTATATTTTATTTATTTTTATTTATTCTTTGTCAATGTATATCAATTGTGTATGCTATGAATATATGCAATGTGTGTGAATGTGTGGCGTCATTCATAAATGATGAACCGTTTTTTTTAAGTAGCAGGCGCGTACCTAGGAGGGTCTTGTCCCCCTCTTAAGCGTTTTAGGTCGTGCTCTCGCTCCGGTTCAAAACGTTTAAGCGGGAGACAAAACCCTCCTGGCTACGCGCCTGAAATGAGGGATAGGGATGAAATCCAATCAGTGGCTCAAACGATAGAGCATTGGCATTTTGTAGTGATGATCCTAGGTTTGATTCTTGGAACAAGTGTGTTTTGGATACTCTTTTTTCATTTCATCGTTTTAGTTTTAAATCCAGTTCATTTGTTTGATTAAGGTCTATGGCTCAGTTTTAGCTTTTAAAGTGTATCCTTTTCTAAGAATCAGGGTCATAGCCAGAAATTTTAAGAAGGGGAGGGACAAAACACAGCGAAGGAGGACCCTGGCTACGCGTTTGTTTGGAATATTAGGATATTCCAGGTTTATTGTTGGGTACATCAGGCCTTAAGATAGAAGAAGCGTTGAATGTATAAAAAAACTATTTCCTAAACGGCTTCATCCATTGACGGCCCCTGTGTGAATGTGTGTCTGTTGTAAAATGTGAAAAAATTTGCCAAACTTGCTGATATGAATGCGCCATAATAGAGATAAAAATAAATAACCCATATAAATGTTATCATTTCGAATTTTCGGTAATTTATTGTTGGGAATTTTTTTTTTTTCGTCAATAATACATTTGATTATGATTATCATTTATATTGCTTATTCAGCCATGATTTCGAAATTTTTTTCTTCTCCTTTCTTTTGTTATATTGCTGATGATATATACGCACACATGTCTCTTTCATCACATGCATGCCTTTAACAAACAACAACAATACATTATAAATAAAGTCAGAGGAATTTTCATTCGGAGAAAAAATTTATTGAGACTAGAAGAAAATAGGAAGATGAAAAACAAGCTAAAACAGAAGCGTCATTGTGTCTTGTTTGTAAAAATTCTCCTCGCTTTTTCCTATATGTGTAATTTTTGGGGCGAGGATGAAATTCTTAACACGAAATACGAAGAAAAGGAAAAGAAAAAAAAATTTTCGAGACGGAAAAGTTATTTGATTTCCTTTTTCATCTTCTGCTCTTACATACATTTCATTAGTTTCTATAGTAACGAGCTACTTATAGAATTGCTTCCTTTATTTCTATCATCTTAACTCGATGCTATGGCTCATACATACATACGAACTGGTTTTGAAGGTAAAAAGTACTTTATCGTTGAAAACTCTAGCATTTCTTGAAGGTTTTCCTTATTCATGAAACTTCTTATATTTTTTAAGGATACAAGGCATCAACACCTTATCTACTTGTAGTGTCTGAGCCATATTTAGGAAAATCTGTCAGTCGTAAGAGTAAGACCTGTGTGGGACGACTAAATAGACAATAAAATGAAATAATTGTAAATCTTTTTGTAATAACATGGGTTCAATTCCTACCAGATACAAATTTCTAGAGCAATCCAGGAAGTCTGAATCAACCAAAGAATTTTTTTCTAGAAGTGCCATTTCCTTGAAAGAATCATGCTGTGGGATGTTGATAAATAAGTTAGTATGAGAATCGTAGGTAGCATACACAGTAAATCTACACACAATTACTGTTGGAAAAAGTCGCAGGCAGGTCGCTTGATGTCACACAGAATAATTTTTGTCTGTACAACTTTATGTACTGCCTTCATGTTGTGAAATTTGATGCATAATTGAAGGAGAAAATTTCTTTTTCTTTTTCTTTTGTTTTTTTCTTTTCCCATCATCATAGAGCTTAAGAGTTCCTTTAATATTGTTTACTGAAAGACGACTCTTGTTTGTTAAGAACTTTCCTGACAATTTCCTTGTAAATAATTGTTTCCCTTGTCATTAGAATTTCTTTGTGTCAATTAGCAGCGTGTTTTATGCTGAATTTCATTTCCTGATTCTTTTGAGGGTTTGATGTCTTCTGATGTTTAGTATTTATGAGAGTTAACGAAAATTACTTATGCTGTATAAAGTTTAATTAATATTTTTTGATAATAAATAAATATGACTAATTGGTTCTATAGGAATAGCATCATCTCGCTGTCAAAAATTTTAAAGGATAATTTATGTCTAACATACATATTTACAGAACCTTACTTGACATAATAAACCACAACATGTTCAGCACCCCAAAATTTAACCTTTACAAATTAATTTGCACAAAGGAATAGATCTTGTTTCACAAACTCATGAAATAACAATTTCAATTAATTTCATCAGTGCTACATAAAGTTATAAAGCATAAATAGTTTATTATCAATCAACATCCATTGAAGATTTTTGGGAGAAAACTTCCTTCATACTCATCAACACGTCTATGCATGCATATGAATGAAAGACTACTTAATCTCTTCTAATATTTGATCACACGTATTATAAGGTAATCTCTAATCATTAAAGGTAAAAGCATATATTTCATAGATGTACGTAAGGGATCGTTTATTTATGATGTCTAGCATTTTCTTTCAAGGATTTTGAGACACCTCAATACAAAAGAATGTCAATTGTAAGAGATGTATTAAAAAATCTAATGTTTTGATGAACGTCATTACCAAACGACCCGCAAGGTATCAAGAACAAATTGTGTAATTCATCAGAAAATATAATCAATTTTCCATGCGATTAAAACCGAAAAGAAGGAAAATCAATTTTTCTTATGCACAAACAAAAGGCATGAAAGCATACTTTATAGAGAACAAATTGAGAGTAGAACGAGGGAAATAGAAAGCTGATTGTTTTCATTTAATTAAATCTATTGATAATTAATTAGTTTGGAGGCAATATCAATTATAGATTTTTCTCCCTAGCTTGTTTTTCCTTTTTCTGCTTTATTCATGCTTCATTCGCATTTGTTTGTGGAAAATTTAAAACTTTTTTTTTATCAAAGCATTACAGACTTCAGCGCACTTCTTCTACTATATTGTGATTCAATGAGTTGGTATATTCAATTAGTCAAAATGCCACCAGCCATTACATTTCCTATAGAAAAAGGAGCTAAAAAATTTCATGCTTCAGTGGGTGTTGATGTTGGGTTTAATATTTTTCCCTGTTTCGCACTTTTGTACAACTTTAAAACCTTATCGAATGGAATTCCATAATTGGATGGTTGAAAGTAAAAATTTACTTCCCCAAACTCAAGCTGTTGGAGGTTTGGTTTGAGTTTTTCAGCAAATTAATTAATTAATTAACTTTATCATTATATTTTCTGACCTTCCTTTGGCTGCTCTCCTCTAATTTTTCAAATGATTCTACAAATATCTGATAAGCTAATCGAGATTAGATGATCCACATTAATATTCATAATCTATGTCTATCTTAATTTGTGCTATGAAGCACAAACAATGTCCTTCATTAAATCATCATCATTATACGTACGTTGAGATATCTCTATAATGTTCAGACCAGTTCAGACTTCGTGTTAGCTTATAAATGGTGCATATTTATTGGATAGAGCTCGTTAATTGATTTTGTTGAAGATTAATTGGCTAAATAATTCAGATGAGATGGGCTAATAAGAAAGCAAGTGATTGAGGAAATGCCGAAAATGGGATCGTTCATAAATGATGTCCAATTTTTCATATAAAGGATATCTAGAAGCTCAGTGAAGTTCCGGGGGTTGCAAATTTAAGTTTTTGATTTACGTCATTTATGAACAACCCCAAAGAGGACTAATATGAGTTAAGAGATTCTCACAAGTCGATCATATAAGGACGCTTTTGATTTGAGTTCTGCTTAATCATTCATGAAGATATTCATGTTATTCTCATACATTGCTTATACCTACACAGATATCCTGAAATTAAAAACAATCTTTTTCTGTTTGTCATGTTGTTTGACATAGTCAAGATGCCTAAAAGACTGTACTGAAAAGAAGCTAGATATCATGAAAGAGAGAGAAATTGTAATTAGTTTTGATGAGCTTGAATATAGATACTTTCATGCTATGACGCTTTCGATATTTATGACTCCAGCACAAAATTATAATCAATTAATCAATATTGATTTATTTGAAGTGTTGCGACATTTTCATGGTTAATTAACCATAATAAAAATGATAAAAATATACTTTTTTTTTGGTGCGTTGCTGTTTATTTTATGTGTCGAGATTTGTTGTGGTATAAATAATTTCCTCATTATAAGTCTCCATTGTTACTCCCGTCATCATTGTCAGGGAGCTAGGGCTGTCAAGATCTTCTTCATGATACAGTGATTTTATAAGCTCATCAAATTCAGCCTGCTTTGCGTCAAGAAAATAATTAATTTCCATTACTTTAAGACGATTTCGATCGACTTCGTTTCTGCGAATGAAAGACGGAAAGAACACAATAATAATTATTTCAATAAGAAGCTACAATGTGTAGAACTTACTGTATTAATTTTTCACATAAATCAGCAACCCATTTCTTGCCACGATTAATCAACATATCTTCACGTCCGTCAATTTTCGAGATATGCATTTCCCTCATATCTGCTGCAAAATCAAGAATAATGTCACGTTCCATAAGACTTTCACGCAATGCTTCTGGTATTTCATCTTCTCGTCCTTCCGATGCCATAGATGTTACATAACTCTGAACAGCTTCGGTCAGTCCATCAATGAAATTTCCTTCAATCTCACGCAACTGAACAAATTGAGTCTTACAATTTTCTATAAAGTCATTCATTATGTCTTGTATTATATGCTCAAATGTTGAATTTGCTTCATTTATACATTCGTGTAAATGCATTTCATTATCCATTAGACGCTTCCATGTTGCATCATACAGCTCATGAAACTCATTCATCAATGCAGCAATACGATTATCAATACATTCTCCAACGCTTTCATCATCCTTCAATTCCTTGTTTTCTTCGGTTATCTTTAAAGCTTTTTCTCGTATTTCATCAGCAATAGCTTGTGTACGCTTAAAAATATCTTCACAATTCTCAAGAAAACCATTGACGGTACTGAAAATGCCGTAAGACAAAATAATGAAAAGATTTTTCTTCATTTACTTTCTTAAAATCATGAAACAATTTCCATTGTACTGGATGTGGAAATATAAGAGTAAGTTCTCAAAATGACCACAAAATAAATATGAATTAATTTACTGATGAAGAGGTATAAACAATGAAGCAACGGAGTGAGTATGGAAGATCAACAAACAAAATTATTATTATTGTTCCATAAAAGCACATGAAAAAGGCGCCAAGAAAAAATAACAACACCTACTTTTGTCCCAACACTTGAATCTTTTTTCTGCCAACAGTAACACAATGTGCAAATATTTCCTCCTCTGCTTTACGCTTTCCATATTCCTCAAGGCCTATATTGTAAATTTTTTGCGTAACTGCGTAGCTTTGTTCTCGGAATCTGTGCGTGAAAGATTTTTTTTAGTCATCGTTTACACAAAAGCATTTAAAGAGATGAAATAAATGGATCAAAATAATAAAATTGGAAAATAAGCAAGAGGGGGGGGGGGGGGGGGGGGGGGGGGGGTAACAACATGATGAGGAAAATTTTAATTTTCTATCTGATTTTTCATCGCTTTTTTCAGAAAACTTTGTTTAAAATTTGATAAGGAACCATCAAAAATTTCCCATAATGTTGTTCCCCCCTTTGAAAATAACAAGAATTTTCCAAGGAGGAAATGAAATTTTCATGCATAGTAAGCAAATTCATTGAAATAAATTTCCAAGGGATGATGAGTTACTCTTACCGTAAGAGCTTCGCCTAGCATATGCTTAAGGTTACTTACTCTGATACTAGAATTTCAGCTTCTTCTCCAATCTGCAATAAAGCTTCGCCTTGCTCATCATTTTCAAAATAGAACAAGGAATCAAAAAGTTGATGATCATCAAGATGCTCAACAAAACACGCCATATGATGAATGTTATCAGCCTTTGCCTGCTTCAGACGCTCACGTTCTTGCACTTCAAACTTCTCATTGTCCATGATTTCACGCAATTTGAATCTAAATCGGTCTTTTCCTTCCTCTCTTTCCTTCTTACTAATGTGTTTATATTCATAGTATGTTAGGTCAGGCAAAAGTCCAGAAATGTATTGACGAAAGTGTCGGTCATTCTTCTCGATTTCATTGCCTTTCAAATTGAGTGAGCGGAGATTCTTTAAGAATCTTAAACGTTCAAGCTATTCATGAAAAAAATATTTTAACAATGAAAAAAAAAAAATGTTTGATACACAAAACAGTAGTAAATTCCTCACCCCATCCTTTGTATTGATCAAATTATTTCCAGCACTGAATATTATTAAATTTTCAAGACACTCAACATTTTCAATTCTCTTAATTTTATTGCCAAAAACATTCAAAATTTCTAAACTTTTAAGACCGTCAAAATTCTCAAGAATTTCAATCGAATTGAATGTTAGATTTAATTCCTTCAATTGTGTAAGCGATTCGAGATTCTCAATTTTATCGATTTTATTAAATGCCAATGAGAGAATCTTTAAGTTTGGCAGAATCCAAAGATGATCGATTTTCAATATGTCTGTAAGGAAAATAAGAAAAAGAAGAAAAAAATGGGAGCAAGATGAAAAATGATTGTGTGAAGCTTAAGGAAAGAAATGAATGAAGCTTGCAAATTGCGACTGTTACAGATTGATTTTCAATTGAATATGTAAAGACGCTTGGAAGGTCTTGTATCAATCGAGATGCTTCTATGCAGACAATTTTCTTGGTATTAAAGAACAGCTGTGGTGTAGTCAGGTTGATTATTAAAGCTACTCAGTGCACTTAAACCTAGAACTTAAAATGAGATGTAATTCAATTTGAGGTTCATATTAGAGTAGCTTTCTCAGGAAGCCCTAGAAACTAGATCCTGACTTCACCACTGAAATAAAATTTCATCGGTAACCAAGCATAAAATATGTATTTTAAGACACCTCGCAGTGTCTATTCACACGACATTTTGAATAGGTTTTATAAGCTATATTTGACTTATTTTAAACAATTTGCATTCATAATTTATTCTTTCTTTTTCCCTCGAGTTACTTTCCTATGCCATTTTCATGCTTGAACTTTAAATTTTACCTTTCTCTAATGAATTGTTAAGAGCATTAAGGTTTTACTAATTTGCTTGTAGAAAAAAAAAGAAAAGGAGACGAAAATGTTATTGACGTCAATGCATGTTACACGATAGGCAGGTTCAGAGAGGTAAATTAATTTTCGTAACGAAACATGATAATTGATTCCATCGTTGATACAATATCATGACTGGTTATTCAATTATTGATGACGCTTATGTAATTAATAATCAATTTTAATTTTGTTTCATTACAGATTTTTGATATGTTACATAATAGATTTGTGGATTTGAGTTTTCCATACCTAAGCAACAGTGAAAAATAATTAATTTGCTTATGTTCAGTTTTTTGGTAATGTAAAATTTAACATAATTTTTCATAGTAACTGTCAAGGAAACCAATTACATAAATAAATGTAAACATGCATTGAAATGTTTATAATTAAGCATAAGATGTAGCTTTAAATGTGATTTATTGATTAAACTTGAGTATTAATCCAATGTTGCAATTACCATTAGTTACCTGCATGCACGTTTGCATGTAAAATAAATTCTACATACTCTGGATGACCTGCATCAAGTCAGGAGTAAATTTATTAAGTCATGGACGAGAATAACTCAATTCAAGTCTCAGTGACGTAGCCAAGAAGAACTCTCATATACTTGAGCCCCAAATTGAAAATGAAACTCAGTCCTTAGAACGTAGCCCCCCCGCATTTAATGAAATTTCTCGATACTCATCTGCCAAGTCTGAACCCAAGTCTGTGTCCCTTTAATATCACGAAGGTTTCGAAGTATTAAGCAGTCTTTAGATAATTTATGAACGCGGTAATGAGGCGCACGTGAGGCTTCAGACAGAGAGTAAATAAGAAAGTAAGTCTGAACCCGGGATCCCCATATTATCATTTGACTTACTTAAAAATTCCAGTCGCAATACAGTGACTTTCTCATATTGAACTTCCATGTTCTTAAAGAGTCTTCCTGCTTCTCCTCCTGGTCCTTGTTCATAAACAGTTTTTCTGATGATTTCTTCATTTATGACACTTGGATCTAATTCCTTGAAGATTATTTTATTGAATATTTTTTGAGGATCAAGTTCATCCATATTTAAATGACCGACAACAACTTGAAACGTTTGTTGTTAAACTGAAATAATAATAAACAATAAATATTCTATAGCAATCTTCGATCAGTATTTTATTTACAAACTTAATGATCACCATAGATACAAACATACATTCATGGTAACGAATGAATTAATTGAATTAAGCATGTTAAAGGATTAATCAAGATTATTAATCATATTCGATTTTCCATTTCAATTGTAGCTTATCGCATGAGTTGATAATAATTTGTCATCATTTCCATTATTAATAACTTTATATAACTTCCTATTTCAGCACTCATAAATTTATTGTTATTATCTTGAGTGCATTAATTTACTTACCCGCAAGTGCTAATTTTATGTTAGCTTTATAATTTTCTGTCATGCAAATTTTTTAACTATTTTTCATAGTGTTAACTTAGTATGGGGGTGACATGCTATCAATTTGTCCTGGTTGATTAGGGGTTGTTCACTTATTACGTAACACAAAAAATTGGATTTTTAAATTCGATTTCCTGCAATAAAGCTTCGTTGGAACCGTCATAAAATATCCTTAAAAGTATTACATCATTTATGAATAACCCCTAATGAGTAAATGTGCTTGTTTAATTTTGATTGGATCAGAAACAATGCCTAGTAATGGATGTGTCAATAGCTATGAACCATAAAACCCCCAAAAATTCCAATTAAAATTTTTATGTGTAATACTGCGCTTTATTTACCCGTGGAGAATCTATCAAGCTATTCCAAAGTATTAACTCCCAAACGTACATTTTGTTTGCTTGTACGCGATGAATGATTTATATTAAAAGCCATTTAAATTGCTAATTAAATTTTTTATGTATATTTTATGTGCTTGAATGTCGGAAAATATTTGCATTAAAATAATGAATTAAAGTGGTGGAATGTTTACGATTATTATGGGATTATCTATGATATGTTAACTGTTGTAGCTATTTTTTTTCTGTGGTGGAATTATAAAACTTTTTATAGCTAATCTAGTTTTCCAAATGAGCATAAACAAAGTGTCAGAGCAATAAGCTTTCTAAACTTTTTTTTTGTTGGGATAATGTTGTTCTGTATGATGTTAGTAAAATAAATTTGAAGAGGGACTTTGAGTAGCTAATGAATGAAGTGGTTATATTCTAATCAAATTGTTCCAGTCAGTATACCTTAACTGATTTTTGCAATTTTGATGAGTAAGTTCCAATGTTTATTCTCATTATAAATGAAATGATTGAGCATGTTTGGGATGGGGTCAGTCACTTTTGACGTCTATTAAGGAGGTTTTACTTTTGTAATTCCAGCACATCCTGGCATAATTTATTGTGACTTCCCCTGTAACCTTTAAATCAGTGCGGACCGAAACACGATAAACCAACATAATCTGTCAAGTTCTGCCTTAAATCATGGACTGATAGACGTCATAAATGAATGACTCCCAACTTATAGTTTTAATAATTATATTATCAACCTTAATTCCACTATCAAAATCTCACAGACACAAAAATTTGCATAAAGGTTTGCTTGTCCATAAAATCTCTATTAAAATTTTAAGTATATAACCATTTATATACAACATGCTTGACCTACCTCTATCCATGATTTTCCATTCAACTATCAAGAGTTGCTTGCTTTATTTAATGAAACCAAAAAGACATCATCATTTATTTAAATCCCCCGATTTATCCTTCTAATAAAAGCAACTCATTTGTAAGCAATATGTTTGCTATTGTAATGGACTGTGGTTCTGTGAATTTGTTATTTTTAAAGATGAAACAAACGTGCTTGATTTTGAATAATGAATTATTGGTGAATAGAGACGTGCTTTGTCAAGATGATCAATGTGCATAAAACCTGATTAGGAAAGTGAAACTTTCAAAATTGGCACAAAATAAATTATCTTAAAATGTTATTTTTTAAGTCACGCAATAGAGTCATTGAGCAGACAAATTAGTAAGTCAGAATAAGATTTTCTGTCAATCAATTATAAACAAAATTCAATCCAATTACCGACCCTCATTCTAGTATGAGAAGTACAAAACCAAAGCCAAAAGAAGAATGAAAAAATACGTTTCAGATAAAAAAAGGAGAATCCAAACAGTTTTTAATTGCCATTGGCGATCCTTTTTGCCGCAATTTATTTTAACGATAAAGCCATAAAAAATGGAATTTTAATGATAAAAATCATTTTCCACTAAATAAATTTTCATTTAATCGAGAGCTATTTTTTCAGTTCAGTGTAAACTTTTCTTCCTGTAATCATTTTACGTTAATTTTCAAAGCTTCATCGCTTTTGTTAAACCGCTGGTATTTTTGTGCATTTTTAGTGGCTGATTCGAAATGATGAAAATAAAGCTTTTGATAAAAATTAATTAATTAAAACTTAATTTACATTACAATTGTCATTATTCATTATTTTTGTTCGATTATTAACTCGGTTGCAAATAATGGAAACCAAAAAAATGCGCTGTAATTTTATTTTTAATTGAAAAAGTTATTTTCGAGTGGGGGTCGTTGACAAATGACGTCTATTGATGAATCGAATTTTCAGATCAATTAGGGGTCCATCAATCAGGTTTTATATCAAATGTTTTCTTTAGAGTTATCCCTTAAAATAATCGTGGACATCATTAATGAATCAGACCCTCCTTTATTGAGTTTCATTTATTTTTGCCATGAAAATTTAAACAGTCTGAAATATTTCAATTAATCCTGGTAAACTGAACGTTTTGTTCCTTTATAAAATGGAGCTTAATATTATTTTTATGTGTTTGTTACAAAAATTACATTAAAAAGATTTGCACTCAAATTAAATGTGAAAAGGGAAGGGATTGTTCATGTATTACGTAACGCATCAAAATTACTTTTAAACCACCCCCCTCGCCCTATGTTTCACAAAATTTCTTTTAAATTATCAAAAAATCGCAGACCCCTGAACGTGTTACGTTTTTAAAGAAACTGGCCTAAAGACAAAAATTTGTTAAGAATGAGCAAGACAAAGTGGGATAAAGGACGAAGTAAAGTCATTAAACTTAAGCAGAGACGAAAAAAAAGTTCAAAATATATTTTTTCTGACATTTTGAAACATTCTGTTGCTTATTGCTGTTGGGTATGTGGAAGAAGAGAAATAAAAAATACTTCAATTTATTTAATTGCTCTTCACAGTTTTTAAGCACTTCCTAATTGCTGGACATTTTATTTTTAATTGCTATAAAATTGAGTAAGAAACTTTTTTTTCTTCCTATTTAAATATCTTTGAAAATATTCCATTCCAAACATCAAAGATGAGATAGCAAAAATTAAATTTACATAATTTTTTTGGATGTGCTGGAAATTTTTTCAAACATAGACCTAAATAATTAATAGCATGAAACAGCTCACATACCAGAACACACTTCGTTAAGCAGATGAAAAAAAAAACATAATCCGATTACACTTTTGCTAAACACTCATAGGTTTTCGTTTAAATGGTTTCAATTAGGTTTAACATCAACTCTTGTAATAAATATGTCTGTGAACATTTATGATGGATGGATTTATCATTTATTTTTTGCTTTGAGTTGACCACAATTCCCTTTCATTCTTTTGTCTACTTTTCATCAAACGTTTTTTCAAAAAAAAAAAAAATCATTTTTCATCATGCAACTAGTTTGAATTTATAATATTTTTTTTTGGATGTGATAACATGAAGTAAACCCATGCAGAATGTTCATTATTTTCAGCTTTTATGTTCCGCTAATCGCATTACAATGAAAGGATTATAAAGGGAATGGAAGCAAAAGTTGACCGTTACTGCTCTTAATGTTGTCAAGCTGCATTGTGCTCTTTATTTTGTTTTCAAAATTAGGGATGATGAATACATTTCAAAAATTGTACTCGCATGGGAAACTGAAATGTTTCGAGAATGTCTCATTAAACGTGAGTAGTTGCATGTTTATTTTATAATGTGAATTCTTCTTGGAAATGGAAATTAGCTAGCTACGTAGTTTGTGCATGTATTGTACTTAGATTCAGGGTTGTTCATAAATGATTTTTTGGCCCACTATTTCCTGTGTCACAGTTATTTTATGACACACAACGAATGAGGAAGTATCTAGTGGGAAAGTGGCAGTTGGGAAGTGTCCGTGGGCAAGTGCCCATTAGACAAATGTCTATATCCGCGATACATCCCCTAAGAAGCAAAACATCATTTATGAACAACTCTTAAAAAATTCTTTACCATAATAATCATAATGATTAGCTTCTACAATCTTAATACTCAAAGTAATTCTGCTCATTTGAGTTAAAATAGAATTAATTAGAGAGCAACATCCTTTAAACATTCAATTCAGTAATGGAAAAATTCTAATCTGAGTAAAAAGTTTCACAAGAAGAAAAAAATCCATTTCCATTTAGCTGGTAACAAAAAATCTGAGACCATCCTTTGTGTTTTTCCTCCTCTTGTTAATTTTTAATAAACGTAAGTAAGTGAGGCAAAGTAAAGCGAAAGGAGCAAATCCCATAACCGGTAATTATCTACCCAACATCATTCATTATCTTCCATTATGCGAAATTTTATTTCGAAATTAAAATTAAAAAAATCCATGCCTCGCACTTCCACCTTATAACAATCCTTTTCTCTCATCATTTTACTGCTATGTTCTGCTTTTTAATTAGGCAGCCAACGTTTTGGATAACAAAACAAAAAAAAAATATGAGAGAAAAGCAACAAAAAAGTGGATTGAAATGTTAAATTGTAAGCCCCACTCATTCATTTATACGTTAATGCTAATAACACTAGGATTACAGTTAAAAAGGCTTGCGTAAATAGCAATTTTTTCTCATCATCCTTGTCTCTTTTCATCTTCTCCTTACTCCCTTTTGTTATGTTAAATTCAATCTCAATCTCGCTTTTTACACAAGTTGTTCGTTTACTCATTCATTTACTTCTTTTTCGTGGTTTTCCAAGGGAAGATAAAAAATATATGCTGAAAATTATTATGAGCATAACGACTAAGGTGCCTTTTTAGGGGTAGATCGTAAATGATGTTCAAATTTTTGGGAGATGGACGTCTGGGGGGTTTAGATATTCAAATCTTTGATTCTTAACCCGAATAGCACAATTCGGATAATTAAGACGAAATCCTATGAAAAGACGATGCAGGGATGACTTGAGTGCAAATTTATAGTCACACTAAACTCGCCGTGACGTTTTACTGTCGAAGAACTTCGTCTTGATTATTCGACTTGTGCTACTCGGGCAAAAGACCTAGCTAAAAAGATGAAAGGAGGGTTAAGGATCTAGTTTAGTCTACGTTCCAAACTAACGTCATTTATGAACGACCCCTTTAGATTCTCATTTACTTTTTCAATCAGAAAAGACAAAGTGAATGCTTAATAATTTTCAATTTAGTTGCAACCCACAAAAAGCAGTCACTATGTTCTACAATGCTCATCAAAAATGGTAAACGCAAATGTCGTATTGTAAAAATTTCCCTCACTTTCATCATCATGTATTGTATCTTATAATCTCATCACATCTTTCAGCTTCAAACTAGCTATTATTGTGGTTTTTATAGTTGTCTAAAGGATGTTATTTTCTTTTGTTCTTTTACAAAGTGAACGAGACAGAAGTTGAATATTGAATGTATAAATTTTTCATTCAAAATTAGACATACAATGCGAGAATTTTTTTAATTAAATATTTACATAGGAGATTTTTAATTATATCGTCTGAATAAAAAATATGTACATGTGCATAGCACGAAGCACAAATGGAAATGTAGCGAGGGAGGTATAAAAATTCATGACATCTTCATGGATTGGAAATTCTACATTTTTCTCGCTTTTTTTGTAGATAAGAGTTAATGGTTGTTATTGTGGAATGAAAAAATAAAGGAGGTTAAAAACTGTGTAATTACTAATTAGATGCCTTAAAACATTGCAACTAGGATTTGTAGTTATTTTTGAAAAACTGTCAAGTTGAGATTTTCTGCATGACGATGGTTTCATCTTTACAAGTACAAGTTGAACAAGATTTTTCGTGGAAATATTTTATGTTTTCAGAAACTTTAGCTATTGCAGTACTGGTATGGAATATGTTAAAGTTTTGATGTTGCACAAACTTCGAGAGTAAATTTTAAACATTGAATACTTTAGTGAAGCACTTTTGAAATAATTGCGATGCAGCTAGAATGGGATCTAGTAGGAAAATGTGGAGGGTGGGGGGGTCTTACGAAAAATTCTTACTTATCAAAAATCACCATGGCTGAAAAATGGTGAAGTGCCTGACTAAAATGAAATACATTCCAGCACATTCAGAAAGCATCACAGATTCTCCACTGAATCATACCTTTCCATAGCTAAGACACCACTTTTCATTATTCATGAGATTTAATGCATTTTTATTGCCACTATTTTCTAACTTCCATTTTTTTAAAATATTTGAAGAACCTTAAGCAATACCAGAAATTACACAGAGCTCCTGCCGTAACTACTTTCAAACAAAGTAAGAGAAATGTGAAAAGAATTGAATTTCATTAAAAACTGAATAAACTTTAATCATTCCGGAATTAAATTTGTCTCAATTCACTTAAAGTAAATAAAATGAAATAAGGAAAAGTAAACTATTTGAACACACTGAAAGTTTTTCATTTCCTTTTCTCTTTTCGAGCTTCCTTCATACATGCATGTTCATATATGGAAGTTACAAAAGAAAAATAAATATGACAAACTTTTGTACATTCTGTCTTTCTTTTCTCTTTGAATGTGGATAAAAGTTTTTATTTTCAGCTTAGTAAGGAATAAAAATCTTCTTTGAATGCTGTTTTTTCATATTCACACAAAATTTTCAATTTTTGTGAATATATTTTCATGTTCTCTTTTACATCTGCAAGAAATCTTTATTGCAAGTCAACAGTTTTCATTGCAAAAAAATTAATTTCTTTTATTACAAAAGATTTATTTGTTAAAACATGAGCTGTAAATTGCATCGACACACTGGATCCTTGTGGCGCAAAAATCTGTAGTTAAATGCATGCGCTGAGTACCAAAAAGTCCAACGAAGGAGTTTCAATTATAAGAAAATAAAAGCCGATGGGAATTGTGTTGACAATATAAACATATTCAGATTAATTTCAATCTAGGAGATTTTCAAGAAGCTATGAAATTGATATTTAGCAACAATGACACTGCAGGACTTCCTTTCTTGAATGTATTATAAGATATATTGCATTTCAAGAAATCAATAAAATTGATTTATTTAATCATTGGAGAGCATCTCACACTTACATTATATTAGTATCAATTTATGAAGCATAGCTTGTTATTGATAAGGGATTAAGTTTCACTTCAGTACATCTTCACTTGACATCAATCAAAAAAATCAGAAGGTTTAATTTAATCAGATCAGTTTTACGGTGTGAGGGGATGCAAATGCTCAATTAAGTGTTGATGATAGCACCAAAATCAATTTATCATGACTTATTACAGTTAAAAGGCTGTTGAGGGGGCTGCATAGGTTGAATATCATATTCAAAATCTCAAAAGATGTTCTGAATCTTAAAAGTGAAGCAAATTTTGAGATTTTTTTCGTCATTTCTGACGAGGGACAATACAATTTACAAATATTGAAGGAATTCCCTTGTTAAGTTCATACTTTGTCACTGCATTCAATAGAAATTGATGAATAACTGAAATAATTTGATCACGTAATTATTTATTCAGAGAGTTTATTAACCTTGAATTATTTCACATTTACAAACAAGTTTAACTATTATAATTAAAATGTCTTATTGTACCTAAATTATTATGCTGTAACTTCGTTACATTTTTATTCATAAATTTTTGTCGTCTTGTAATTGCATTATTTTTATTCCTGTAATTTTCCCTTGTACTGTCTCATTCATTTTTATTATATTTTCAGGAAGCAACAACAGCATCGTCATGACAACAAAATATTATGGTGTAATATTGCAACTAGGGCAACTTCACTATGCTCGTTGTTTGTTTTATCGAACACGTACGGAAGAAGAAAAAAAAAGTTTTAAGTTTGCAGTTTTAGTGAAAAAAAAAATTCAAGAGATTAAAAAAATTCTTTATTGGAGTGAAAAAGAAGAAGACGAAAGTATTCTGCCAGTTTCTTAGAACAATAACAAGAAGAGGAGAAAAATCTCATAAAGCGTGTAAGAAAAAAAAAGCAAGCAAAAAAAAAGTTTTTTAATCTTTGCGACAGTGCTCGACAACAAGGAGGAATAAAAATGTCACTCGACCGGAAGAAGAGCGATTGTAACATGCAGCAGCAGCAGCAGCAGCATCAGAATCAACAACAACATCATCAACAGCATGAGAATCCAAGCGGAAGTAATGAGTGTCTGCTCCAAAAGCGTTCAACAAAACATCGTGACTCGTTATCGAAGAAAAGTGACCAAACTGTGCCGAGAATGTATTCAGGAGATGATGTTGAAGTGCTGCGATTGGAATTGGAAAATGAAACGAGAAATCGGTAAGAACGGGTTGCAGAACTGCAATAAAATGAATGGATGGGAAATGGTGAGAGAATGAAGCTCAGCATTTAATGATGCTTTTAAAAAGCAATTTTGTTATAAATGCATAGAGCACTTGCAACGGAGAAGGAAATGAGTTTGAAAAGAGACGGGAAAAAGATGGAAACAGATAAATTGAACACAAGAGATCATTTATATGTCTGGGTATCGATATGAATTAAGCACGAAAATCTTATGAAATGAGGAACAAAAGCTGTAAGGTTGCTATATACTCAAAGTGAACATTCAATCATGTTTTATTCAAAAATATTGATTTTTCAGAATATAATCCTTGAAAAATGTGTAAATTGTTTTTGAAATAGAAAAATATTTTAGAGTCATGCAGCTGCTCCCTTAAATTTAACTTGTGCTGTAAACTTTTAGCTTGTTTTCAAATCCACAATTTTATTAGTTCATTCAATTTAAAAACCCTAAATCAACCATAATTTAACCATTAAAAATATTTGTTTATCCATTTCGAGTAATTTTTATGGGACAATTAAACCGAAAAATAACAGCATCCAATAAATAAGTTTTCTGTCCTTCCCATGGAGATGAAAATGCCATTAAATTTTACCCACCATAACTTTAATCCAATAATTTGAGCCACTAAAGATTACTATTTTAGTATCATAAAAACTCATTTACGACTTTCTTTAAATAGCATATATTTTATCTTCCATCCACATCTCCTTTTTTTGCTCCTTCACATCTCAATTCATAATTTTCAACTCACGTATCACTGCAGCAATGAAGCTCAAAGAAAGTATTCAGAATTGCATCATAAAGTGGAAGCATTTATGCAGCACATTGACGAGGCAAAAAAGAATCCGGAATCAAAGTACGATGCATTGATTTACAAACAGAACTGTGTAAACGATACAGTTGCCGCACAGGTTAGTACATAAAACTTATAAGATATATGTAATAGCCCTTCTTTAGTGTAGAAAGTCCTTAGAGCTTCGATAAAACCTTTTTAACCTTTATTGCCATTTTTTCTTTCCTCCTTTTTTCCTCCTCTTCCTTCTTCCTAACTGCCTTTCGCTTCTTGTATTTTATGGAATTATTGATTTTCCATTTTATTTTATTTTATTTTTATTTTCATTCTCTTTTTTTCCCAATGTACAATACATGTACAAACATACACACAAATTTCACATAACATATCACATGCAGTTGAGTGAGGCAAAAGATAAACTCGCAAGCTTAACACATTCATTGAAGAGCGTTCAAGTGTGTGGCAAAGGTAAAATTGAATTATATATCGATTGTGGCCTATTTGCCTCCTTTGTTTTAAATTTTTAAGATTTTTCTTCCATTTCCTTCCAATGAATCTTATTTACTGCGATTTTAGATTGTCAATTAACGTCAAAAGATCTTATGTTGAATTACGATTGCATGACTAAGGTTGGTGTATGAGAAAAATAATTCTTATTTTTCATTGCATTTTCCAATAATGTTGTTGATTGTTGTGGTGTCGGTGCAGAGTGGAATCTGTTGTATCGATCTGTTTATAGGCAAAACTTTCTGAGTGAGATCAAGGCTTCTGTAGTTTAGTAAATTACGAATATCATTGTTTTGTAAGAACCCAATGCTAGCAAACAGAAATTTTTGAGTTCTTATTATTCGAACTTCGAATTTTCGAGGTTCTTATTTTTCGAAAATCGAATCTTCGAAGTTCTTATTTTTAAAAAAATTCGTTGTGAATTATTATTTTTCGAGTAATTTGTAATTTTAGTGAACATTCTTACTAGTTTTTGTGATTAAGATAATCACTGTGATGAAATTGCATTCCTTAAACGTTTATGCTTTAAAAAACACCTAGTTTAAAAAAAAAATAAAAAGTAACAGACTTTCTTATTTTGAAATTTTAAAAAAATACCGCGCGAAAATTTTGAATTTTTTTTGTTTGTACCGGACTCTGTTCTCTTTGCTAACATTGGGTAAGAACGTGCGTTCGATTCCTAGTAGAGATCGGTTCTATAGGGTTAACTAAGACAACCTCTCCTTGTCACTAAAGTCAAGAGTAGAGCTCGAAGTCAATGAAATTTTGTATGAAGTCGACTTCGAGCTCTGATCAAGAGTAGGTTGCTCTAAGAAGGTCGATGTCTCAATCATTAAGTAGATATGACAAGAATTCGCACAATGTTCACGACATTTCAATCGTAAATAAGAATCAGGCTTACTTAATAGTCTGAGAAAAAAAGTATTTTGGATGGAATTAATTAGTAGAAATTTAGAAATTAGATTAGATTTGATCCTCGTGTGTGAAACTTTATAATTTGTTGGAAAATGCAAGTTTTCTTATTTTTCAAATCAAAAACAATTTTTTTTTTTATTTTTCAAAATCTAATAATTTTTTATCTTTTTTAAGAATGAAATTCTAAAGGAAATTAAAAAATTTGAGCGCATGCAAATTGACTTGAAATCAAATTTGGACCGTTTGCAATACAAAATTGATCATGAATCGAAGGTAATGACGGATTTCTTACTCTTTTCTTTTTTCCAGATGAAAAATTCTCTTTTCCCTTCTTTATTTTTGAAAATACTTTAGGAATATTACAACCTAGTCGATCAATTTCAAAAGCTACAAATTGAACTTTACTATTTACAAAACTTGAACGATAAGCACTCGTCGAAGGTTATTTGGTAAAAGGAAGACGAATTAATCAAGATGGATGGTTGCTTGAAAAGAATCTGGATTGTCTGTGAAATGAAAAAGTTTTAGTTTCTGATGAGTACGATGGAGGAAGTGTAGCATCCAACTCATATTTTATTTACTTCAGTGAAAATTTATTAAATTAATTAGATTAAAAATACTCTCGTTGGAACTGCACAATTCTTTATAAATGAACTAAGAATTATGTGAAACTTGATAGCATTTCTGTAATTAGCTTATTATGTTCATTATAGCAATACTTGAAAGCTTTTTTCATTCGAATGAAACTTATCCTTATTTTGTTTCAATACTGTAAATTCGTTACTTGTTATCTGCAAATGTTGGTAACTAAAGCTCATTATTTGATACTGTCTGTAATTAGGTTTGGATTTGTTGATTAAACATTTCATTTTAAGAGATGGTCTGCAATTATTTTAGATATTGTTTCATGTTTTTTATACTATTTATTTAATAGTCACAAAATATACGAACGACCCCATAAGATTTTATTAAGAATTGTAATAAACTGCCACATTCTGCAGAGTTTTAAGCACAAAACAAAAATTGTAATGGAAATTTATTTCTTTCGTCCTTAAAATATTCATGAAATACCCAATTTCTCATTCCTTTAAACTTTTTCAATCGAATAATGCTTAAATATTAATACACTCGGACCAATTTTGCAAATCACATTCTACACTTTAATTTATGGCAATTGAACTTTCAATGGCCCAAAGTTGTTTAACTAGCTAGTGTTTAGTAAAGTCGTAAACAAATAAATAAATCTAGCATAAATAAGCACAATTAGCAAACACAATAGGATACAAAAATATCCCAACTGGGAAAATGAGAAGCTAGTAACACAAAAAAAAATATATAAATAAATATTTTCCACCGTAAAACTAAATTTCATTTTAATGTACCAACTGTAGCATTGTAGCACGATAGTAAAGAAAGAAATAATAATAAAAAGCTTTTAAATGAACTTTTAATTTCTCTTAATTCAATTTCATCTCATGAGTGGCTGATGGTATTGCTGCTATTTGGGGTACAGCCAGGGGGTCAGCTTGAAAAGACATTTAAGAGTCTGTTGGAAGCAAACTACAAAAATTTCAACTCAAAACTCAAACTCCCCCTCTTATTTCAAAAAACGTCTGACTTCATCCCTGACGACTCTAGTTGTTACAAACAATTGTTGTTGATGATTGGCCGGAAGATGTGAAGGAAAAAATGTTCTTAAAAACTCTTTAAAATCTTATGAACATAGCGCATTTAATACTAAATGACTCATACGTAATTGCAGACAAAAATGATCTTTAAATGCCATGCATTCCTTCCAAAAATGATACTCAAAAATACAAAAACTATTTTAAGTTGAATTGGCAATGTGCTGATAAAAGTCATGAACAATTTTTAATTGCAGGCATTTGCTGCTGCTGTTCTGCCATTTTCCCTCATTTACCTCATCTCGCCGCAATTTGTTTTTATGATAAAGCCATAAAAAATGGAATTTTAATGATAAAAATCATTTTCCACTAAATAAATTTTCATTTAATCGAGAGAGTGGGAAAGTGAGATGTGGAATGAGCGACCGACCAAACGGCAATGTCTGTGAGTGAACGAGACTGAGAATGGAAATTATTTTGTCACTGTTGCTCCTGCTAATAGGAAACTTTCTTTCTTCCTGTAATTATTTTAATTTCTGTTGATGTTATTCAATTCTTTCTTCTTTACGTTCTGTTGAAAAAAGTCTCAACGGAAGTGACTTTTTTCATAGAAATTAGAAAACTTTTTTTTCTTCATCTTCGAAGCAAAACTGAAAAGTTCTTAAATTACTTTCAATTTGTGTAATTGAATTCCTTCAAGTGTCTCATTTTAATTGCATTGATAATTTTATTTCCATATCAATTGAAATTACGACTGTTGTCTGGTCTGCAATGTCCATCAAACTTTGTCTATTCAAGTCAAAGGACATAACAACATAACAACTTCTCCTTTATTCATCTTACATCATCTTCATAGTTTACTGAACATAAAATTCAAAAATCCTTCAGATGCTCTTGCTATGATCCGAATTCAGTTCAAGGATGTGATCGAGGGGGTCTTGGTGAATTTTTTGAAATCCTACATCAGCCCTGCCCCGATGTTCCTCTGTTAAATCAGAATTTCTCATCTCTTTAGGATTTTAAACAAATATCTGCACATGAAAAATAAAATGATGATAATTCTTATCCGTAGGAACATAACTGCATGAGCGTGTGTATCTTCATTAATGTTTGTAAACTGTCAGGCGACAATTTAAGTATTCAGCATTCGTAGAGTATCAAAGTAAAGTAAATGTCTCATAACAAGTCATAGGAATTTTACTGTAATTATATTTTACGCTTATGTGTTTCGTGTCTTTTTCATGATATCTAAATATATTTTCTCTTCTGTATGTTCAACTTGAGATAAAAAGGATTTATATTATTTTTTCGCTCTTGTTCGCTTTCGATGTAAATTTTTATTCTAGAGAAAAGAAAGTCATTCGCTTTGTGTTCCTTTGAAATTATCCTCACGTTCTTTATATATATTCACGCTATTACTTTTAAGCTATGCACAGCTTGCGATGCGTAATTTTCTTTTCCTGAACTTGAATGTGGCATGACATTACACATTCTTTTTATGCCATTTTTTTGTTGAAAAGGTTGTGCCTTTTAAGTGTAAGTGTAGAGTATTCTCCCAGTTGGGATTTTTTATGATGACGATGATTATGTGACTTAATATTTTCTTAACAACATGAAGGTTAAAATGAGGATTTTGCGAGGAATGTTTATGGCTTATTTCATCCATTCTCATCTTTTGCTTTATCACCGTCAATGAATGGCTCAAATTCTTATGATGATTTATTAAAATAAATTAAATCTAGCGAGAGCGATAATAATTTGCAATTTGTCAAAATTATTTTGGTTCTCATCGCACAAGAAGGTGATTTGTTGTTGGTGTGCATTTGATGACAATCTTTTGTAGCATTACGCATCCTAATCTAAGTTTTGAATAAACGTAGGCTCAAGCTTTGATCTTCTCAGACATCTGGTGCTACTTTCAGGTTTGCTTCCAACTATAGTTTCGAAAGTCATCCTGTTACTCTTCAAGTTTCTGATCCGTTCATTAATCTAGTGTTGACTAGAGCACCAATTTCTTCATGATCATATTTACTAGGCAGTGGAAGTATCTGAAACTTTCGAAAAATAACAAATATGAAATTGGATGGATTCGAACCTGCGACCTTCGAGTTAAGTCACCAAATTTTAGCCAAACGCCTTGTTTATTACTCTACAGAGGCTCTTAACTGCGTGCTTAGTTTGAAGATAAAAATACCAGTATAAAGAACCAAATTAAAACTTTACCCCGTTTCAGGCAAAATAATTTAAAATTAAACTTACCCAATATCCACAATTGTCAATATCAAGAAAAGCTATCCAATATTAACAATTTTTTTCACCTGTGTTTCTGATACAGCACCACACCGCATCAAACATTTCCTTCTTTAAATAAAAGTCACATCATATCAGTTCCATATAAGTGTAAGTAAATTGAAAATCTTCCATATTCTCTTTTCTTTTTATTTCCCTCTCTGGGATCATCAACTTTATTTATTCTTCTTGTTCTTGAATGAGAAATGTTCAATGTAAAAAAAAGGAAGCTCTTTTTTAAGCTTATAATATTGGTTGTAAGTGCTTTTCATAAATAGCGTCAAATCTAATCAACTTTCAAGATGTTCAAAAATGCCATTTGTGGGATTTGACTAGAATTGTTTATGTATAAATGTAGATTTTGTCACAAAATACATTATAAACATGCTAGACACATTCGAAATGCAGCTATGAACTCTAATATTATCATCATCGTCATCATCACGGAATTACGCTGTAAAACTGAAAGCAAATATGAACAGAAATCCGATTGTTGGGGAGACGCGATGAAAAAATTTCTAAAATTGCTTTCCTCTTTTTTTATCCATTTCCAACCACTCAATGTTGCTACATTTTCAGATTTTTTTTTTCACCATCACCCAGCCACATGTACATATATGCAGACTGACAATGTGCATAGTGACGAGAATTGTAATTTTTCATGTTAGCAGAATTTGCAGTTTCAATCAGTTCTGTGTATGCAGATGAAGTCAGTTTGGATTGAAGTTTGGTTTCTATTTGCGATTTTAGGGTATGGAGTGGAGCAACTGTAGGACTTTTAGATACCCTAACTGCTAGTGTCCCGAGAATCTCTTGAATCCGTTCTCAAACCTTGAAATACTGGATTAAAAATCTCCAAATGCGTTTCAACTTGAATCTAGTAAGAATATAAACTCCAGAATGATATCAAGATCTACTTATATTGGAAAATTTTAAGGAAAAAAAATCATATTTGCATAACAAATTGAATTGATTTTTCACATGCAGTTGTTATTAACATGATAAGAAGAAGATGTGCATGAAATGGAAGCGATTTCTTATTTGCACTGATGATGCATTCAGAGTGAGAAAATATGAAAATAGCAAAAAAATGAATAAAATTTACTGACACACTATGAAAATGAAGCTAGTGGAATTAGATGTTGGAAGTGAAAAATTATTCTCGTAGTTCTTATGGTTTAAAATTTGAAATAAAAAGTTGACAAATGAAAAGCTGAGATTGCACAAAAAAAATGGAAAAAGAAACTTTATGTCAATACTTTTACGTACTCAGATTGATACTGCTGAAAACTTCTTGATATAAAAAAATTGCAACTTTTTGATACTTAGTCATTTTGCTGATATTTTGTTATAAAGAAGCTTATTTTACGAATGATTGATCATCAAACTTATATTTCAAATTACTTGATATAGATGGCAATTTTGAGTATCATTTCCTTTAAAATGCAATAAATAAAGTCAACAAAGTTTATTATAAAGTTCATTGATTTACAAACGATCCAACAACATGACAATGTATAAATGTAATAAAATTGCGTA